AAGAACCAAAACCAAAAAAAAAAAAAAAAAAAAAAAGACACACCTTGAGAAAAGGGAAACAGAACAGCGCAATACCTTTTATTTTAGTTATTTTGGTTTTAGACTTTTCTTAGATAGAAGTTCGAGGATTGCAAGATCAATACCAACCTCTTTACTATTGTTAGGAACAGTTCCAATACAACGAAGACGCTCTTACTCAAGTGACAGATAAAAGTTAAGATAACTTTGTTGATTGTTGATTGCATTTCTTGACATTATTATTTTGTCCGTTTTCATTGGATTTGGTCTATTTTTGTTTTTTCAAGGTTTTTTTTTTTTCCAATTTTTTGTCACCAAGTTTATTTTGATAGACTGGTATTTTGGAAGGTGAATCCAGAAAGATTGTTATTACTCCACTTGACTGTGTGACGGGAACAACCTTAGTAGAATGGTGTTGGATGATTATGGTAAGAAATCGGATTTACCGATATATAATAAGTCTAACAAGTTTCAGCCGAGACGATTCTCGGATAATAAGAACTTATACAAGAGAATAGGTATAGCGTTGATATCATTGATAGCTGTATGGTTAATATTTTTCAGATCTACTTCATCCAAACCATCAATTCCGGTAATAGATACTTCCAATGTTGGTCAGCCATCAGTAGATCAACAACAAGCAATTGCCGATGAAGGGAAGGTTTATAAAGTTACTAAAGAAGGAGTCACCGAACACTCTCTCAATGGAGAACCATTTCAAACCCCAGAAGAATTGAGTGAAAAAGCTTATAAAGAGACTGTAAATTATTATGATTTAAATGACTATAAGGGATCTGCAGATGGATTATCGCAAGGAGATGTTGTTTTATTTCTCATGCCATTAAGAAATGCCGAACATGTTTTACCAATGGCATTCCATAACTTAATGAATTTAACTTATGATCATGGATTAATTGATATTGCATTTTTAGTTTCTGATTGTTCACCAAATGATCAAACTTTACAAACAGTTTTTGAATATTCAGTTGCTTTACAAAATGGTACTTTAGTTGATAAACTTCATGAAGAAGAAAGAGCTAAAACTCAAGGTGCAGTTAAAGGTTCTTCTGATTTATATCAATTATATATGGATAAAGATTATATTAATAATGTTAAAAAACTGTACCATCAAGCAGAATTCTATCATAAAGATTATAAAAAACCTTTTAGATCAGTTTCCATTTTTCAAAAAGATTTTGGTCAAGTTATTGGTCAAGGTTTCAGTGATCGTCACGCAGTTAAAGTACAAGGTATTCGTCGTAAATTGATGGGTCGTGCTAGAAATTGGTTAACTTCAAACGCTTTACAACCTTATCATTCTTGGGTTTATTGGAGAGATGTTGATATTGAAACTTGTCCTGGATCAGTTATTCAAGATTTGATGAAACATAATTATGATGTCATGGTTCCAAATGTTTGGCGTCCTTTACCAACTTTCTTAGGTAATGAACAACCTTATGATTTAAATTCTTGGATTGAATCAGAACCAGCCTTAGATTTGGCTAAAACTTTAGAAGAAGATGACGTGATTGTCGAAGGTTATGCAGAATATCCTACTTGGAGAGTTCATTTAGCTTATATTCGTGATGCTAATGGTAATCCTGATGAAGTTTTAGATTTAGATGGGGTTGGTGGAGTTTCAATTTTAGCGAGAGCTCAAATTTTCCGACAAGGGGTTCATTTCCCTGCCTTCACGTTCTTAAATCATGCAGAAACTGAAGCTTTTGGTAAAATGGCTAAAGAAATGGGATTCAGTGTTGGTGGTTTACCGCATTATACCATCTGGCATATTTATGAACCAAGTGAAGATGATCTAAATCAAATTGCAAAATTAGAACGTAAAAAGAGAAGACAAAAAAACAAAGGTAATTAATAATTCATATTGTATTTATATATTCATTCATTTTAGATTGATTTCTTATCTAATTCTTTCATTTTCATTAATATATCATTTTACATAATACATATTTATCATCTAATAGAAAAGGCAAAAAAAAAAAAAGAATTTAAGTATATTTTATCAGTAGGAAGGCAGGGTTTGTAATCCATGTATAACCGTTTGGCTATACTCAGAGATTGTTCACATCCGTTTTATTCATCATAATACACTTAAAAATATCTTTTCCTCTTCTCAAATTCGATCGCAGTAAGAGACTTACTAAAATTTAATTATAAAACCTGTTACAAATTAAATCTAGTAAACCTGCACGACGACCATGCCATACGCGGTGAAAATCTCAAACATTTCAATTTCTTTGCAACCCGCTTTTGCCATGATAATCACCGTTCTTGGGTTCTATTTTATTGAAAAGCTTTTTAAATAGGCCTTCTGGTACGAGTTAAACCGTGTATATGTGTCAGACCTTGAAGGTCTGCAGATGATGTACTGGCCTATCTATATTGATAGGTACAATACATCATCAAATGAAGACACAAATTATATTTAAAGTTTGTGTTAATCCATAAATGAGGCATTCTAATAATGTGCATATATAAATAAATAGGCATTTCCATGTTAAATGGAAAAATCTTCTACTCGATGNCATGGTCGTCGACCTATGGAGAGTTCTTTATATTCGGTAATAAATATTTCTATATAATATTTACATATTGGCTTTGGATACTTAAGCTTAATCATAATAAGTTATTTTCTCCCTTTGAATAACGTGAAAAGGTTAATCTGACAGTATCGAATTAATCCACTGTGCTACCAAGTATTAGTATGTATTTGACTAATGCTACTTATGCGTGTGTTATGGTCAACCGTACTAGAACTATGTATCTAATACCAATGGATACTGGTGGTTGATTATGGGCTCGATCAACCCACATAACCCGATAATATGGTTTTATCTCGAGAAAATCTTGTCACTCATATACTAAATTATGATAAAATTCCACAAAAAAGGCTTAAACCGAGATGTTATACTCGTCTCACGATACATTTCTTTTTAACTATGTTACAGATACTTCATATAAAAGAGAAGCTATACAAGAGCTCCATAGCTACATGAGTTTTCGTGCTGGACCCTTCATACAGATAAGAGCGTATCCAACGAAATAGAGACTCCGTTTCGATTGGTTTGAATCGTACGACCAAGCTTTACAATCCCTTAGATCAGGTCTGCAGTGATTTAAAGTAATACACAAAGATATGCGAGGAAACCATCAAGAGGTTTCCAAATGGGGTTGGACGGACACAAAATTCTAACTTTATTCATTTTTGCGTTGGTGAATACCTTTTTTGCAGCAGTAATTAATCTGGGACAAGACTCACTCATAATCGGCTAGACACATTGTTTACTCAAAATGTAATTACCATTGCCAGCTTTCGAGCTTTGTTTGTTTTGGTCGATGTTTGACTTGCAACAATAATAAGAGGTATAAGTTCAACGCGTCTCCCCTTAAGGAGCGCATAAACAAGTCCAATTCTCACCCACAAAGACGTAACAACTTGTCGAAGCTCACAATATGTGGACTAAACTCTGATGGCTCTCATCCAGTGCACCGTTTCGCGTCCAGGTTACCTGAGTGCATGCAATATATCTTTTGGTGAATTTTTTGCAGTATTTGTTTCTAGAAAAATTTCAAGTCGAATGCAACCCCAATCCTCAAATAATTCATTTCTGGGTACCTGGCCCCAAATAATTGATTTCTGAATACCCACCCTCAAATGAAAGGTGTCGTCAGTGTGCAAGTCGGTGCGTTTCGTAGATTTACTAGAACACTTATCTCTTCGAATTCAGCTCGGAGAACGTTCCTAATCGTTGGCTTAGTACAAACAAACAAACAAACAAAACAAAAAAAAAAAAAAAAAAAAAACACTAGATTGACAGTTCACCCTTTTGGGTAATATTAATTCGCAGACATTCCTCGAGGACCAGCTTAAGCCAAAAGTTGTCTAGTCGAATTAGTTCTCTACTTAGGCTTAAGCATTTTCGATACTAAAGTATAGCTACAAAGAGATCATAAAGGTCGAGAGTGAGCGGGCGTGAATCTGCATATGTAAGAATACACCATGTTTAAAGGCTTAAACACAAAGTAGATGTAGAATACGACCATCAAATTTATTTATAAAAAAGTAACATAACCGTTGAAGTTTCCGTCAACGAAAATTTATATTTATTGAAAATATCGCTTCAAGTGCTTTTCTTCTTTTTATTTCTTTGAAGCTGGTTTACTTCTTCATCTAGTGCTTTACTCATCCTACTTCTATTCTTTTGATAAAGTTTGGCTTCTGGGAGTGAAAGATGTTGAAAGATCTCGGATTTTGGAGTATATTTATACTTCTTGTTCCCTTGATAGAAGCCTTGAATCCAGTGAAGGATTTCAGAAGTCACAAAATTGGCAACTCCAAGAAGAAGGTACCTTCTAAAGCATCTAATCTATCAGGCATAAAGAACTATGCCGGTTCTGTTCAGTCTCCTAAAGATGATACTTCAAGTACCATTGCAATCACTACAACTTCATCTCTTTCAAGCCTGGCTCCAACAATTGAGTTGTCCGAAAACATCCATATAGTGTCTACCGATGAATCCAATGCCATTTATTATTTGAACACTACCATTACTGATTCTAAGACCAATTATAATGAAACTTTACCATTATTACTTGATACTGGTAGTGCCAATTCTTGGGCCTATAATGAAAGTTGTTCTTCTGATGCATGTAAAGCAGTATATAGATTTGATGACTCTAAATCTTCGATAAAGACAGAATCGACATTTGAATTGGTTTACTCCGGAGATAAAATAAGTGGTGATTTGATTAATACTTCTGATAATAACCTAAATTTTTCCATTGATGGCTTGTCATTGAATAATTTCACCCTTGGTTTGACTGACGAATCTCCTTCGATGTTCGATGACTACAAAGTTAGTGGTATTATTGGTGTATCCTCGTCGTCGTCTTCTAAGAACTATATTTCTCAATTGTACGAATCGAATCTAATCGATCAACCAATCTTTGGGTTATCATTAGTTTCAAGTGACCAAACTATCAAATACTTAAATTCAAACAACAAACAAAGTAATCTTCCTTCTGATTATGGTGGATTAGTTATCTTTGGTTCTCAAGCATTCAAATTAACTAAAAAGTTCACCGAAAAAGACCTGGTGGTTTATACCGATATTTCAGACAATGATAATTCATACTGGTTGATCAATGTGACTGAAATCACGAGTCATAATGATTCAGCATCTGCGGATATTGCATCTGATCGCCAAGCTCTTATAGACACCGGTACCACTGGTCTTGCATTACCTAAATCTGATGCAGATTCTTTACATTCCAAACTATTTGGCTCCAATTTAGTAACTGATAATTCGGGAAATTATGCTTTCTTGTGTAATGATACAAATTCTAATATTACTTTCACTATTAATGATCACGACTTCAACTTAAGTCTGAGTGATTTCAAAGGAAACGAGTATTCTGGAAGTGGTTTGGATGGTTATTGTGCTTCTAAAATTCAAGGTCTTGATGATAATGATTATTGGATTTTAGGTGCAGCATTTTTAAGTAAATTCTATACCATATTTGACTTATCCAAAAAGAAAATTGGATTTGCAGACAGCAGAATAACAACTTATGCCATCAAAGAAACCCCCAAAGTGTTTTCATCAGAAACTGTTTCATCATCAAGTTCGACTAGATCGAAAAACGGGAGTCATACATCAACCCAGGCCAAGTCTAGTTCGAGTGCAACTTCTAAAAATAATTCAACTTCATCAAGTAGTAAAGATAGCGGTGCAAGGGATATACAAGCAGGACTTCATAACTTAATCCCATTTCAATGTTTAATCATGGTATTAGCTATCTCTATTTTTAATTAGTATTTTCTCTTACAATTTCTATTAATGCATTATTAATTTTATCATTTAAAAGTATCTATGTAATGATTACTAACCAACTCAACACGGCATACATTAAACCAACAGGATAGATTGCTAAAAGGACTCTACCTGGTAGAACCCCAGAACATTTCAAGCTCATGACCCCGGCGTATACACTCCAAGCACATAATATAGACATTATGGCTAACCTTATCAATCTCCATGAAATAAACAAGGTACTCACCAAGGAACCAATGACAATCGGGAACATTGAATAGCCCGAAGCACTGATTGCCGACATAAATGAAATGTTACCACCTAATAATTGAATATTTAAACCTATAACTATGAAAAATAACCAAATAAAGGCAAAAGCACCCGAAAATACTTTATTGGTTTGTTTATTTGGTGCTGATAATGCAAGCGTTACTGTATAAAAAAGCGAGAATATCAAGGGCCCCCACAAGTCCCAGTCCAAATTTCCTTGTTTGACATTATCATCAGAGGCTAATCCTCCATTATTTTCAGTATCTAAATGATCATAATCATCATCATCGTGAGAAACGGATATTCTTCTATTATTGATAATTGATTCTGGTAAGTTGATACCATTTGTACTAGCAAAATCAATGAATTTTTGTTGTTGTTTCAGAGCCAATTGAGCCAATTGCATTGGCCAAATGACAATCGCTAATCGACGAACAATTTGAAGTAGATCTCTTTTCAAAGTAGCCCATACTGGTTCATCCAACGTATCACCACCAGTGTACTGGCGTTCACGGATTGTATTATTTTCCTGGAATGCTGACGAGTTGGTGAAAGGAGTGAAAGTACTAGAAAGGTCTACTTTAGGCCCCCAATTGAATTGGGAAAAGATATTTGATGAACTGTTTGTATTATTTGAAGACGTATTCTTGTTTGTGCTGGTGGCATTGGCCGAAGTATTGACAGGAGTTGCTTCGTCCGGAATGATGAAATCGTCCGCCGCAGGCGTTTGGTTATTATTCCACTGAGACATGGTAATGAAGAAAGGTCTATTGAACAGATGGTGTCTACAAGATTCAGAAAAAAGTTCAGTCAAAAGATTTACGGATTTTTTTTTTTGCACGCAAAAAATCTATTTGAAGTTTTCTATAGAAAGAAGTCTAATTTAATTTTGCAATGGCGTTATCATGTTCATCGGACAGCTTCATGATCTTGATGACCTTAGCGGGAACGCCAACGGCAATGGCGTTGTCAGGGATATCCTTATTGACCAAGGAGCCCGCACCGATGACGGCATTATTACCAATGGTGATTCCAGGTAAAACGGTGATATTTGCCCCAAACCAAACATTATGGCCAATTGAAATGGGCAATGCATATTCCACTCCTGCCAATCTTTGATCGGGTTGGGTTGGGTGGGTTGCCGAGCTGAACACACAATTTGGGCCAACGTTGACGTAGTCGCCAAAAGTAATTAGGGAACAATCCAAGAAGGTTACATTAACGTTGGCATAGAATTTTTTACCTAGTTTAACGTTTGAGCCGTAATCCACGTTAAATGGAGGTTCTATGTAAACGTCCTCTTCGACTTTACCAAAGACTTTTTTCAAATAGTCATATCTATACTGCTGGTAATTATCTAAATCCATTCCACAATCTTTTAAGCGAATTTGCGAGTAGTTAAATGACAATTCTTTAGCTATAACTCTTCTAATATTGAGAGTTTTGTCCCCCGCGTTATAAGGGACCCCCAGAATCATTTTTTCATACTCCTGTCCCTTGGGGAGATTCTGTAAGTTAGCATAAGCGTATTGCACGAGTTCTTTATTGATTTCGTTGGTCATTTCTGCTTTCCAGATAAACTTCAACAAAGAAATTTGAAGGAATTACGGCTTTATATAAACTACAACCTACTTACTTTGGGGCAATAGCCTTGGCTCCGCAATACAGACACCCGTACATTTGATACTAATTATTTAAAATTTGTTTAACTGAATCAACAACGGTTTCTTTGATCCCAATCAATGGGAACCCCAAGATTTGTTTAGTTTTAGAGTTATCGATTGTAGCGTACTGCTTCAACTCTTCCTTGTCGCTACCGGGAGTACCAACTGGGAGTTTTGAATCCAATTCCGGGAAATTTTCGTGTAAGACGTCTAAAATGGTTTGGCTGTTAAATCTTCCAGCGTTCAAGATTAATCTTTGATTTTGCAAGTTGTGTTCAAAGGCCACCAAGTGGGCTTTAGCCACGTCTCTAACGTCCACGAATCCACCGGCAGTGGATGGAATTGGATCATTTGGAGAACTAAGCTTTAAGAAAGAGTTAATCACTTCACTTGAAGTATTAAGTTCATTGTTACTAACTGGGAATGCTTGAGGACCAAATACAAAACTTGGATTTATATAGTTAATCTTAAAGTTAACTTTATTTTCCTTGACATAATCCCAAGCAGCTTTTTCGGCAAATTTTTTCGATCCTCTATAACCAGCAAAAGAATCAACCAAGGCTTCGTCCCAAGTGATTTCGTTCCATGATTCTTCATTATTTGTATGGGCAGGGTTTTTCTCCTTTGTTGAAGTTGAAACTGCTGCATAAGAAGAAGTTATAACCACGTTTTCAATTTGACCACCGTATTTAGTAATGGCTTTCAATGCGTTGGTGGTACCACCAACGGCTGGTTTTAATAATTCTTCTTCAACATCCGTAGCCTTGAAGTGAAAGGGAGAAGCAGTATGTAAAAAAACCTTGATTTCCGGATGGTTTTGTAAAGCGTCATCAAAGGCTCCTTCCTTAGCAATATCCGGAACCACTTCGTAAGAAAACCTAGAAGACCCAAGTTGCTTAGCAAGAGCATCCCCCTTCTCAGCAGAACGAACCGATCCAATAACAGTATAGTTTTTGTCAAGTAAAACCTTAACAATATGGATTGCAATGAATCCAGTAGCTCCAGATACGAAAACAGTGGTCATGATTGAGTGATATCTTAATAGTGAAAATCAACAACTTGGTATTTTATTTCATTCTTTCATCTGCCTTATATAGAAATGGCGGCAACCCAATTAGTAATGAGGATCAATCGGTTAACGGTGGCAGTCCATTCCGTCATTAGAGTCCACTATTACAACTCCACCTCCGTACACCCCCCAATCCCCTAAAGGCTATGTCTTACCTATCCTAGTATCTCCACCAGGACTAACCATCAATTATCAATACATATCATCAATACAATATCAATACATACCAATACATATACATACCAATACATATACATACCAATACATATACATACCAATACATATACATACCAATACATATACATACCAATACATATACATATCATCAATACAATACCAATACATTATCAATTATCAATACATTTTCAAGCATCTGTGGATGCTCTTATATTAGAATACATTGTATGGAATGGATAATGGTGATGTACGGATCTGGCGATGGAGCTGCCTGTTTGGGCTGGGAGTCCCACGACGCTAACCGTTTAACTCTCTCTACACCAACGACATCACCATCTGCCACTCTTCACAGCCCTAGTGCGCAACCTGTAATCGGTAACCTGTACATCATCCATGTCTGGGGGTCTTGGTGCTTTCCTGATTCGCTTATTGTGTTGATACTATTACAATCCCTAACTGGTCTTCGGACAAAAACAAATACTCCAAAAAAAGCATCTTTGAAAAAACTCCCTCGCCGTATTCGTTGACTGTTATTTGTTCACTACCAGTTGTTCACTTACCTTTTCTTCACTTACTTCTTTGTCCATTATTCACTTACCTAACTTTCGTCGTTCATTAAGGATTCACCACGTTGTTTAATCAGTCAGTTATATACCAAGAAACAACGACAAACGAACAAAAAAAAAAATTACTGAACAGAAAAAAAAAAAGTCCGCAACTACCGTTAACCGTCCACTCTTTTACTCAGATTACACTCATTCTATCCAAAATAACGAATTCAGTTTTGCTAAAACCACTTCAAAATGAATGCAGTTAAAAAATTTGGATCGAATCATGGGTCCCCTAAAAAAAATAATCCAAAATCTCCCGAAACCGCCAAGTCGGGCCACCAAAGGTCGGGTACTTCAACAACCATCGATAATTTGGACGAAGTCTCTCCCGAATTGGTTCCTATTGTGACCTTGTTGAGTTCCCAGTCCCACCGCCGTTATCATGAAGGGTTATTCATGTTGTACCACGATTTAAACGGTGATGGTAAGCCGGCAGACCGTGAATGGAAAGAGGTTTACGGGATATTGACTGGTAACCAGTTAGCTTATTGGGATGCTGCCAACTTGGCTGCTTTCAGAAACAACCCGGACGCTTTATTGGATGCTTCTGCTAAACCAAATTATTTAAATTTCACCGATTCAATTTTCAACGCCATGAAAAATTTACCAGCGGCTAAACAAAATTTGGAAAATGTTATAATTGTTTCAACAACCCTTAAAAATCGTTACATTATTCAATTCAAATCTTATAAAGATTTAATAGATTGGCATTTATCGTTGAGATTGGCCAATTATGAATACCAATCTTTACAAGAAGCCTACACCGGTGCTTTACTTTCCGCTAGGGGTTCAAGATTATCGGATATTAGAACGGTTTTGGCAGAGAAACGTTTCGATCATGAAGATTGGGTCAGTATAAGATACGGTTCTGGAATGGCTTGGAAAAGATGCTATGCGGTGGTGGAACCAAGTAACCCAAAAAAGAAGAGTTTCCAGCCCGGTAGAATTGTTTTCTATGAAAATGATCAAAAAAAGAAAAAACAATTGATGGCAGAGGTCACTAGTGCCACGTCGGTTACCGCTGTTTATCCGTCTTCTCATTTACTTGTTGATCATAGTACTATGTTAAAATTAGAATGTTCAATTAATTTCAAATCTCCTTCAGTTAAACCTTCTTCTAAAAACCTTGCTGATATTACCAATACGTCGGTTTTCTTAATGCCCGAACAACATAGTGCAGTTCCTGGGTTTGACACTTTGATCAGATTCTTGATTCCTCTATTAGACGCTTTTGGTCTTTATGGTCGTCCAAAACGTTTAAAAGCTGATCGAGTAGATCCAGAATCTTTATTATTTGGTTTGCCTACTTTACCCCACGTCCATTATTTGAATCTTGATGATTTAGAACAATTGGCTTCGAGACCTGATTGGCTATCTTGGGACGTTGGTCAATGGACTCAAAATTTGAAAAATATCATGAAATTGAAATTGGATCGTGGTTATGAAGGTTGCGGCTCCGCAAGAGGTTTTGGTGGGGCAGTCAATTCTTTGAAAAGTCCTAAATTGGGTAGCCCTAATTCGGCCACTTTTAAAGGGAGTCCTTTGAAAAATTCTTCTTCCTCAAGAAGTCAAACTCCTTTGAGAAATGATGGCATTTTGGCTCATTCTAATCATAGACCTCCTCCTCCTCCTGCTGCTAATGGTAAAACTTTGGCTCCTGCTCCCGGTATAAATCCTTCAGAAAAGAAAAATCCAAATAATTTAACCATTAACCCTCCAAATAATTCAAAAGAACAACATAAATCAATTCATTTGGCTGAAATCTATAATAACTATAATGAAATTGAATCTCCCTCTGATCAATTTCAAGTTGATAGAAATAAATTATTAAATGGCGGTCCCGGTGAAATTAAAGAAGAAGATTTACCTTCAAGAATGCAAAAAATTAATCTTGCCGGTAATGGTCCTGGTCCCGCTTATCCAAAAGATGATCATGAATTATTCAGTGATGATGATTCTGATGATGAACCTAAACAAGTTGGTAAATATCCTGGCATTCCTCAAAATCCTGGATTGGCAGTCCCTAGTTATGGAAGTCGTAACGGTAGTTATTCTTCGGTTCAATCCCCAATGACTCAATATAATGAATTCAATCAACAATTTAATAAACAGGTTGTTGATCCTCATAAGCCTCCGTTTGCTAGTTCGGACGATGATAGATCTGAAACTGAATCTCCTCCTCCGATCCCTCCTCCTCATCAAAATCAACAATATCCTCCAAATCAACAATTCCCTCAAAATAAACAATCAAACATTCAGAAATCGAAACCTTCTTATAATTTGGCTAATAATACTCAAACTCCTCCAGTATTATCTCCTAATAAACCAAGATATATTACTTCTCCAAATCATTCCCAAAATCAACTTCCTCGCTTCCAAACCCATGATACTTCCGTTCCTGGTTCAGCCCCTACTCCGGTTCCGGCTCCTGCTCCGGTTCCTCAAGGTTATCAACAGGGTGCTCCTCCTCACCAACGTATGATGAGAGGTCCGGTTCCTCCTCAACAGTACGGTGGTGCTCCTCCTCCTCAACAGTACGGTGCACCTCCTCCTCAACAATACGGTGCTCCTCATCCCCAACAACAAATACATCCTCAGCAACCTCCCCAAGGTAATTCATATCCAAACTCTCTGCAGTTTGGCTATCAAGCACCTCCTCAACCGCAACCACAACCACAACCCCATCCTTATCAGGGACGCCCTCCTATGCAAGGTTACCCTCCAAATGGTTACCCTCAAGGTGCTCCAATGGGTGGACCTCGCCCTCAGCAATTTGGTGGTGCACCTGGTCCTGCCCCTGGTCCTGGTCCAGCTCCTCCAGGAATGTATCAAGCAGGTGCTCCTCCACCAGGGGGTATGAAAAAACCTGGCCAACAAAAATTAAGTCCTGCTATGCTTGGTGGTGGTCCTAGTACAGCTCCTGGTATGGGAAGTGGAATGCCACGTCCTCAACCTCAAAATGCTGCTAGTATGCGTGCTTACGGTAATGATGGTCCTTCAGGACAATATCAACAAGGTATGCCTGCAAGAAATAATCCAACTGGTAGACCTCCTGTACAACAACAAGGAGTTCCTCCAGCTAGTTATGCAAGAAGATATTAGTGGTATGTTTTTGTATTTGCATTTTTTTTTTTTTTTTTTCAAAAAACTCCAAATATGATTCTATACCTTCATTCTATTTTTATTTGAGTTTTCCTGTTTGCTTTATTGCATTTATTCGAAATGTGTCATTTTTAACTTTCATTTTCTTTCCTTGTATTTTACTAAATTTATTCTTTCTCCCTGTTATCAATATCGTTTGTCGTAAACGTCAAATTCTACAATTTACATAAATATTCCTATATATATATATATATATATATACATTGGCTTATGAAAAACATTCAATATTATTTATGTAAATTCTCTTAAACAAAGTTTGGGTATGACTCCCTTTTTCATACCCGCATTCATGGCTAAACTCTGGGGATTATGGGTAAATGTTAATTGGACTAAACACCAACCGTCCAGGTGTTCCTCAATGATAACAGCTTGATCTCCTATTTGAATTGTAAGCTCATCAGATTTTTGACGTTGATAATCTCTTATGACAATGTATTTTTTCCCGGTGGGCTTCCGGCCCTTTGTGTTTGAAGGTAAAGCATTTTCAAAGCCTTGCAAAGACGTTGGATTGGCGTTGTAAGTACTTATCAAAGGTGGAAGCTTTGGTGGTTTCCTCTTTTGGGGTGGATCATCGCTCAATGGAGGAAGTTGGACCGAGTCCTGGCTTGGTGAATGATGGAGGTTGAATTTTTTCAAAAAAGTAGGTGTTTTCAAGACGGGAGTAGAAGGCACAATTGGTCGAGATAATGATAGTTCTGAATCATTACTTATGATCAAACGGCTTAGTCTATTCAAGAATGAAGGCTTGGGTTGACGGAGATTCTCGATATCTCTTGCACCAATAGTGGCTTCATCATCACGATCTCTATTTTTAGCAAACCACTCACTCGAGATTGTCCTATCAGTGGCACTCACTTTGAAAGAGCCATTCTGATTTTCGGTCAATTTACCATCAGTCATGAATCTGTTGGTCCCGTCATGGTCAAACTTTTCACTTGTATCGAATGAAAGAAAATTATCTTTGTAAGGAGAAATTGCATTTCTCTTCTTTTCATCAAACTTTCTTTTCTTCCAAAAATACCAACCGGCAATAATTATCAGGAATAGACTTATAACTGCAAGGGGTATACCTATTGCCATCCCAAGTTTGGCCAGACTACTCATGCCAATCGAATGAGTTGTTGGATAGTTATCTACTGTTATTGGAGACGAATCTGTCGAAGATTGCAACAGAACTCTGGTGGCAGACTTAGAGCTAGTATTAGGTGAATTAGCGGAGGTAGATGAAGTGAAAAAATTAGATTCATAAGCTGTTGTTGATATACTCTCAGATAAGCTTGTACGAGAAGTCCGTCTGGTTGTCTTCAACAAACTTTCACCAGATGATAGAGTATATGTTGTTGTTAATGTGATGTATACGGTGCTTGACATTTCAGTATTTAGTTCAAGGTACCAACAGAATAATCGAACCCGACAGAATCCGTTAATATATATGTATACTTGAGTTTGACTGTCGCAAATTAAGTGTTTCGAATTTTGCAGTCAGATTTTTTTCGTTCGCTTCTTTGCAGTAAAAATGTTTTAGATTTCCTACAAAACATTAAATGCTGGAGATTATTAACTTTTTGTATTTGAAAAGGTCTAGATGTGAGAGTATCAGGCTGAAACGTCATTATAGATTGGTAAAAGGCTTTCATCATCTTCATGGGACGCAGGTTTATCACAATTATCATTCCAGATTGAGTTGAAATATTTATGGTAAATCAAGTTTGCGAAAAAGATACCAATGATACTACCCAAGATAATATCACTAAAATGATGACGGTAGTCTTGGACTCTCGACAATGCCACGTAGAAACATAAGAGGATTGGTAAGAAAGCCAATAAATATCTATATATTGAATGATTTTTCAAGTCTATTGGGTGAAACAATTTGAATTGACCAAGTAGCCAAAGAGATAAGTATAATAAGCCACTGAAACTAATGGATGAGTGACCTGAAGGGGTTGATCTCATCCCATCTAAAAGAATGGCTTCCCCCAATGGAGCAGTACATATCGAGGCATCCACGAATATGTCTGGATCGGTATCGCTAGGAGCTCCACATCTTTGTAAGAAATCGGGTCTGGGTCTAGCAATCCAGTTTTTCAATATATCGGTGAACACTCCATTAATCGAAAGAGAAAGAAGCAAGCCTAAAACTGAAATTTGAAGTAAATGTAATGATTTATTCACTTGGTCTGGATTATTAAGATTCTTCTGTTTGAGTAATCTTGTGAAAATCACCCCGGTGATAACACCTAAAGGGATCAACAGTGCCAATAATATACACTCCACACCCGTCACTCTCTCGTGGTACGCAAAAGGGTGCTGAATCGTATAATCGTTTAGTTTAAATTGACGTTGAAAAGGTCTTGCTTTTTCTGCTACCAAAAAAAAGTATACAAGTAGACCCAATCCGCTTATCCAGTCAATGGCAAACTTCCTGAATAGCGGACTGGCCAAATACTTCCTCAAAGATTGAGTTAACTGTTCGGTTATAGGCATACTTCCTGGCAAATCAATCGTAATTCGTTGATATCGCTATATGCTTTTATTCGCAACGGTGTTGTTAACATTCTGCCGTGGATGGGAGTTTTTGGGATGTCCGGAGGTTGCTTGATGTACGGATGTTTCCCCACGATTTTTCAGTAGAAGAAGTGTATATTAACCAATTAAATACAGAAACAATTGTTTTTTTAATAACTATTTATATAATGTAACAAGGATCACGAGAGGGAGAAGAAAGAAAGAAAGAAAGAAAGAAAGAAAGAAAGAAAGAAAGAATGGATAAAAGGAGAAAGTTTGACAAAGGCAAATTGTCAATCATAACATCATAATCTATAATCTAAATTCGTAAAAGGGTCTATGAATCACCAAAGGGATTAAAGTTTGGAATTATATTTCTATTATTTGGGGTTGTAGGATTAATATTGATATTGACATTAACGTTATCATTTGAATTAATATCATTAAAACCGTAAAAATTTCCATTAATTTCATTTTCTAAATGATTAATTAAGTAGAATAAATTTTTCAGGTGGAAATAATTTGAATCATTTAAATTATTAAATTCATTAATTGAAAAATTTAAAATTTGCTCATTTGATAAATCATATTCTTTTGGAACTATTGAATCATTATTTGAAGGTACTGATTTCAAATTACCAATGACAAACAATTTTGGTTTATTAAATGGTAAAACCGCACATAACCAAATTCTAGTTTTATAAATTTTAAATAATTCTTTGATTAAATTTCTAAAATCAATTCTTTTAAAATTAGCAAAATAATAAAAGATTAATTTTTTAAAATCTGATTGATATTCAACATTAATTAATTCTAAATCATTATTCAAATTTAATTCTTTTATTTTATTAAAGCAAGTAATATAAGCTTTTTTCTCTTCTAAGAATTTGCCACTTATTTTATGAATTTCTTTTGGAGTTGCAAACCTCAATACTTGTTTTGTTGGAAGAGTTATAATGAATTCATTATCTTCATTTGAATGATTATTAATTATTGACGATGCATTTATTAAAGTTGAATGGGTACCACCAGAATTTTTCTTAATTGAAATATTTTGATTATCAATAATGGTTAATGATTTCAAATGTTCAAATTTTTTCAAAAAATTGAATAAGATGGCGAAATTTAGATTAATAAAAGGTTCTAATATCATTACTAAATCTTTCCCTCTATCACCATCAACAATAACTAAATCATTTTTTTGTAGAAAAATATTGGAATTATTTGGATAACTTAGTAAATCAAACTTCCCATTTTTATTGATAACTAGACAGAGCATTTTATTATTGAAATTTAAGTTGTTTAAATTCTTAATAAAGTTAATCAATTTGATAATTGTTGGATTATTTAATAAGGTCTTCAAATTATTTATAATCGTTTGACTTAAATTAACATCTTGAAAGTATTTTGTTGTTTTATTGAAGAGGTTTCTTAAATCTTGTGAAGCCATTATGTATTGATCTTTTAAAATGAGTCCATTTTCTAATTTAATTAAATCTTTTGGTTCATTGGAGTATGAAGTAAAGTTGACTAGTTGACTTGGACGACGCTGCTGCTGTTGTTGCTGCTGTTGTTGCTGTTGTTGTTGCTGCTGCTGCTGCTGCTGTTGCTGTTGCAGAAGTTGTTGAGGTAGGTTATTAAAATTATTAGCCGCAGCAAACGATGCCAAAGAATTTTTTGGATTTTGAATATCTAAAGAATTTGAAGGAGGTGGAGTTATGAAAGATCTAGTGAAAGATTCAGCAGCATAAGAGGGTCTTCTGGAAGAAATTGTACCTATACCACCTTGTAATTCTAAAGGTAAATTAAAAGATTCTGGTAGAAACTGAAAGTTAAAATTAGAAGCAAATGGAGGATGAGTATTTAAATACATTTTATCTTCATTTGAATAATTGTATTGATTATCAAAATATTGATAGTTATGTTGAGGCTGTTGAACATTTGGATCAAGTTCTAAATTCGATAATTTTTTAAATAGAATATCATTAAAATGATTGTTATTTAATGGATCTTCTTGAACTGGTTGATCATTTTGATTTTTCGATTGATTATTACCCGGATTCGGATTATTCAAGAAATCTGGATAATTGAAATTCATTATTTAATGGTAAGTAATGATGAAAATGAAAAATAATAGAAAAAACTGTTGAAATTTAAAAGTGACCGAATTGAGTGGAGTCTACGTGTGGGGGAACAAAAATAAAGCACTTGAATATAGCGAGGTCTGGAGTATTTTTCAGCGGGCAATAAACTAGAATAAGCAGCAAAACTAGACACTTAACAAGATCCTTGAATCAAAAAGTAGAACCTTATACCAGATAATAAGTACACAGCGGCAAACAGGTAACGCTTAAAAAACCAGTGAAAACCCAGCAAGAGCCAGCAAGAATATGTCAATATCGAGTCAATATCGAGTCAATATCGAGTCAATAACGAGTCAATAACGGCGGGGGTCGAGAGGTTCAATGTAATGAGTATCAGAAATGGATTGATTCTATTGATATACCATAGAAGCCTGGGGCTGTTCGATTGTGTTGAAGTTTAGAAAGAAGAAGTAGTTGATTTCAAAGTGTACCCCAACAACCGGACAAAAATCGGTACCTCCAATTTTTTTGGTGCACGGGCCCTTTGATAATGAAAATATATATATATATATATAAATGTACGGAGGTTCCTTGAAAGCACGCCAGATCTACAGATAAGTATACAACATCGTTTATTCATCTTTATACAAACTAACATAAACACCGTAACCGTAAACACCGTAATCATCTAACAAACACTAACAAACACTAACAAACACTAACAAACACTAACAAACACTAACAAACACTAACAAACACTAACAAACACTAACANCTAACAAACACTAACAAACACTAACAAACACTAACAAACACTAACAAACACTAACAAACACTAACAAACACTAACAAACACTAACACCCAATTGATTAATCAGAACTGGTTTTTCTGGCGAATCCAGTACCGGCCTTTGGAGGAAATTCATCACCTTCACCTTCCAAAGCTTCACAGGTACACCACTGGTCCTTTGGAGTAATACTCATGATTGACTCCTTATGTTGACCACATCCTACCCAACTCTTATGGTGACAAATTGAACAAATTGCTGATTTACACATTATTTAATTATGATTTGATAAAAAACTAATGGTGAAACAAGAAGATAAAACTAGCTTTTATAGTGTGATTAGAACTTGACACATCCATCGAGCCGAATGAAGTCATCCGCTTTTTTTGTCGCCAAAAACAGAAGGTTGGCCGGGGTTTGGTTCCTCGGATAAACTCAGGGGGCGGGATGAACCGGTGAAGGGGTTTGGTGTGCGGGTGTTTGGTCAGGTTGGCTGGGGCCCTCCACCGGGGGCCACCGGCGCCCCCCACTGCGCCTCTTCCGACCTGGTCGGTTTTCTGTGCGACTTTCGATCTGGTCGGTTTTGTTTTTCTTTTTCTTGACAGAAGGATCGGAACTCTTTTCATGACGACATTAATCCTACCAGGAGATGAATACTTTCAGTTTTCAATTTCTTTTTGCAACCGTCAAGATTCTTTGACTTAATAGGAGAAGGTGGTTGTTTATGCTGGAGAAATTCAGCATGAGAGAATCGGTCACGTAATTGATATTAATATTTTACAGTTATTAACTTAAATTATACATATATTAAATTAGATACATTAAAAAGAACCACCAACTTGTTCACGATGGGCTTCAATGACATCTCCATCTTCTAAATCTAAATCGTCTGGAGTATTATCAGGACTAACTCTAGTACCGTCAATTAAAAATCTTAAACTTTCCATTTGTTTACCTTGTCTTTTACAAAAAGCTTCCATTAATCTTTTCATTGGAGTACTACGTTTAATTTTGAAAAAAATTTCAGCACTACCATCACTGACTTTCAAGTTGATATGAGTATCGGATTTTTCTCCCTTTGGTTCGTCGGACATGATTGATTGTTGTATTAACTAGTTGGTTTTGAAGTTTGTTTTGTTTTTCATTTTTTTGCCTTCTGTTGAGAAAGGTTTAATTTTATTTATTTTTTTTTTTTTTTTTTTTTTTTGGTTCGTTTCTCGTGCTGCGGCACGGATGTATGAAAAGAGTCCCAAAACGGGAATTGGTTGGCTCCACTGTTGGCTGTTGGCTGTTGGCTGCAATTATGTAAATGCTGTTGGCTGTTGGCTGCAATTATGTAAATGCTGTCAGCTTGATTTGCCAGAACCATACTCATATTAGCAGATGGCATAACTCAAGAACTTTTTGGTTTTCCCAGGAAACTCCTGATAAGCAGAATAAAAAGTGCTGAAATGGGGTTATAAATGTTCAAATTAATTAATTTTCTATCCTTTTGGTTTGTTCGTCAGCGAAATGTCGTTTGACGTTGGTTTCTTGTTCAATCAGTTTCCAAGGCTTCCGCTTGATATAATCTTTGAGATTTTTGGGTATCTTCTTGGGGCAGATGTATTGAAGTGCTTCATTTGTCTCAAGAAGTCAGAATCCCGCAAAGCCGTGATTGATAGCTTCTTTAAAGGAAGGATGGTTTTTGATTTTTATCCGAGGCCATACCTTAAACAGGATCCGTTCCCCGTTAAGCTATCCTGGTGGCTGTACTATCTGGCTCAATGGAATTTCTATCTAGAAGTTGGAATTGAAGACTTTTTAGATTCCAATCCAGATATCATCCCCCCAAGACTAACTCTAAGAGATAAAAATCCAAAAAGACTCACTTCGAACTCTTATTTTAAAAAATATGCTTCCAGTTTTTTCAAAAAAGTTAGCCAGCTCTGGTTCGACTTGAGCGAGCTTGATCAAGATTTTGACTTTCTAGTCGACAGCTTTCCAAATGTTCATTGGGCAAAGCTTTATTCCATCGAACCCTACTTCAGTCAGTCAGACGGTGGGTTTCTTTTGAAATGGAAAGATCTTCAGCTTTTAAGAGTTGGGGGGACGAAATTGAACGATTGGTCAAAACTTCAATTTCCCCCAGGTTTGAAGACCTTTGAACTTTCTTATTGTAGCAATATCGATTTTTCAACCTTGGTATTACCTGACTCAGTTGAGAATATTACAATATATAATCTGGATGAACATCTCAGTCACAAGCCTAGAATGGAATATCTTTACGACTTTCTTCCATCGAATTTGAAGACGCTAGTTATTTTCAGATATCAAACTACTTGCATGATCGAGTTGAACGTTCAGAAACTTCCTCGAACTCTTAAAAGATTTGAAATGAATAACATGGTTTTATTGAGCGTACATACAGAAGATGAAAATACAAATTGTTCTGTCGTATGGCCTCATTCGTTGGAATCAATGAAGTTCACACGCTGCAATGTTGATGATCGTATCTTAAAGCAACTTGACTCTATTGGATGGCCCGCAAACCTCAGGCATCTTGAATTATTTGATCTTGAATTTTCGTCCTTGGCTTTTTTAAACAATTTACCACAGACTTTGGATGAATTAAATATGGTTTATTGTTACAGCGCTCAGTTTAGTGCATTTGAAGATTCCCCGAAACGAATTCAGTTTCCAAAGTACTTGAGAAGGCTCAATTTGGCAAGTTGTAGGATTGGAAGCTTAAGTATATTGGAATTTCCACCATTCTTGAGAGAGCTCGACTTGAGCGGTGACAGACTCCACGACTTACTTGAATACGAAGGAGGTGACATTCGTTGGATAGATTTGGTCTACTTGGAATCTATTGTTTTAAAATATAACTCAATCTCAAGTTTACGGTCTTGGTTTCCTCCAGTGAGCTTGAAATACTTAAACTTATGTGGTTGCGACTTGTCAGAGATTACTGGGGAAGCCCCCATTTTCAATGAGAGACAGAACAAGGTGTATTCTAACTTAAGACGAATCGACTTAACAAATACACACTTATTTAGAATTGATGATCTGGTTTGTGTGCCTCCTAATGTATACAAGTTGGATTTGGTATGTAATACGAATCTTGAACTGATTCCCTTACACCTGAAGTTTTTCACATCAAGACTATGCGAGCTTGATTTATATAACACGCCATTTAACGATTTGTCGATCCATAATTCATACTTTGATGATAAAATCAAATATGTAACATTCCCGGAAGGGCCCTTTCATGAATTTTCTTAGTCTAGCAATTCTGTTATATAAGCCCGGTGGAGTTCATCACAGGAGTTTTCATTACAACGAAAGCGTTGCTGGCCAGTTTTCTAGCTCAACGAGATTCATCTTTCTCAACTTTAACGGGGACATCTTATATAGCTGCTTTGTAATGTTTTATTAAATTACGGCTTTTTTTTTTTTTGCAACCATTTACCATCTGTGCGAGGGGATGTTCTAATGATAATGCCAGACGCAACAAACATGACCTGTTTTATTAATACCAAGAAAAGCAGCAGTAAAGCAGTCTATGAAATTATTTTCACCAGCAGGTTAAGTTATCGGATTACAAGATCAAGTTAGTTTGCAACAATTCCTTTTTAGATAATTTTGGGTGTACGGGCCTGTTAAAGAAACTTAAGTAATCCCTTTGAATTTATTATTAGTAATTTAACCATCACTATGAACGTAATTGATGCTTATACTACATTAGATTCATGGATTTCAAAATAAAGTCAAGTGTTTTGGATTGGTTTAGAAATGTTTCAGGTTTGTTGCGTTAAATTTTATTGCGAAACTCATATAAAATAACCAAAATGTATTAATCTGCAATTATTCAAAATAAATCACCATGACAAATCACTATCTAAATCCTTACGAACAGGTTACCCAAGTGTATCTTCATCAATTTGCCCTTGTTCTTGTATTAATAATTTTGAAAATTTTCTTCTTTACTAAAACCTTAGTATCAAGTTTGAATTTTGCTAATCAACAATCTCTAACCCTTTGTAATCTTGCTAATACTTATTCAAATAACCTAGCAAATTTACCAAATAAACTTTCCCTGGTGACAAATGGTTTAATATCAAGTTTTTTGTCTTCTTTTGAAAGCCAATGTAAACAATTTGTTACCATCATTCTGAAAATAGTTAAAAATCTCATCATTTTTTATATTGATATTTATCTTGGTACTTATACTTGTTTACTATCAGCTAGTATTCATGGAACTTTGAATTTTGTCCAAAACACTATCACCTCAATAGCTCATTCAGTTAATACCTCAGTCAATGCTATAATAACAGAGTTACAGTCGGGTTTGGGTGAAGTTTCCTCAATAATCAACACTGTTTTAAAATCTTATCAGTCCATTAAAACTTTATTTTCTTCTAAGCCAGATGACATAACCTCTTCAATTTCTAGTGTCAATCTAACCATTAGTAACTTGAATCATATCAATATCTCAGCTACTTCGGTCGTTTCTGATATTAATGACTTGAATGATAATTTACCAGATTTTAAAAATTTAACTAGCAAAACAATTGATTTTATCACGGCTCCCTTCTCAGATATACTAGTAAATATTACATCTTTGAATAATACTTCAAAATCACTTCCCACTATAAAATCAGCTTCTCTAACTCAAATTTGTTCTCCTAGTGAAATATCCCATTTTTATACAAAAATTAATGCTACCATTACTAAAACTTCAAATTATATTATCATTGGATTATCAATTCTATTATTTTCTTTTCTAATATTGTTATCATACATCCAGTTCCACAAATATAATAGGTTCCTCACTTTAATTGATAAAATCGCCTTGGCTAATCACCATGTTCAGATCGGGAACCTCATAAATACTTATTCGAATCCCTTATTGTATAACCTTGAAAATTTTTCATTCTTCAAAACTTTACAAGATTCTGTTCATTGGTTTCTTAGTTATATTTTTTCTCCTTTAGCCTTAACTCCTTTACTAATCAGTCTTGCCGGTCTCATCACTGTTGGACTTCAATTCTTAATCTTGAGAATTTCTTCCAATCACCTATCAGCAATCACTTTTAATACACTAGCTGATTTATCACAAAGTACCTCCAAGTACGTCAATGATGTAAATCGGTTTCTATTGGAAGAGCAAGATGACTTGAATAATCAACTTTTTGGAGGCATCTTAGATATAACTGAATCTTTGAACAATACTTTATCTAATTTCATGGATGATCTAACTACTACCATAAATACAATCTTTGGCAAAACTCCTTTATCGTCTCCACTAAATACAATAGTGTATTGTACAATCGGTAAGAAAATTGAGCTGTTCGAAAAAGGAGCTAATTGGTTGAATGAAAATCTAAACCTTTCATTACCCATAATTCCATCTTCTGAGTTTAGTTCATTACTGAAAAGAAGTGAAAATACAGTCGATGATATTCTTGATAGCATGAATTCGAGTATACAATCCTTAATTTCTTCCTATAAAAAATCTCTATCGCTCGAATTATATATTCTGTTAGGCTTTCTTGGAATTTGGATCTTGCAAGTACTTATTGGATTATTCATACTAATGATAAAAGCAAAATCCACGAAAAGACCAAAAACTGATGCCTTTCTTGAATCTCCCCAAGAGACAAAGCAAGAAACACATCATAAGACAATAAGTAATCCTATTCCTTTAAGTGATCTAGAAAAACATCGTTATGGGTATCCATTTATAAATCCATTCGCCTTAGAAATAGCCGATAGTTCAAGCTCCAGTAAGTATTCTCAATCAATTAGTAGTACACATAAGTAATATATATATATATATATTTACATAATTGGGTACTCTAAATCCTCATTGTAATCTTTTTGAAATTCATCGTATGACTTCTCAAAATTATCCGAACATTCAGAATCTTCTGAATATTCATCCTTTTCATGGCCATCGAAATATTCGGGTTGATCCAATTTGCTGAGATTTTCATCGTATGAAAATCTTGGAGTATCTTCGTCAGTGATTTCTATTGCTTCATCTTGTTCAAACAGCTTATGTCTGTTGATTATTCGATTCTTTATGATCTTTTCTTTATTCAAAGTTCTTAATTTATCCTTTTTAAACTTTTTGTATTCTTTGTATTCGTTTTCTTCATCTTCTAATTCATCATATTTTTCAACTGGAATATCTGGGTCTTTGACACCACCTAAATGAGTATCTTCAATGAACTTTGTTTCTTTTTCAAGAAGTCCTTCTGGAAAATACAGTTGTTTAACTTCTCCAAACTTGAAGTTTGGATTATATTTATAATTTTCAGAATATCCTAAATCCTTCATCAACTTTGTAGGTGCGTTTCTTAAATGAAGTGGTATTGGTAATTGGGTAATTTCGGGTTGTTCTCTTAGTAAATTCTGACAAGTTCTCAATGCTCTATATGATTTTGTTGATTTAGGGCTCCTAGCTAATTTAATTGCACAATGAGCTAAGATTATTTCACCTTCTGGCATCCCGATAAATTGAATTGCTTCTAATACTGATATTGCAAATGGTAAGCAAGAACTATCTCGAAGGCCAATATCTTCACTCGCTATAACAATCATTCTTCTTGCAATAAACAATGGATCCTCTCCTCCAGATAACATTTTAGTAAGATAAAAGACTGCTGCATCAGCATTTGAACCTCTAACCGATTTATGGAATGCACTAATTGTATCATAATGGGATTCTCCTTGTTTATCATACATTTGATGATAATTTTTGGTACTCAAGAGAGGTTTAAGATTCTCTAATGTTATCTTAATAACACCAACGTTTTTCTCTGGGAAATTAATTTTTGTTTCAGCTTCTTCTAAACTTTCAAATTGATGATATTTTCTTCCTGATAGGTATGCATTTATGGACTCTAAGATGTTTAGAGCAACCCTTGAATCTCCTGTACTCAATTTTGCTATATAATCAATTGATTCCTTATTTAATGCTATTATATGAAGCTTATGAACTAAATTTCTTGTTTTATTGACCAACAACAAACCTCTATTTATTATCCTTACCAAGGCTTTGTGAGGTAATGGCTCCATTACAAATGTGTGCATTCTTGAAAGAAGAGCATTATTAAGATTAAAGGAAGGATTTTCTGTGGTAGCACCAATAACCGTAACCAGACCCCTTTCAATCACTGGAAGTAGTAAATCTTGCACTCCTTTATTGAAACGATGAATTTCATCTAGAAATAGAATGGTTTTTCGACCGGTTAAATGTTTTTCATTTTCAGCGTTAGTAAATTCCTCTCGCAACTTTTTAGCATTACTATCAGCACCTGAAACTTCTACAAATTTGTAACTTGAAGTATTCGCTATGATTCTAGCCAACGATGTCTTACCGACACCGGGCACTCCCCAAAGTATAAAAGATGGGATTTGTTCTGCGTTTATAATGTTTCGTAACAACCCATTGGTTCCAACTAATTTCTCCTGTCCATAAAATTCATCAAGACTTTTCGGTCTTAACCTTTGTGCCAAAGGTAATGACGCTTCACGTTTAAATTTTAAAAACTCTTGATTTCGTTTAAGGTATTCTGATCGCGGTGGACTCGAGATAGGTGTTTGTTGTTGCTCAGCATCACTCTGTTCAGTAAGCGAGTCTGACTTTGATAACTTAGGTTTCTTAGTGGGAACTACTGGTTGTGCTGAAGCAATGGGTGGTGTTGGTATTGCTGTTGGAGCAGCCTGTGTCTCCTTCTCCGCGATTGATCTTTCCAACTCTTCTTGTTTCCTTTTCAATCGTCTTTCTGCTATTAAAATGCTAGTAAGAGTAGCTTTTTCCTTTACTTTACCTGATTTGATGTCTGATTTACCCTTTTTCGATCCGGACGAATCTAGTTTTAATCCCAACGCCGCAAAGGGATTTTGGCTACCTGAAGACTTGGAACTACCCTCATTAGACGATCCATCGCCTGTTACTTGAGTGGGTTGAGTGGGTTGAGTAGCATCTGAGGTATTGCTTGGTACGGTTTCCTGAGTATCAAGGCATGAATTCACATGCCTCTCCAACAATGCTGATGGATATGGCTTGAAACATATGGGACATTCCTCCATTGGCTCGGCTGACATTCATCAATAGCTTGTACTGGTCGATTGTATAATCAGATAATGATAGAGTTATTAGTAAGTTTTTTCGTTCTTTTGATGATACGCGTATTTTTTTTTTTTTTTTTTTCACTTTTCAAATTTTCACTTTTATGATTTAGACCTTTTACAAGCAGTTAAGGGCCCGTTTTAGAACTAAAATAGCAAAATGACCGTCGATATAATGTGGAAGAAGCTCCCAATCAAGCCAATAGAGGTTTCTCTCAACAAAGTTTTGAGATGTGGACAGACTTTTCGCTGGAAGAACGTGAATAATACATGGTCTTTTACTACTCAAGATCGTATTGTGTTATTGAAGCAGTTTGAAGATCATATTCAGTATTCATGGATAATGCTGGAGGGCCAGCCAAAAGACGTACCTCATTCACAATTAGAAAAGGAAACCACGTCTTTTATTGAAGATTATTTCAATTTAGAAGTGAATTTAGAATCATTATATAAGAATTGGATTAAAGCTGATCTGCTATATAAAAAGAAGAAGACACCTTTCCAGAAATTTCCCGGTATAAGGATATTGAGACAAGATCCATGGGAAACATTAATTTCGTTTATTTGTTCATCTAATAACAATGTTAAGAGAATATCAAAGATGTGCGATAGTTTAGTTAATGAATTTGGTGAATATATAAATGAATATGAAGGGATTAAATACTATTCATTTCCTAATTTCCAATCATTAGCCAAGCCAGGAGTTGAATCAAAATTAAGAGATTTAGGTTTTGGTTATAGGGCTAAATATATTTATCAAACTGCTTTAAAATTTCTTGATAATGAAAAGTATCCAGATATAACTATTGAAAAATTGAATGATTTAAGATTACAAGACTATGAAACTGCACATGATTTCTTATTACAATTAACCGGGGTGGGTCCAAAAGTTGCTGACTGTATTTGCCTAATGGCTCTTGATAAGCACGATATTGTTCCTATAGATACTCACGTTTATCAAATAGCAGTAAGAGATTATAAATTTAAAGGTAGTAAAACCATGAATAAACAAGTATACCATCAAATTAGAGTATTTTTCAAAGAAATATTTGGCCCATACGCTGGATGGGCACAATCAGTTTTATTTACCTCAGACCTTGGAGATTTAAATAATGGTATTAATAAAGTTGAAGTAATTAAGGGAGAAGAGGAAACAATAAAAGTTGAAAGTAAAGTTATTGAAACGAATAAAAGAAATATAACGGTTAAACAGGAAGAAAAAATCATCAAAAAGATGAAAAATTAATAAACATTATATATTATCTAAACTATGGTACATATTATTAATATAAATTATTTCTTAATTGGAGCAGGTTTTTTCCAATAGTATTGTTTATGAGTTCTTCTACAAGATCTTAAACCACCATGACCTCTAATACTAGAAACTAATTTTGGTCTTTCACCATCATCATCATTTTCCGGCATGTAATAATATTCTTCTTCTAAAGGTTTACCAGCAGCATCTTTACCTGGTCTATATATGATACCAATGCACTTAGAGTTATGTAAAATAACTCTTAATTGTTTTAAAGAAATTTTAGAAACGACTGCACTAATAGTATTTAAAAATGAAGCTGGAGTAGATGATAATCTTGAAAAAGCTAAATGATTTACCAAAATATTAGTAATTTCATCAACATTTGGAATATTTTCAATACAATTTTGATCAATGACAAGTTTTTCAGTTACATCCACCAGTTTTTGTTTTCTTTTTTTCAATTGTTGATTTTGTTTTTGTTGAGGAGGTTCTTCAGAGTTAGCTTTTCTTTTCTGTTGAGGAAGGGTATTGAAAGAGTTTGTTTTATCATTCAAAGGAGTTTTAGGTCTTTGTGGTAAAGAAATTGGTTTAGATGGTAATTTAAGAGAGGATTTTGAATTTTGATGATCTTCAAAAATTTTAAAAGAATTTGCCATAGAAGATTGAGGAGGGAATTTATATAATTCAGGTTTAGGTTGAGACACGGGTTGATCAGGAGATGATTTACTTGGGGTTGGTTCTTCTGGAGTGATTTCAAAAACTTTTTTAGCTTGAGGAGTAAGAACTGATTCGATTGGTTTAACTGGGGTGAAAGTAATGGTTTTAGGACCTTGGTGATTCTTGATTAAAACTGGAGTTTCTTCATCGGTCAATTCATCTTCGTCATCTAAAGGATTGATTAAAGCAACGTGATTTCTAATTTCCAACATGATATTATTAATCTTATCAAGTTCAACTGATTCATTTCTATTAACTGCAAATTCAGTATGACCAGAATCTAATTTAATAGTTCTTGGAGTGAAATTTAATTTAGAAATATCTAAAGGATCTTTGGATTCAGTCAATTTAAAATAAGAAGCATCATTTTCAGAGGCAAATACATGACAAGTTTTAGGAACTCTCATTGCAAAACCGTTAAAACCTAAACACTTGAGAATAATTTTATCATTAGTGTGATGAATAGATACATGAGTTCTTGAAATAGTTTTATCGATACTATCAAAATGGAAATCACAAGATTTACTCGATCTACCAATGATAATATTAGATTTATTAGATAAAAGAGGAATTCTAAGAACGCTTTGATCGGGATTTAAAATGTTAAAATCTCGATTAATTTTTTTGGTAATTGGAACATCAAAAGACACTTGACGAGTGGCTGGCTTCGCTCCAAAGACGTCATTCTCCTTTTCTTCTTCATATCTGGTGGGTGAAGATGATCTTCCTGTAGTGGAAGATGGATTTGGAGTTGGATATCTTCCCCTAATATCATCAGTTAATCCTTTTGAGGGCTTTTTAAATGCGTCATAAGAGTCTCCTTCGTTTAAATCTCCGTGTGCCAATGGCGACGAGGGCGGGAATTGATAACTAGCCATGCTCAATACTCAAAAGTTGTTAATCTTGTTATAAAATGAATAACCTTATCACCTATAAAAAGAAAAAGACAAATAAAATTGAAAACAAATGATCACAGTTTCGAAAGTGCAACCTGTAAAGCACCCGAACCTGTCATTCTTAGCCGTCACTGGACGCTTCCCAAGCTTACTACACGCTCCAACTCTACAAGGTTTGTTAAATCAACAACACGCTTCACGGGACGAGTTGTTTATTTGTTTAGTTGTTTTGATTGCAAAAAAAAAAAAAAAAAAAAAAAAAAATTGTTCCAATTGACGTGTTTGTGCGTCGCGCCTGTCACGTGATATGTTTTGATCACGTGTTTCAATCACGTGATGGAATGCTCACGTGCGTGTGTGTCCAAAAGGGCTCTTGCCCTCGTTTTCCGGTCACGTCACGCAACATGCAAAACCCCTTCACTTTTCTGCAGGTTAGCTCCCTCACCGGGCAATTTCACTCGCACACTCTTCTCATTCTGAAAAATTTTGAGCTTGTCAAAAATTATACTCAATTTTTATAAAACAGTTTGTTACACCTTTTTGCTCTTACTCTCTTATTATCTATATACAAATAATTCACCATGGGTAGTATGTACAGATCCACATGTTGAGTCCGGGGCCCGGACTTGTTTGAAGAGGCGATACTCTTGGGAAAGACCAGGAGTAGTAATCCGTTCCAATTTGAAAGAAGTATTAGAATGAGATGAATGAATAAATACAAAGTTGAAGAAAAAGTTGAATAAAAGGATCAATAAAAAGACGAATGAAATTTAAGTGAATGTAGGAGGATGAATAAGATCAAGTGAAGAGGTAGAGATGAAGATGTCAAATTGGAAGGATTACGGCCCAATATTTATTAGAACAATACTAACACCTTGAATAGAAGGTACTCCATCTTTAGGTAAACGTCACAACAAATCCCACGTTTTATGTCACAGATGTGGTAATCGTTCATTACATGCTCAAACTAAAGTTTGTGCTTCTTGTGGTTACCCATCTGCTAAAATCAGATCTCATAACTGGGCTCAAAAAGCTAAAAGAAGAAGAACTACTGGTACCGGTAGAATGGCTCACTTAAAACACGTTCCAAGAAGATTCAAAAACAACTTCCAAACTGGTGTTGCTAAAAAATCATCTGCTTAAATTTAATATTTAAAATTAAGTTGTATAAATTAGTCTTTTTAATACATAGTATAAAAAATTAACTTTTAAAAAAAAATTATTGTAATTTACATTTATTTTACAAACCGTATACTCTCATTTCATGATTAATATTGGTATCTTCATCTCGATTATGTAAATCGGATTGATTTTCTGCATTATTAAAAGATGGATCTTCATAATTCATATTAAAATAGAGATTATCAGCTTCTTCATGATTAACACAAATACTTAATATTTCTCTAGATAATTCAATTGTTTCTTGTTCATATGGAAATTCTAATCCATTTGCAAAATCACTTTCAACTTGACTATAGATTTCAAATTGTTTCTTTTTTTGCAACTCTAAATTATTATAATTTAAATGATTTATTTCTCGACTTTTAAATTCACACCATTTATTGAAAATACCTTTATCAAGAATCTTTTTACCTCTTATAGTAGTTAATAGATCTTGTGCTTCCATTGATAAGGAATCGGATCCAAATGCAATTCTCATCAATATAACAAAAATTTCGTATATCGTTTCTGGGAAAACAATACTATTAATATTTTCCAGCTCTTCAATCATATAATATAATATTCTTATTAAATTTGATACTATTTCAATTCGATATGAAACATATTTTGATCTTGGAGATCTCATTATATAATTTTGTTCAAATCCAATGGCTCTTACTATTGATTTAACATTTTCTTTCAGATTTAAAAATTCAGTTGATGAATATGACATTATCAATAATTCTAATAATCTTACTATTCTAATTTTTAATGTTAACAAATGAATTTCATGATGTGACTCTATTTCAAAGATTTCTTCATTCTTCAAACTCTTCTTATTGATTGGACATGGGATTGATATTATTGATCGCTGCAATACGGTTTCCTGAATCGGTACAATAAAATTGAGTTTCCCTAAATCATAATTATTTCCTATACTTCTATTCAATCCATGAAACATAAAATCTTCCTTGATTGGAACATCAATTAAAAAAACTTTTAATAAAGATCGTATAATAGTGTCGTTTTTCCTTTGATCATCAAATGCAAATGACTCGGAATTAATCGAAGACATTAATATTTCAACTATATTGAAAATTAAATTGATTTGACCGGTTGATCTAAACCTTTCAGTATTTTCAGGTAATATTTTCGAAAGTAATTTGAATGAAAATACTTCATTACTCCAAAGTTGCTTAGTTAGTTTCAAATCAATCCCGGGTGCAAGACATAATAGCACCTCTATTATATCATAACAACTTATTAATATGAAATTTTCCAACATTAAGTTTTGATATGATGTATCATGATAATTAATAAAATCTTCTTCATCTTGACTTGAATCTAATAAAAATAAAAAACTTTCGCTAATTTTAATCATTTCAATCGTTAAATTCTTAATACATAACTCGTTAACTGCAGATTTCTTAAAAGTAATTGATGCATGGATAAGTGATAATAAGAAAGGAATGGGTAATTTATTTTCATTTTCAAGTAAGTTCCAAATCAATTGACAAAGTCTTTGATTGAATTGAAATAATAACTCATCTAGTCTAAGATTCTTTTTTATCATCAAATATTCAATTATACATTCTGATAGTGGTTTATTTGCGATTATCTTAAAATCATAATCGATTTCAATATCATTTTGTACACAAATCTTACTGAGAAATTCCAAAGTTGTTCTTGATGATCCATTAATGCAATATGTCCATATATGATCAGTCAATAAAAACGAATCACTTTGAACTTTTAAAACCTTCTGTATGATCCTTGGGTGTGCTGACGGTTGAGGATTAACCGGAGTTGAACTATAGGATAATGAAGAGTCTGGAACTTCACTGGATCCATCTTGAGTACCCAACCCTTCCGGTTGATCGATTTCCATCGGAGCATGGTCTGTAGGCTGCACCAACTTCCTCTTTTTAAATGCAGATGCACTTCTTATTTCATTATTTAAAAACTTCTTTTCGTCCTCTAGTTTCTCCACCGTGTACCTTAGATTACTCAATTGCTCCTCATTTTGATGTTTTGCATACTCCAAAGAGTCCCTAAGCTTCTTGATTTCATCCTGTTTCTGCTTCTGTAACTGATCTAACCTAGCACGAAGAATTGCAACTTCTCCATCTGCCTTGTAAAGCTTTCCTTGTAAATCGCTTGGATCTCCTCTTTGGCTCGACTCCCTCCCTGCACCGTCTCTTTTGTTTGTCCTCGAAGCCGATACCTGGACGTTATTCCCCTGTTGATGCCTGGGTATTGGAAGGTTTTGATATGATATCGGGGTAGCTGTTTCCAGACGGGTGGGAAGCGTCGAGGGCTGTTGTTGGGTCTGCAACCGGTGGTTTGTCAATGCTTTTAAGATCTCATCGTCATCAGAGTCTCCGAAATCGCTATCAGAAGCCATCACAATCAAAACTGCTACTGTATACCAGGAATTCAATCCATGATAACTGATTTGACCTTAAGTTTAAGGCTTCAGTACACACGACCGAAACTCGGTTGAGAACGCGGCTTGCAAAGGGAAATGATTTCCGGAAAATTTTACAATAATTTACGAGGGTGGATTTGGCGCTATTCCTCGTGCATAAAGAGACAATACCCGGTAAAACCGGTGATCAAAACCGACCCGGTTCCGGCTCCCATAATAAAATTTTTTTCCCTTCTCTTCGTATCTCTTCTCTGAAAATTTATAATGAAATAAACTGATTTCAAACTCTTTCAAAGATCTGAGCAAGATTAGTGATAAATAGGTTATAGAGAGAGTATAACACTCATTCAATTTACAGAAGACATCCTTTACAACTTTGCTAGCAGATATTTGTATCAATTTTTTGTTAATAGAAGCATATAATACCTGAAGATGAGTTCAAATAAGAAACAAGTTAAACAAGAAGAAAAAGAGATTACCAAGTCAGCTAATAGTGACAATAACTCGAGTCAAACTGTGAGTAATGGTGGGAGTGTTGTGAATGAAAATAATAACAATACTAAAACTGCATCACTTGTGCCAGTTCAACCAACTGCACTCAGTTCCCGTGATAAGAATACCAAAAGATTGGTAGTTGTATTATCGCAAGCATGTTTAGAAACCCACAAAATGAACACTGGTGGTCCAGGTGGTGATAAGTTTGCGTTATTGAACTGTGATGATCATCAAGGTTTGTTAAGAAAAATGGGAAGAGATATTGCCGAAGCAAGACCAGATATTACTCACCAATGTTTATTAACTTTATTAGATTCTCCAATTAATAAAGCAGGGAAATTACAAGTTTACATTCAAACTGCAAGAGGGGTTTTAATTGAAGTCAATCCAAGTGTTAGAATTCCAAGAACTTTCAAAAGATTTTCTGGTTTAATGGTTCAATTATTACATAAATTAAGTATTCGTTCAGTCAATTCTGAAGAAAAATTATTGAAAGTTATCAAAAACCCAATCACTGATCATTTACCTACTAAATGTAGAAAGATTACTTTGAGTTTTGATGCTAAAGTTAGAAGAGTTCAAGATTATGTGGAAACTTTAGATGAAGATGAAAGTATATGTGTCTTTGTGGGTGCCATGGCTAGAGGTAAAGATAACTTTGCTGACGAATACGTTGATGAAAAAATTGGTCTTTCTGATTATCCATTATCCGCATCGGTTGCTTGTTCTAAATTCTGCCATGGTTGTGAAGACGTCTGGGGCATTTATTAAGCTTACTTTCTTCCTTATATATATATATTATATCCTTTACATATAACTGTATCATTAGACATTTAATTCTATATATTTCTGTGCATACCTCTTATATTTGTAACGTTTGTAGTCATTAAGGCTCGCAAATATACTAACAAAATTGTTAATTTATTTGTGGTTTATTTGCAGCTAAATCTGAAACTGGTCAGGAACTCTCATTCTTGTTTCTTTTCAGTTGTATAACTAAGTCCCCATTGCTAATAATGTCTCATATCGTTCAAGCTGGTGCTGTTCATGGTCTAACTGCTGCTTTAACTGCTGGTACTTTTGTTCTTGAACATTTATGGTTAAAAGATATCTTGGATCTTAGTGCATCCTCAGCCACGGTCACTCCACTAACTGATTCTCCGGGTCAATACTTTGTTCGTCGTGATAGAAAAGATAGACAAAAGAAGATTAAAATCTTTAATAATAAAGGAGTTCAAGTTTATGCTATTGAAAGATTATCAGCTTTAAATCCCGTCTGGACTTTGGTTACAATCCCACAAAGACAAGAAGTTGCTACAATTAACGCTGGCCTTGTCTCTCGTTCGGTTGACTTCCATAATAAAGTTGGTATTTCTCATAGAGATATCACTGCAGACTTTGGTTTGAATGGAAGATTCAGAAGCTTTTATTTGGACGATGGTGCAAAATATTCTTGGAGTAGGGGCTCCAAGTTTCTAGAAAAAGTCATCAATCCAAGCGGAGGTATTGAAGAAATTAGAGAAAGAGTTGCAAAAGTCAAATTGATGAGACAATTCAAATTTGATTTTGAAGTATTGGTTGATGAAGCTAAAATCGATAGAGAAATCGTGTTAGCTACTGCTTTTGTTTCCATGTTAACCCAATGGGGTACCGGTGAAATAACTGACACTGTTGGTCCAACTTATATTGCCCCTAAATCTGAAGTTGTCAAAGATGACGAGCCAACCGTAAATAACGATCCCATCGACAAAGAAGAAACTTCACCAATTATTGTGGTTGTCAAAAACCAAGACGACTCCATCGAAGTTGAAGCTGTAGATGAAGGCTTGACTTCATAAAGAAACTCATATTTATTAATATTAGTCATATAGTTTATTTAAAAAAGAAAAATAATGTTTACTAATATATTCCCATTAATGTTGCATGGTTTTGGTTGATTTTTTCGCAACAATTGTGTTCAATTTTTTGCAAAATATAGGTAAATGTTATAATCCTTTACTTTATCACTATTGGAACAGGTGACCCTTAGCCTGGTTTAATATTTGGATATACTTTTTATCAATCTTTTAATATATATCACTTACAAAATTACTTTGTTGAACCTACTTTTTAATTTTGTAAAACTAAATTTAAAAAAACAAACATCGAATTAAAAAAAATTATAACAACTAAAAAACTATAGTAAAACAATCAGAAAAACAAAATTAAAAAACAAATTAAAAAACAAATTAAAAAACAAAATGAAACGTCAATAAAAACCGAAAGCATCGGTAAACATGATTCGACTAAAAAGAATTCTTTTTGTTGAAATACCCAAACAAAGCAAAACCCAAGCAAAAAAACCTAACATATTATCTATCCATTACACCTTCTTTACGTAAAACTTTTTCAATTTCTTTGAATAAAGTTTCAGTAGTAGTTTTAGAACCCTTGACTCTAGCACAAACAATTTCAGACTTTTGATTGAATTCTCTAGGATTTATCTTGATTCTAAATTTACAACTCTTCAAATCAAATGCATTATCTTTAGAAATTGACCCAGTGATATAATAAGCAATAGTATCATTTTTCAAATTCTTTAAACCAAAATTAGTCCACGAATTTAATAATGCAAATAAAGCAGTAGACATCTCTTGTTTAGGTAAAATGGTATGGTATCTTTTGATTTCTGAAGGAGTAATGACTTCTTGGTTAGAACCAGATAACCACCTGAAGAAACCACCACTCTTCTTTTCTTCCACAGAACCAGCCCTGGAATCAGCTGGGGATGGCAATTGACTGTTGTTTCCTTCTTTAACAGCTAATTCACTATTTGGATTAGCTTTGGTATTAGGTTCTTCAAGGGTCTTCTTTGAACCCCAGGAAAGTTTACGGAAAATAGATCTATTTCTTTTTTGAGGAGCTGGTAAATCAGGTTGATTATTGGTAAGCCTATTGGTGGAATCTTCCAAAGGCTTTCTAGAACCTTGATGAACTGGTGGTGTTGGTGGAATAGTTTCACTGAAAGTATTATCAGTATCAGAATTTTGATTTTTATAATATTTGGAGTGTTGAGATTTAGACTTGCTGGATTGACGAGGCTTCCCGACATCAGGAGGAAGTTTATCAAGATCTGGAAGTAACATCGAAGTACCTGGATGCATTGATTTAGTATTAGACTTCCTACCTTGAGATTTAGAATTAGTCGAAGATTTTTTCTTTTTATCTTCAGGTAATTTAATATGTTCGAAGACATCAGTATCATCGGTTCTATCCCCATCAAGTAAGCTATATTTACTTTTTCTTCTAGTGTCTTTTGTAGCAAAAGTATCATCAGTATCTTCGACTTGACTTTCGTCATGATCAGGCAATTCAGGTAATTCAGATGCTGGTCTTTTAGACATTCTCTTATTAACACCACTGTTATATTTAGAATATCTTCTACTATTAGAACCATAATAAGAAGAACGCTTATTGGCAAGATGCTCATCGAAATCCATAATTGAGCCTTCATCTAATGGCTCCTCATCTTCTTCTTCAGCCAAACCAGCCCTATTCAATCTATCAGCAAAACTGGTTCTCAAATTCGGCATTCCTTTACCGTCATTTTCATATTCATCATCAGAAGCATCTAACAAGCTATTCAAATCACGATAAGATTCTTTAGTAGAGCGCATTGTTAAAACAGATAATCTCTTATTTGAATTAGTGAAATGTCTTGATTTTCTTGTAACTGTAGGGATTTTCACATCACTAATAAGAGTTTTACGTTGTTCTTCTTTTATTCTTTCGTCTTCCTTTTCACGTAATTCACGTTTCAACTTGATTTCTCTTTCACGGCTCTTAATTCTCATCCCTTCTCTTTCACGTTGTTTAGCAACAGCAAGTTCATTATTAGCTCTTTGAAGTGAAGCTCTTTTCTTTGCTTGTTTATCTCCTTTAGAAATAGCATGAATATTTTGTTGGGAGTTAAGCAATCTTGACTTACGAATTTCTGACATATATTCTTCACTTAAATCAGAATTTTCCATTTCAGGACTTGGTAATTCATATTCATAATCCCTATCAAAGTCACTATTTCTGGAATAGCGTCTTTTACCATAGTCGAAATCATCATCAATAACAGAAATGACCGATTCTCTATTAACCTTTTTCTTTGCTTTTGCCTTAGCCTTTTTAGATTTTGATTTGGAGCTTCTATATTCAGCTTCCAAGGCTTCTTTAGCTTTACTTAATTCTTCATTTTCATGAGCAATCCATAAAGGATCTAATCTGGAAACTGGTCTTCTGGTTAATACTGGATTTGATCTTTGTCTAACTTCAGGCTGAGTAACTGATCTTCTTTTAATATTTTCGATATCATCTGGAGTTAACTCATCATTAAGGTGATCAACAACAATACCACCATCGGATATAGCCCTTGATTTATTAGCATTAGAGATTTTAGACTGTCTTTTTGGTTGAGAGATCTTGTCCTCAGTAATTGGAATTTCAACTTCACTATTAGAATTATCATCATCTTTAATGACAATGGCTAATTTTTTAGAAGACATTAATGATCTTCTTTTTTGTCTCTTTTTTTGCTTAGCTAATTCTTTTCTAGCTCTTAATTCTGCTTCATGTTTTCTTCTTTCTGCTTCCATTAATTTTTCATATTCTTTAGCTTGTTTTTCTTCTTCGTCCACTAATTTTTCTTCGTCTTCATCGTAGTCTTCTTGGTTGAAAATTTTATCACATAACGTAGCAAAAGTGGCAGAAGTTCTTCTAGTTTGTTTATCCATATATTCCCAATCAGTTTCACCAGATAATTTAGCATAAGTTGATAATAATTTGACAGTGATTGAATTACGTTTTAAACCAGTAGTCATAGATTGACGAACCGATTTACGTTTAGATAATTTTGAAGCACTACGATTAAGACCAATCATAGAATTACGTTTACCATTTCTGGTTGGGGATCTAACTGGAGAAGATTTAATTGGAGATTTGTTATTTTTTGAAGGAGATAAACTTGGAGCAGAAGCCAAAGCATTGAAATCAGCATTATTAGCAGCACTAATTTCATCAACAATTGGATTTTTATCATCAGAAGCAGCAACTTGATTATAAATGGTATCTTTGGAAGGTAAAGTAGGTGGCATTGAGCCTAAAGAACCATTTCTTTGAGCACTCATTATTTCATTATAAATATTTCTTGGAATAGCAGGAGGTTGATTTTCGTGAACATCTTCTAATTGGCGACCATGAGGAGATTTAGTTGGAGATTTGAAAGGAGAGTTACGATATGGAGAATCCCGATATGGAGAGTTACGGAATGGAGAATTACGATATGGAGAATTACGATAAGGAGATCTTTTAGTTGGAGATTGACCATAGGAATATCTTGCTGGAGAACGATGAGGAGATTTAAAAGGAGAATTATTAACACTAGAAGAAGCCGATAATCTACCTTGATTATTATTTATCATTGACGTTCTAACACCATTTTTATATTGGAACAGAACCGGCCTATTACGAGAAGAAGAGGCACTTATTTGACTCATACGTTTCTTTTTAGGAGTATTTGGAACACGAACTGAACTTGAAGAAGTAGAACGAACCATGGCAGATTGTTTTGATTTTTTAGGAGACATTGGATTATTATTATTAGCATTCAATAAATTTTCTTGATTGTGTCTATATCTTAATAATAAAGCATAGAAAGTTTTTTCAGGATTTGAACCATTTTTCAATAAACAATCTATTATATCTTGTTGAGATCTATCATGCCATAAAATAGATAAATTTTGAAGAATTTGCTTATCAATATTTTTAATTGAACCTAAAGATTTATAAGCGGTTTCAGGGTGAGGTAAACTTTTGACACTAATTAAATCTTCATTTGGAATTGGATATTTATTAAGTAAAGGATGTTTCAAAATTTTACCAGTTTGAATTCTATCTAAAGGATCAACCGTTAACATTTTTGAAATTAAATCTTGAGCATCAGTACTAATTTCATCGGGCATTTCAAAATTACCAGCTTGAACTTTTAATAATAAGTTACGGATATTTTCATCATCAAAAGGTAATCTACCAGTTAATAAAGCAAACAATATAACACCACAAGACCAAATATCCGAAGCAGCACCATGATATTTTAAACCACTTACAATTTCAGGAGCAGCATAATGAGGAGAACCACAACTTGTTTCTAATAATTTCCCATTACTTTCTAAAGCAGCCATACCAAAATCTGCTAATTTAACATTTAGATTTGAATCTAATAATAAATTTTCTGGTTTTAAATCACGATGACAAATACCTAAAGCATGACAATAAGCCGTACCTAGTATAATTTGTCTAAAATATTTTATTGCTTCAATTTCTTGTAAAGGCCCTCTTTCTACTAATAAATCAAATAATTCACCACCTTCAACGTATTCTAAAACTAGGTATAAAGCTTTTGAAGTTTCCCAAACATCATATAATCTTAAAACATTTGGATGAGTTAATAATTTCATAATAATGATTTCACGTTCAATTCCGTAAGGTAATCCACCATTGGAATTAGTATCATAATCTTCATTCAATTCTGATTTTGAAACAACTTTAACTGCAGCTTTTTGGCCAGTTGTTGAATGAACACCTAGAAGAACTCGACCGGTGGCACCTCTTCCCAAAGTTTTACCTAATTTCCAAGGTCCAATTTTTTGAGGATGATTATGATTTGAGCTCGACATCAAAGACGAAGCAATTGAAGGCTGTCTTGAATGATAGGACATATTATATAAGATTAGTCACTTGGACTATTTTAAAACGAACGGACAGGTTAATAAAAGTAAGTAATTAACAGATAAAGAAGAAAAAAAGATTTAAAAAAAATATGAAAAAGAAGGATTTTAGGAAAACAAATAAGAGACGATGAAAATTTTAGATATTTGAAGAAATATCTTTCCTAAAACAAAAAGTTGACTGACTTAGTACAAAGAAGGTGAACAAAAAAGAAAAAGTACCAATACTAAAAGCTCTGAGTACAATTCAAACTGATAAATCACTAACAGATTTGAATATACACAGAAGACACGTCTCAGGGAATATGGAATGCAATGAAATTGAATAATATTCTGCGTTTTGTTTATGTTTATGTTTGAAAGGTGGTAACTATTTGTTGATAAAATAGTTTTTTAACCCGTTCAAACTTGTCAATAATTTTGCTGATTTGAGTTAAAATCCTTCCGCACGCGACGCGTTTAACATAACACCTCCTTTCAAAGGTACAACCTTATTAAATAACCGTGTTGAGGCATTGGGGAATGGAATTTGTGAATATTCCAACCCCGGCACTAAGTTGCCTCCCCTGAATTTGGGCGTTTACCCAATGAACCATCGAAAAGGCTGTTTCAGGAATGCTTCTGTATTAGCTTCTCGTCTAGGTTGTTTACATTAAGCGTATCGTATTTATCGATCTTGTTGTAGTCGCCAGGTCTACTTAGCTCAGCACAATGAACAACCCCCCGACTGCAATGAAGTATTCAACGCTACCCTTGCTTAAACTTGACCCTAAGACCTGGCGCTTGAGCCTCCACTGGTATAGCACGTACCCGTATCATACCCCGAATACCCTGACCGACCGAATCAAGCCATTGAACTCTCTCGTTACACTGAATACACCCCATACACCGAATACACCGAACGATGAAGAAATACCTGAGTAGCAGAAGTTGCCAAAAAGTGGAAAGTGGTGTTTTTGATGTTTTGGCGGGTATTTTGATTGGTTGTGGTGTGCGGGTGTTTTGTGGTGGTTGGCGCACTTCCCACAACCAGATCTTAGACGGTGTAACGACAGTACATAGTGTAGGGACAAGTACATGGAGTAAGTGAACGATTTGCTGAATGCTGATCGAGTGGTGCGTTTGTGAAGGGGATCGTATTAGGGACACCGCAAAGTTGTCGTCGCTTGGAAAAGGCTTTACAAGGGAGTTTGCAGTTCATTTTGCAGCCTAGCACTCGTATTCTCAGTGACTTTGACAGACTATCGTGTTGTATTTTCGAAGCTATATGAGGTATACTGACGTATTTTATTATTGTATAAGCGTGGGGTTACATGTATGATATAGGTATGGCAACGGGTATAGAATAGGCATAGAATAGGCATAGAATAGGCATAGAATAGGCATAGAATAGGCATAGAATAGGCATAGAATAAGCATAGAATAGGCATAGAATAAGCATAGAATAGGCATAGAATAAGCATAGAATAAGCATAGATTAGGTATGGAATAGGTATAGAAGGTATATCGTGTGCGGCTCATTGGATTTCCCTTTTTGGTTTTTATTTATTTTTTTTTTTTTTTTTTTATAAGGCTCTGCGAAGAGCAGAGATGATGATGGTTATAGCTTTTTCATAACTCATAGAGATTATTGCTGGAAATCAGGATGCTGCTGCCTGCTAGTGAGGCTCTGCCTACCAAGACTCCAAGAAGGCTACCCAAGAAGTATAAATGTGAGTATGAAGGGTGTGATAAAATCTATAATAGGCCATCTTTATTAAAGCAACATGAACGATCTCACACTGGTGAAAGACCCTTTGTTTGTAAGTATGAAGGTTGTGGGAAAGCATTTTTACGTAATTACCATCTTAATACTCATCACATATCCCATGAGAGTCTGGAAAATAAACCATTTCATTGCTCTGTATGTGGTAAAGGGGTTAATAGTCCTCAGCATTTAAAACGTCATGAAGTTACTCATACTAAAGCTTTCAAGTGTACTTGGGAGGGTTGCTCGGAAGCCTTCTATCGTCATCCAAGTTTAAGACATCACATTTTATCGGTTCATGAGAAAACATTAACTTGTAAAATTTGTGGTAAAACTTTCCCTAAACCAAGTAAATTAGCTAATCATACAATTAAATTTCATAGTGATTCTCCAATATATCAATGTGACCATACTGGTTGCTTCCGTAATTTCCCAACATGGTCTGCTTTACAATTACATATGAAAACTGAACATCCAAAAATTAAATGTACCATTTGTGGGAAAGGGTGTGTTGGTGAAAAAGGTCTTAAATCTCATATGATGAGTCATGATACTACTAATCTGGTTAAGATTTGGAATTGTAAATATTGTGAAGAAGGTAAATTTATGAAAAAATTAGATCTTATAAAACATTATAGAGAATTTCATGATGGTAATGTTCCTCCTGATTTATTAAAAGCTCATGAAAGATTAGAGCTTCAAAAACTTTTAAGTGAAGCAGAATCTACTCAAATAAATAAATCCTCTCTTAAAGATTTGGAAAATAATGGCTTTAAAGAAATCTCAGATAATGATGAGAGCTCAGATGAAGAAGATATCATTTCTGGCTATAAACAATCAATGAGATCAATCGAATCTTTTACTTCAACCGTTCAATCGGGTAAATTTTCAATTGTTGATCTTTTATCCTCCAATTATCAAACTAAAAGAATTGAGTGTCCTAAAAAATATTGTGATAGGAAATTTAGAAGAGAATATGATTTAAGACGTCACTTAACCTGGCATGAAGCTCATTTGAAGAAAATTGAAGAATTTCTTCAATCTTTGGAACAGGAAGAATCTGCTTCAAGCTCAACCGATAATAAAAGACCTTCGTCTGAACCAGCTGATGATTTCGATTCAAAAAGGAGAAAGCTCAAAAATACCCATGCAGATAATGAACTTAATGAAGACTTCTCGGACGATAGTGTAACTGATCAACAAAATGATCATGATTATACTGAGGACAATATCGACGATTTAATAGACGAAGAACTCCGTTTAATAGACTCTCAAAGATCTGCTTAAACTCACGACATTTAATGAATTGCATTTACTCTTTCCAAGGGAAAGAGGAATTTTGTGTTGCTACATGTATAATATTTAATTTAGACTTTTTTTAAAAAATTATTATAGATATAATACAAATTTACTTCAATATCTCTGTTTCTTATCGTAACCTCTACCATTCCCATAATTATCATGTTTTCTTTTACCATCGTATCTATAAGAGCCTCTATGGTGATTATCATTTCTTGATTGTTGTTGTGGAGCTCTATTCATTTGATTTTGTGGTTGTTGCGGAGCTCTATTCATTTGATTCTGTGATTGTTGAGATGAAGAGTTTTTTAAGCTAATAGGTGGTGGGGGTGGGGGTGGTAATGACATTCTCTGTCCGGTTCGTCCCCCTTGATTTTGTGAATTATATCCCAGATTGTTTGTCGGTCTGGTAGGTGGAGTAGGAATATTTCTTTGATTATTATATCGATTATTCTGGTTATTATACGATGTTCTATCGTTAGGTCTTCTTCCATGTTGGCCATTATCGTTATAAAACAAATCCTTCTTGGTGGATGGCTGTGGGGCCAAAGGTGTTCGTGTTCTGGGGGCGGTCTCTCTTGGAAATGCTGGAAGGGTAGCATTCTTAGGTGCCAGAGGGATTCCTGTAGCCTGTTCTTTCTTAGTTTCATTTTCGACGGGAGTAGATGCTTTAGAAGATGGAGTAAAATCTCTTGATTTGGTTTCTTCGTATTCTTTCTTAGCCTCTTTGAGCCTGGATTTCAAATCATTAGACTTGGTGTTTTTTGCTTCTTGAGTTTTGTCCGTTCCTTCTGGTGACTTATCTTTTTCACTAATAGTTTTTTCTAATTCGGTCTTTGAAGATTTATTCTCAGTAGAATCTTTCGAAGATTTCGAAATAGTCTTGTCATCATTGGATCCCTCGGTTTTATCATCATTGGATGCTTTTGCCAGATCATATTTGGAATAGTAATCATATCTTCCTTTTGAGGCATCTGATCCCCTCGAATCAATTCTTTTATTTGTGCTAGCTGATTCATCATAGCTTATAACCGAAGCCAATTTCTTTTGTTTGTTATTTTCTGCTTCTTGCTTAGCTTTAAGTTCCTTTTGTCTGGCTTCTTCCTCTTTCTTCTTTTTTGTTTCAGCAATTTTATCTTGAATGGCCTTTCTTTTACCTGCATGTTCTTCTTTTTCGGAGTCAGATAAAGGAATAAAGTCCCATAGGTGGACCCAGTCCTTCGACCTAGATTTAAAATGACCAATTAAAGCACTGGAAGATAATTTCAAGTCTTCACGGTGCTCCTTAAGAGCAATTTTTTCTATTAATTCCACAATTCTTTCGCAATGGTCCTCCACAGTAGGATAAACACCAAGTAAATTTTTCATAAATGTAATTGCATTACGACGACACATGTAATCTTCAACAGTCAATGCACGACTAACATCATTCAAGATAGTAGAGTGGTACTGATATAATTTCAAACGGTATTCATCAAATGATAAGGTACTTATAGTTTCCAGGATCACAGTAATATCATTAATTTTCTCAAAGACGGTTTGGTCGGTCCAATCATTTAAAGATCTCAAAATATCAGCAAAAAACAATCCCAAGTTTTCAGCTTCGGTTGGGGTAAGAGTGAACAAAGTTCCAAAAAGAATTTCACTATTCACTAAACTGTCCAAAATGTTGATAATCGAGAAATTACTAGTTTCGAGATCATGAAGCTTGAACAAAAATTTAGCAGTGTAAGCAGCATCGAATGATGAATGAATAGCTCTTGGAAGAACACAATATTGAATGAATGTTTTTGCTTGCAAATCACTATCGTCAGTTTTATGGAGCCAATTGCTAGACTCATTGCCAAGGGTCTCCATAACAAAATCGTTGTGTTTTTTATGAGATTCTTTTTCTTGGGGTAAATCTTTTATGAAAACTTCATTTTGAGAAAGTTCTTTTCTATAATTTTCTATTGTAGATCTGGAGACATCACGATCCTTTTTACTTATATTTATTGTATCAACAAGGCCATTTTTTGTAGAATTTAATCTTTCAATCTCTGTGTCATATAATTCTTCCGAAAAGTTGATATCATATAATGAAAGTTGCCAAAATGTTGCATAGAAATCAGGTGAAAAATATTTCCAAACGTCATCATTTTGTAATTTTGAAATTTGGTCCTTAAGATCCTTGAGTATTATTTGGGCGTCTTGATCTACGTTTTCGGAAGGTTGAATGGCTTTGCTTAAAAATGGGCGCCATATTTCAAACGCCCACTCAATAGGTACACCATAATTAGATACCAATTCTGTCAAAGGGAGCAATGACTTCTTTAAATCGAGATAATCACTAAAGAAACCAATATGTTGAGTAAATAAATGGAGAAGTGAATTTAACTCGTCATTTTTATTAGCTAATACCTTTAAATGTGAATGTTCCGAAGAATAGACTATGACATCTCCCAAATTACAAAGAAGAACTAATAATTCATTTACAACTCCAATATTGTTCAACAAATTAGTCAAGACATTACCAGATCTAAATCTTTCGAACCTCACATCATCAATGGTTCTATAAACCATCTTTTGTAGTGAGGACCCACAATTTATCATGTTGATTTGCTGAAGAGTGAGGTTAGCAATTGTTTGAATACCACCCATAGAAATCAATATTTCTCTTAAAACAATGATACTCGATGTTTCTCCTTTATGAAACGACTTTAATAAATATTGGAATAATGTCTTCAAGTCAACTGATTTAGGGTAACGTTGGCACAACTTACCAATAAAAGAAGCTAAGGATTGAATCCACTGGCGTTCATTCAATCCATCATTCTGAATATTTGATCTTCCCGAAGCGGTCAACCTTAACAATATTGCTAACGTGAGCACATCCCAACCGTATTGATTAAAATATCTTGCTGTTTCTACCACCAACGTATTTAAGTTGTCATAACTCTCAATTTGCTGGAGTATTGTTAAGAAACAAGGTAGAGGATTTGAAAAACTAATTTTTGCTAACCTACGCATCATTGGACGAACATTCTCTTTGGATAATCTCTTTAAAACATCTTTAGTGGCCTTTTCTGCTTTTCCTTGTGCCATTTTTATGTGGGGATTATTTTTACCCAAAACTTGATGTAATTCACTATATAAGTTGAATTTTTCTTCTGTTGTGAAGAATTTCAATATTTCATAGGCCCTGTCTACTGCAAAAGAGTTTTCTTTAATCAATGGAATTGTAGGAAGTAAAAAGTTTCTGAAGTAAGCAAACCATTCTGAAGTCCTAGTGTCGGAGGAATCATTTTGCAAATCCCATACCCCTATATCACAAATCTTCGAGAAAAGTTCAAGATTCTGGGATAAATTTGTTCCGATGAATTTAAGAAAATCTTTGGAAACCTTGAATAACTCATCCACTGTATTTACTAAAGGTAATTTCTTAGTCCAGTCGCTATAGAAATAGCGAAACTTCTTTTGGCTAAAGCTCTTAATGGTTGGTTTGAAACTTAAATATTCAACACTTTGAAATTCTTCGAGTTTGACTGTGTTTAGTGGTTTAGCAAATGTTACTGGTCTACCCTTTTGTAGTTTGGCAAAATCTTCATCACTGAAAGGAGCAATTTTTTTGTATAAAGGTTCTATCATACAAGAAAACATTCTGGCAATTAGCTCGTGCATGTCAGGACTGACAAATGCCAAGAAGCTATATTCTGTCAAAATATAAATTGATGGCCAATATAGCCCATTACCTAGAAACACCCTCAAAAGTTGATATTTGAAGTTATATTGTATTCTCTCCGCAACAGTCTTATCTTTATTAGTGTCTTTTCTGGTCATAGAGGTGGTCAGCTTTTCAGAATTGGATTTATTGTCCTCATCATCGGCTAGTGGTGCAGCTAAAGCTAAAGCACTTGCACTTGCCTTGAATACTTGTTCATCAAGCTCTTTTTTGTAGAGTGCTTCAATGTCTTTCATTTCTTCGTCATTGGGTCTGGCATACTTCCAAATAGATCCGAAACTAAGAAATCCCTCTTTCATAAGACAGGCAATCATGATTTTATACGTTTCGGGTAAATCTCTATCTTGTGGGCATTTCATGAGTTTTAAGCCAATACATTTGGCTGCTGATTCGTTTCCTCCTTTTCCTAGACTCTGTATTGAAGTAAAACAATCACTTTCAACTTCTGGCCACCATCGCGATTTTTTCAAAAAATTAATCGAAAATTCATGATTACTAACAAAGTTATTACTGAATATATCAAGTATTATATCAAGCACACGGTTAGGGTCTAAACTATAGTGACCTATTAAGTTCTCCACTATTTCTAAAGCATAATCGACTTGATACGAGCTTTCATCCCTTCTAAATATAGAATAGAGTTCAATGATCAATTTAGAGAAACCTTCTATTTCTTCATGGAGTAAATTATATTTCTTCTGAGTATAAAAGTCATCTCTCTTACGCGTATTCAATTGTCTGTTGAGTACATCGGTTGGCACAATAGACAGTTTCGACAAGCTTTCAGCATCAATATACCTTGCGAGAGTGGAATATTTTATAATACTTTGTCTCTTATATATTTCAAGTAAAAGATTTTGAACAGGTTCTGATAATGGAAAAACATCTAGAACCTCACAAAAGATAACGGCAAAGGATTCATCACTTATTGCTAAGACTAAAAACTGAACAACCTCATCAACTGACAATTTCTTCTCTTCATATACAAGAAGAAGTTCTGTGAAAATTAAGGAGCTAATTTCTTCAAGCTGTTCCTTTGTCTGGTCTGATGCTTGCAAAAACTGAATCAAATTTTCCGATCCAGAGCCAGAAAATTGCTCGATAACTTCCTCAGTTAAGTATGCATATCCACTTTCAGAAGGAGCACTCATACTGACAATTTCAACTTTGAAGCTCAAGGATTGGCTTTCAAAATACCTTCAGTTCTTCAATCATTTGGGACTTTTCATTCTATTGAGAATCTGCCGAAAAAAAAATAACAAAAAAACTCCATTTCCGGGTACCCGCACGTGACCGACCGTTAAGACTGCAAAAAGTTGTATTTACTTTCGAAGTTAATTGGTTATTATAACATTGAATACAGATTAGAGGAAAGTGGTAATTTGTCATTTGATTGGGGAATTTCGTTAATGGATAACAAAAGACTTTCTATTTCTTCTTCCAAATCGGTCAATATGCAGATAAATTCACAATACTTCTGTTCTATTATATCTTCCTTTGCTGCAAGCCTCTGTTTGTTATCGAAAAACTGATTGAGGTTTTCAATGTCGTTAAATGTGTGCCTTGCCTGCCTGATGGATTTACCCATGACATCAAGGGTTATAGAGCTAATTCTGTCCCACGGCAGATTCTTCAAGTTTAGTCTCAAGTCCATGAAAATGTTTTCTATATGGTTTGAGAAATTTGAGCAAGTCTTAGACACTCCAATCAAGGTAGTAAGATTAGTTATGAGTGCCGAGACAATTTCAAATTCAGATCGTTCCCCTCCTTCAATTTCTGGATGTTGTAAATGTTCTTTAGAGGAATCTGACCCTTTGAAATCAATTTTTGAATCTATCACATTGTTACCGTTATTTAAGGATCCAGAAGATGGTTGTTGGTTCAATTTTTGATGAGTTTTTTCTACTACTATATTATGAGTATATGGAAGTTCGATATCTTCGGTGTTGGAACTACGTAAATTCCCATTGTCAAGGCCAGAGGTCAAATTCAAGGGGGAAAATATGAAGGATGGCTGCCTAGATAGAGATGAATCATGTTCCAAAATATCATGTTCATCCTCAGGCTCATTTTGTACCAAATTCCCAGTCTCGTCTGAACTTGTCTTGATAATTTGTGAAAATTCAGAGAATACAGGTGACGGTACCCTCTGGGTAGTGGCCTTTGTTTCAGTTCTCTCCCTGGGTTTACGAATGGGTTCTTTGTAAGGACTATTGCCCATTTCCAATGGTGATTGGTACTTCGGCTTCTTGTTACTTCTGAGTCTTATTCTATTTTTGGGTAAGAAGTACTCTATAGGAGGAGCAACATCAAACTCGTGTTCATTGTAGTGGTTTGGATGTAGGTAAGCCTTGCAATAATCAACGATTTTAAAATAGCTTTCCGCAAATTGATTTTTGATATCATACATTCTCAAATATTCTGAGGAGGCGATTTCAACTTGAAGATGATCCTTCAACTTGAAGATGATCCTTGCTATATGCCGAGTACTTAATGGTTTATCGCAATTAACCAATCCACATTCATTTTATTTGTAAACCTTCCTCATTTTTTATTGTTAGTTTTTTTTTTTTGCAGCTATTTTTTTTTACCAAATCAAGCTAAGATATATCTTGTTACCGGTTCTTTTCATATTTTTTCTGCCTGGCATATATTCTAATGAGTACATTTCAAAACATGAAGGCTCAAGAAGTGAATGCATTATTACTCGCTAGACAGTTACTACCGGAAAAACGTGCAACCAGCATAAATCCACTTAATGTAGATTTAGACATTTAAGAGCCTTTAGTTGGGGTGTAACACAAATTATAAGTGTTATCTTTTGGCTGCTTGTCATTGTAATTAATGTCAGACCATGAAGGTCTGATCTTCCCACATAATCCAATGGTTTCCGGTGCTGAAAGAATGTATAATTTTGGCGAGACTAAAGTCGCTTTTGTAGCAATACTACACCACTGCTGCAATGCACAGAGTTCTCATTATATGAATAATTCTTTAAGTTCGACAAGGATACGGCGACGTGTCATCACATTTCAAAAAAATGATAAAAAGTATTTTTTTTATATCTCGCGGGAAAAATACTGAATTTAAATAAAAACAACTGGCTTAAACGTTTTTACAACCAAAAAATACAACGATCTCTTGATTTAACTGGTTGAAAGCCATTTTAAGCGGCTGTTTTGAATGTTTACATGAAATCACTAGATACATTTTCGCCAACATAAAAAAGCGCCTCGACTTTTGTTTTGTAAGAGTCCGTGATAGTTTAGTGGCTAGAATTACCGTTTGTCGCATGGTAGACCGGGGTTCAATTCCCCGTCGCGGAGCACTTTTCTTACCATTGCGCAAATGGTTTAGTGGTAAAATCCAACGTTGCCATCGTTGGGCCCCCGGTTCGATTCCGGGTTTGCGCATTTCTTTTTTTATTTATCTGATATACCGTATTCAATACCTTAATGTTCATATTTTTAATGTTCTTGATGGTAAATCCAAAAATTGAACTACAAATTGTTGGCAAAATTAAGTATCACCAGGCAAAAAAAAGTTCGCGCAAAATATGATTTTTTTTGCATTCAATTTTTCGGCTCGGCTTGCGGCAGATTACTGCAAAAAGTGTGGTGTCAGATAACGAAACCACATCTATTCTAATTGTAAGCAGGTTATATATATGTGTGAATAAGGGTGATCTGATTTGGAATTGATTATGACTTAGATAAAATCAAAAATGACTACCGGATTGAACAGAGAAGAAATTGAGAAAAAATACAACGTAAGACCCTTCAAGGAAGCAACACCGTCGAAGAGTGGCATCAAGCCAATTGAATTGGACAGTATTGACTTGTCCTTATTTAAAGAAGGGCCAGAGAATTTCGAGACAAGGAAACAATTGGCTGATAAATTGGAAAGATCAATTTCTACTTACGGGTTTTTTTCCTTAATTAACCATGGTATTGATACTGAAAGATTTGACCATTTACGCTCAATCGCCCAATCAATCTTAGAACTACCAGAGGAAACTAAGAGAAACCACCTTGCAGGGGCTCTAACCTCAGACAGCGAAGACCGTTCAAAGTCTTTAGGTGGTGAACGTGGAGCTGGTTTCAAACCAAGAGGATATTGGTCAATGAAGAATGGTGTTAGAGATTCAATTGAGCATTACAATTTCCGGGATATGTTACAGTCTAAATTTTTCGATGAAGACAAGAATTATCCAGAAGTCGTGAAGGAATACTTACCGGAAATTTCTGAATATTTTAAAAAACTACATTTAGATATTTTAAGAAAAGTTACAATTTTATGTGACATTGTTTTGGAAATACCTGAAGGTTACTTATGGGAAAATTATTATAAGGTTATACCTGAAGATTACGTTAATTCAGGACACGGATTTGGAAGGTTTATGATGTATCATGAAATGAATCCAGAAGATGAGGCTAAAGTTGATAAACAAGTATTACGTGGTCATTCAGATGGTACTGGTTTTACTTTCATTACTTCACAACCGATTTTATCTTTACAAATCAGAGATTATTATACTGGGGAATTCAAATATGTGGGGCATAAGAAGAATTCATTGATTGTTAATGCCGGAGATGCAACAGAGTTTATTACTGGAGGATATTTCAAGAGTTCTATTCACAGGGTAGTTGCGCCTCCAGATGATCAAAGACAATTCAAGCGATTGGTGATTATTTATTTCTGTGACCCTAAATATCCGGCCGTTTTAGATCCAGAGCCTTTGAATAGTCCTAAATTAAAAAGATTAGGGTTTGTAAAGCCTAAGGAATGGGAAAAAATCGATTTTGCTAAATGGGATGATGAAAAGGGTAGACTTTTTGGGAAGAAAGAAGTCAATGATAGTCAAGGGGATGAACCTAATTTAGTCTTACTATATGGACGATTACATGAACGTTGGCATCAAGCTGAAGCAAATTTTTCTCTTGAGGAAGCGAAGAAAAAGTATAAGATTATTGAAATCAATAATTAAGTCCATAGTTCACTCATTATTGAAGACTTCTTCAATTGTAATGTCATCTGTTTTTTTCTTAAGACAAACAAAATACAGTTCTCTCAGTTCTTGTCGGCAAGCCTCTGGCTTCATTACGTAGACTTTTTTAAAGATTTTTTGCAACCGCAGTTTTAGTATTCCGTCCTCCTTACCAGTATAAAACTTCATTGCCAAGTTCCCGTTTTTCTTCAATACCAGACATGTCAATATAAGCACTCCATCGCATAAATCCATACTAGCATAATGATCATTATCTTTAATCCCACTAGTATTAGCCATCATGTCACTTAAAACAAGATCGACTGGCTTCTCATTATGTGAGTCGGTTTCATTGAAAAAATCAATAATTTCACCATGCGTCTTTTTGGATAGTATATCACCTTGAATAAAATGACTTCCCTCGGGAGGAGTACAATTAATCAAATCAACACCCAAGATTTTTGTCTTTTGCTTGCGTTTTTTGATTAATTCTGCAACCGCAACCTGGGTCCATGCTCCTGGTGCAAACCCGAGATCTACCACGTATTTGCAGTGTTTATTTAATAGTCTGAACTTGTCGTTGATTTCGATCAATTTATAAGCTGCTCTGGATCGAAAATGTTCATTCTTGGATTGTTTAGTATAAATATCTGTTTTCTGTCGACTCAACCATCTTGTGGAAGAGCTCGATTTATGCCGTATAGGTGAAACCTTTAAGATGGTTCTGAAAGCATTCCCAGCTCCGGTGTTCAAGGTTATCATCGACTTGTAACTCTTTCAATTCAATGATTTTTCAAAAGTCAAAAATCATTATGAAAAAAAAAAAAAAAAATCAAAAGTACTGTGCCTGCACACAAAACTACATCATCGCTTTAATTTTTTTTAATTTTTTTTCCTACGCTTTTTGAAGACTCTCATCTTTGATAAACGATTAATCCGCCTATTGACAAAGCTTTACAGATTATTCGGAATGGGAAGTAAATCTAAAAGTGCTGTGGAAACGGCTTTGCAAAAGTTATCAAAGAGCCCTGAAAGAATATTCGAATACAGTAATAAATCAGACAAGGAAAATGAATTCAACAGCATAGTGAAAAGTCTATTAGATCCTTTGGCAAAAGATCATTCAGTCCTAGATGAGATCTATGTGGATGGCTTGGATGCCACTCAAGTTTTTGGACAAGCCAATATGATTTTCGAAGGGGTTTCGGAGTCATTATTATTCACTAAGATACCCGAATTAAAGGCCAAGTTCAGCTCACATGTAAGTGATGACGAAGACGAGGACGTCGAAGAAAGTGCACAGTCAGAAGAGGCAGAAGAAGAAAATGAGGATTCTGATGCCCAGACTTTAAACGGGGAAGAAGAATTTGACGGTTTTACTGAAGATGAAAAAGTTCAAAAAGATGATGATGATGAAGAAGATGAGGAACAAGAGTCGGACACAGAAACAAATGTACCATCGGATAGTGAGGAAACCAGTGAACCAGTCAAAGATGTCTTTGGCTTGAATGATGAATTTTTTGACATTGATTCCTTTAACAAACAATCGTTACAATTAGATGATATGGAGAATGATGATCCAGAGGGTGACGATGAACAAATAGACTATTTCGATAGTTTGAGTGACGAAGATGAAGAAGATGAAGATATGGCATACTATGGAGACTTTTTCTCCAAGCCAGGACAAAAGACCTCAGATAAAACCGTCAAATCATCGAAAGCTGAAGACAGTGAAGATGAATATTTGGAGGATGATAAACTCGATGAAAAAGAGTATGATAATGCCGTTGGGTCTGCAATGAATGATTTATTCGCTGACGAAGATGAAATAGATGCAGAGGAACAAGTTGAAGGTAAGCGTGAAGACCAAATGTCATCATTTGAAAAACAACAACAACAAATTCAAGCTGAAATTGCCAATCTAGAAGCAGAATTGGTTGCTGACAAAAAATGGACCATGAAGGGTGAAATATCTAGTAAAGATAGACCTGTTGATTCATTACTAGATGATCCAGAATCAAATAATTTAGAATTTGATAGAACATCAAAACCAGTACCAGTTATTACTGATGAAGTTACTGAAAGTATAGAAGATTTGATTAGACGTCGTATTAAAAATGAAGAATTTGATGATTTACCGAAAAGAGTGATATCTGATGTTTCTAAATTTCATAATAAAACCAAATTTGAATTAAGTGACCAAAAACTGACTAAATCATTAGCCGAGCAATATGAAGATGATTATAATAATATAGATTCACAACAAATTGAAGTCAATGAACAAGTTAAAGAGCAACATGACGAAATTAGTGAACTTTTCGGTAAAGTTAATCATCATTTAGATGCATTAACATCAGCACATTTTGTACCAAAACCACATCAATTTAGAAATATCGATATTAAAGTTACTGACACCACTGCAGCAGCCTCAATTAATATGGAAGATGCACAACCTACGCATGTTTCAAGTGAAACTACTTTGGCTCCACAAGAAATTTATAAGATTGGTGATGAAAAACCACAAGCTGATGGTGCTAATGGTAGATCCGAAGTTCAATTAAAATCTGGTTTAAGTTATTCTAAAGATGAATTATCCAGAGACGATAAACAAAGATTAAGAAGATCTGCTAAAAGAAAGAAGTCTAAACATTTCAATGAAAAACGTGATTTACAAGAACAACAACAAAAACAAGATGCCAATAATGGTGGAGACCATAAGAGACAAAAAGTCGGTCAAGTCATTGATACCTTATCTAAAGCTAAAAATGTTACTGTTATTGGTAAAAAGGGTGAAATGAGGGATGTTAAAGGTAATGTGAGAAAATCGCAACTTCCTCAAAACTCAAGCAACTTCAAGTTGTAATCTTTTTGCATGTATATGTATAATAGTTAATGAAAGTAGAATTAAAGCTCAACCTGTAAATCCCTAAAACTCTTCGAGTCTCTCGTAATTCTGCACGTTAAAGACAGGGAACAATAGTAATCGCTTCGATATTTTCAACAAAATTCTCGATCCAACAAATGATTGTTTATTGTCAAATTTTTCATTGGTTGTTCAACATGTTAGCTTGTCCTTGAAAGCCACGGCCAGTTAATAATCGGACTTTTCATAAGGGAGCCTCTATCCTGTTTTTTTTCTAATTATAAAGGGGCCTTTAGCCTGTTTTTTTTCTTCTCATAGTAAGGACTAATTTTTTTTCGAACCAGTAAGTTTTCCATTCATTCAAACGAGAAGGAGTTTACCCAATTGATTGGGATTTGCAAGCGTCATGATAAGTTTCAGATTCCTCTTGCAAGCATTGACTACCCCGTGGGTAGTTGTACGAACTATAGCTCAATTTTATACTATCGGAACGATTTATTCCCGTACTGATAGAGAATTCAAAAATTCTCTTCGGAAAAACCTTTACATTTCGGTGCTATATCATTTATCAGGGACTTATTCGAATGAAGATGTGAAGACGTTTGTATATCGTCCAGTGACAACTGTTTTCGACTACTTTAGAAATCATCCTATGGTTACCAGACCAAAGTTGAATAATTTTGGAAAACAAATCAATGGAAATAGCTATTGGTTGGTTCAAAATGAGATCGAGGGTCTGAATAAAGAAGATGTTTTGATTTTCTTCCATGGAGGTGGGTTCAGTCTTAATATGTTTGAGACTCAATTCATGGGGATACTTGCATTATATCACGCTATTCCAGAATCTCATCGAAGTAAAATATCTATAGTGGTGGTTGATTATTCGCTTACTTGTAATGATAAAAGATATCCAACTCAAATTGAAGAAGGATGTGAATGCTATAAGGATTTGCTTAAGCAAGGATATACCAATTTAAGCATAATTGGCGATTCAGCAGGGGGAAATTTAGCATTGGCCATTAATAGAATAATTTCATATCCTCAAGAGGCAAAAGCACATTTTTCAAAATTTCAACCAAATCATTTTACAAGCTTTGATTGGACTGCATTAGAAAGCTATCCTCAACCAAAATCACTTATTTTGATTAGTCCATGGGTTGAGCCAGTAACTAAACCGGAATTACCTCTGAAAAGTGGAGTTGATACTACGGGAGACTTAGGTGCTCAAGACATCACAATGGGGGAATGGTATTTGGGTGATTTGTCTCGAGAAGAGGTCAATAACTTTGTTAGTTTTACCAATACTTCTTTTAAACAATGGGATCAAGTTAGTCCATTACTTGATCAAAGAAGAAATTTAGTTATCTATGGTGAACGAGAAGTTTTGAGAGATGGAATTGAAAAATGGATTGATATTACAAATGGCGATAGTAATGGAATTAATCACCATTTACAAAAAGGTGGAACCCATGACGAATTGTTTTACATAGAGAGTTGGGACTTTGTGGGTGAGAGAGGTCATGATGAACACCTTGATTTCAGTGACAAATTTTCTTTAGATTTAGCTGGAAAATTTTTAGCTGATATTGTTGATTTACCACTATAGATTTTTTATATTTTTAGATGTATTTATGAGTTTTTATGTGTAATTTAATAGCCATATATGATATATTTAGTTTTGTAAGCGATCAAAATAAAAAAATGCAAAAAATAAGCTTCCCCACCAGGAGTCGAACCTGGAATCTTCTGGTTCCAACCGAGAAGTGGTTACGATATCGTAGCCAGACGCCTTGACCATTGGGCCATGAGGAACGAAGCTTGACAAAATCGGCTTCTGCTTTTATATGTAGATATTTACTCTATTGGAGAAAATTCTTAAATTTATTTTTGGTCTTTTAAAGGGGATATTTCACTAATTATTAGTGCTTTATTGAGCTCTTAGAGGCTTCTTTATATCGCAAACACTTAAATTTATGCAAATACTCGGTGTTGTTGCGAGAAATTTTTATTTCAAAAATGTGGAATTTGTTAATTCCACCTTAAATGCTCTCTACTCAAATTGGGAAATTCTCTTAATGAATGTTGTTAAGGTAGTTTTATACGAATCATATACATACTTTTCTCTTTGGGGTTATTGAAATCTACGACTGACACAGCATGCTCTTTTGCAACCTTTCAATTAATGACATACCTGGTAGGCATATCATTGATTATGCTGGTAGAGCTTTTTTGAAATGGTTCTACAACTCATGTTACCCTTTGGCTTCTCGTTGCTACGTTCCTAATACAACTCGTTCTAGCAAATGCTTACTCTTCGAATCATGTAATAGTTTCACCCAAAGTTTGTTAGGCTATTGTCCTTAATTTCGAATATTTGAGCTTGGGAGAAGGGCACTTAGTGAACTCGCTCGTTTTGGTGTGAAGGGCTACGACTGAATTACAGCACAATTTAGATAAGCATAAGACTCGATTATTGGTGTAGATGTATTAGTAATTTTGCAATCACTTTCATGTTTGTTTACCTTTTTACCATGCCTAGTATGTGCAATGTAAGATACAACTCTACGACTCCGTTAATCCAACGTTGGACAATGTCGCCCAAACCTCTATCAAATTGGGAAAAGTCTAAAACTGGGATAGTTTCAATACAACGGAAAAACTGTTTTTTAGGAAAAACCCAAATAAAGAGGAATTTTCTAACAAATTTTTTCCAAAAAAACTTCAAAATTGACAAAATACCAACAAAATGACAGTTTTCCTACAATAAACAATACGCAAAGCTTAAGTTGTTAAAGCAACCACTAGACCCTTCGAATTTCAAACTTTGTTTCATGCTTTGCCAAACAAAGCACCTGCTTCCCAAAACTATAGATTGAATAACCGAAATCTTCCAACAATACACTGCTCGGAGATTCTGTCTACAAACACTCTTGGTGCAAAAAAACTGCTAATCTAGAACTTAGGATGAGCGTAGACAGTAAACCTATCAAGTAATTGAGCCAGCAGACCAGAGCATGTTGAGTTGGTGTACCGCAAGGCTCGGAACAAAACTGTTGTTCAACCCCGGTTGAACGTAGCCTGTCCCAATCGGGTATATGAAATACATGAATCTGATGAAATTTAAGGGGTTGATAGGCTACTTTAAAGATATTTTCACAATCAACGATATTTTTACATTATTATTTAAAATAACCTTTTGTCAACAAACTTCAAGTAGCTCTCGAGTGAACATGATCAAACAACAATCAGTTGTGCATGCCACAATGTATTCTATACAGATTCTTTATAGCCCAACCATTCACGAACTCTGGTCACTGGTACAAGCCGAGTTCCAGCAACAAACCCATTGCCGCTTACATAAGCGGTATTAACAAAACCAAAAAAAAAAATGCAAAATGCAAAATGCAAAATGCAAAATGCAAAAACCGCTTTTTGCTGCTCTTAATAAATTCTTGCAGGCACCCAAGCTGTCTAAAGACTCAATGCTTCCTGACGGTGCTGGAAGGGAAGAGGACCCAGCGTAGTTTAGCATTGCCTCTGGATGACAACCCTAAGCACAGCACTAAGCAGGGAAGAAAGAAAAATAACAGGATATAACAGGAATAGTTGGGAAAGGGATTCTAGTAGAGAAGGACTGGTAAATGAGCCCGTAACCCGATTTCTGCTCGACCCCCTTTCCAGTAGAGATTAATAAAATAAGTAGATTTAAACTATTTATAGAAAAGTAATGATGTATATTTACCTTTTTGAAGGAAAAGTAGTATGGAGGGGGATATGCCGGGAGTATTACTAGCAATTGGTAGTAGCAAGTTGAACATGAACCTCCCAAAAGACTTGATTGAAATGAGTAGACACAAAACGGTTTTCGACCATGGTCTTGGTATTGCAGCCTAACCTCAAAGCAATACCTGGTCTCCAGAAAAAGTTAAGACCAAAATACAAATATTGGGGTTCAAAATATGTGAATGGCCCCCAAGTTGTTTTTGCTTTTTTAGCAAATGCCCTTCGAATAACCATTACTTTTCCCGGTATGGGGCCATTGATACTGCACAATCCAAGGAAAGACCTTTTCTTTCTTTCCTGCTTTCTTTTTTTTTTTTTTCGGTTTCTATGGATTTTTATTTTTGTATTCTAAATGCAAATCTACATATTATGAGCCTCCAGTAATAACAGCCATGGATGTAGCTATTAACTCGTTTCAATAAAGCAAAATTGAAAACACAAGGGGTTACATGGTTATATTTTTGGCAATGATTACTAAGGTTTTCTTTTTTTCGTCCATTTTTGTCTTCGTAATAGCACTATTCTGTAGGAAGAGGAGGAGTATTCCCACGATTCAATCATTTATATATAAGTTTAACTTGATGCCCACATTTGGTAATTTTTTGTATAGCTGGTATTAAAAATTATCATTTAATTAATTACTTTAAAGATGAAGTTACAATCGTATTTGGCAATTTTATCAATTCTTTCTCTCGCTTCTGCTGCACCAGTATCTTCTTCCACTGAAAAGGAAGCTGCTACCACTGGTTCTGGTTCTAGTTGGTGGACTACTTTAACCCCAACTGATACTTTACCAAAATCAGCCAGTGCTCTTTCTAGTTACGATGGTTCTTTCGCTTTATCCATTAAAACCGTTTCTGCTGCATCTGCTTCTACTTCTGCAGTTCAATCTGCTGCTGCTAAAAGAGATGATGCGGTAAACCAAATTGGTGATGGTCAAGTCCAGGCCCAATCTACCTCAACCTCAGCCCCAGCTCCAACTAAAGCTGCTGCCTCTTCTGCTGATGTTGTCAACCAAATTACCGATGGTCAAATCCAACAACAATCTAAAGCTGCTCAAACTCAAGCTGCTACTTCTGCTGATGTTGTTAACCAAATTACCGATGGTCAAATCCAACAACAATCTAAAGCCGCTCAAACTCAAGCTGCTACTTCTGCTGATGTTGTTAACCAAATTGGTGACGGCCAAATTCAACAACAATCTAAAGCCGCTCAAACCCAAGCTGCTACTTCTGCCGATGTTGTTAACCAAATTGGTGACGGCCAAATTCAACAACAATCTAAAGCCGCTCAAACCCAAGCTCCAACTGCTTCTGTTGTAAACCAAATTGGTGACGGTCAAGTTCAACAACAAACTAAAGCCGCCCAAACCACTGCTTCTGCCATTAACCAAATTAGTGATGGTCAAGTTCAACAACAAACCCACACCACCGCTGCTGCTGCTAGTCAAATTGGCGATGGCCAAGTTCAAGCCACTGGTTCTTCTGATTCTTCAAAAGACTCTGATTCTTCAAAAGACTCTGATTCCGAACCAGAAACTTGTGTTGGCTCAAACTCTTTAACTTTGAAATTAGATGATGGTATCTTAACTGATGCTAAAGGTAGAATTGGTTCTATTGTTGCTAACAGACAATTCCAATTCGATGGTCCACCACCTCAAGCTGGTGCTATCTATGCTGCTGGTTGGTCTTTGGTTCCAGTCGATTACACTGAAGATTCTGAAACTAAAGATAAAGCTGATGATGGTAAAAAAGATGATAAATCTAAGAGAGAAGAAGGTAATGGTTACAAATTAGCCTTGGGTAAACAAACCGTTTTCTACAAGTGTGCTTCTGGTGACTTTTACAACTTATATGATGAATCAATTGGTGATCAATGTTCCGAAATTGAAATTGATATCTTGAAGATTGTCGATTGTTAAATTTCAAACTAAATCACTTTACATGAACTTTTTCTTTCTATGAGTTTTTTTTATCAAAGGTTTTCTTATTAAAGGAACAAAATTGTCTGGTTTTGTACCTGAATAATTTTCATTTAGGATTATTTTAGATTTGTTCAGCGTTTCTGAATAATTTGATAATCTGTTTTTTTTTTTTTTGGATAAAGTATCATTTGGATACTTTTTTTATTATTTTCTTCTTCCGTCATGATTTCGTTTTTCTATCACTGCATTTTAGTTTATTTTTAAAAATGTACTTGAAAAAGTACTGATACACTCCTTAATAATAATCATATCATTTATTAATGCACCTGTAGCTAACTTATAAATACATCGTAGTTTCATTTCTCCACAGAAATAAATTTTCTTTTCCAGTTGTCTTGCCAGCATGATGCACATGCAAGCAAATGAAACCGGTGAATGATATCATCAACCCGTCAGCAGGTTTGCTTTTTTAGCCTCTTGTCGACGCTATCGGAATTTCACAGGGATTAACGCACAATTATGCTTGATGACCATGATAATTATCCCCCTGTTGTACAGTAAGATAATCATCCACCCCTGTTGTACAGTAAGATAATCATAATTGTTACAAACCCTTTTAATTCAAAATTATGGAAGTGTCTCTTCTATCTTCAAAAGATTGCAAAATTTCGCAATCGTTTTTTTTTTGACACATCTGCCGGAAAGGGTAATGTAGCAACAAAATCCATATTCAAACTTCTCATCACACGTTGTACCTTACTCTATTCTTTATTTGTTATATAGCACAGCTATTCTTCTAAATAACTTTTTTAAGTGGGGATTCGAAGAATACGCGAGTAACTGAAGCTGTTACCATAAAGATTTGATTGATTACGGAGCACAGCAAAGGAAACAATTAACCCAACCCGTATTTATATGTTTATATGTTCGAGGTATTGAAATTTCTTGCTGCAAAAAGTTCTTTTATTAATATAACTAGAGCTCACCCATTTTAATAAATGGAATGGCTTAATATTGATTCAGTTTCAGAATTCTTTTTGATTCCGAATTCACACCACTACTCTTAATCCTGAAGAAGATGGAATGCCAGGAGGATAGCTAAACGAAAGAGCTATGAATTTTCAGTCAACGAATACATAATACTCCAACTTTTGAGAGTTACTTGATGAAGTTTTTAAACGAAACTAGAGGTTGCTGAGTCTTTTTCAAGAAGTATCGACCATAATAAATAAGGATGTGCATATGGCGACTATTCATTATCGGGGAAGGACTCAAGAAAGTTAATTATTCACCTAGTTGACAATTTTTCTATTCACCTCGTGCAAAAAGATTTAGGCATAAGAATGTATATTTAATAATTATATACCAAACTATACCCACGTAGACAAAGGCAAGATTAAATAGCTGAGAACACCATGATGGAGATTGTGTTGGTAGTAGACAGATTGATAGAGTCAGAGGAACTAATTGGTTTAGTTTATAAGTTGAGAGACGAAATATAATAAGTTGTCGCTTTTTTCCTAGCCGATTTGCAATTCTTGAAAGTCTCGAACTTTCAAAAGGGCCAAGCAGTATCTACTGATAGCTCGGAGTTGTTCGATGGAGGATCGTTGGAGGTAATACGAGTTGGCCGAGACTTTACACCGGAGAAAGAAAGAAGTCACAATAAACGGTAGCTTTACCACTTATTAAAAGACTAGGTTTTGCTTGCCGTAGATAACTTATTCAGCTTATTCAGAAATGTGTTTTTCCTCCTCGTAATTTTTTTTTTCAAAAAAAATGTATCTTTTTCCTTTTTTTGTACAGGAAATTTAGAGAGCTAGCATATTAACATGCACTGACTTCAAAAATACATCAAAATATTAGTACTTCAAAAACTTTTTTTTTCACGTATATTTTTTGGTATAATTAAAAACTTTTCATAAGGGCTAGCATATCGAAATGTTTATAAAAAGGGCTCTCTGGCCGAGTGGTCTAAGGCGGCAGACTCAAGTTCTGTTATCGTAAGATGCGCGCGTTCGAATCGCGCGGGAGTCATTATTTTTTCAAATTTTTTTTACTTCTATTCCTGAATCATTTTTATGATGATTGATTTTTTTTTTTTCTTAAGAAGTGCTTTAGATCGCTGTATATTATAGACGCGTAGGTATACGAAGAAGAAACTAATTGGACTGGGTTTGTGATCTGCTATTTATTCCATAACTTTTCAAATTTTTCGATATTTGATAGTTCAAGTTATCAATAGCAGCCAATTGACTGGTTAGTATACTCAATTGAATAGACTGAGCTTTAGAATTGAATCCGGACAATTCACTTTTAGGATCGTACGATTTCAATCGATTAGATAAATGTACAACTAACTTATGAGTTTCGAATTTCTTATCCTCAGGAAGAGTATCTAAACAATTCAAGATTTTTTCCATCTTTGATTCGAGCTGGTTTAAGGAGATATTCAACCCATCGTCTTTAATGGGTAACTGATTTGATTTCTCAAGTTGATTAGAGTAATATTGATGATTTATAATGGTAGAAGTAGCAGCACTTTCAATAAAAGTAGTTTGAATCCTGGTATTAATTGGAGACAAATCATCAACAGTGTAAGCTTTTGCAATCTGGTCATCAGTACTGTTGAGACCAAATATCACATAAATTAAGATATTAGAATTAGCAAATTGTTCAATCATTAGTTTTGTTTCTTCGTTGGGACTAATATTCTCATTTATTTGATATAATCCAATCAACCGATACTGCGGTAATACCGTATCCATTAGACTTATCTTTTTATTTAAATGATCCCAATCAATTGAGTCTCCATCAAAATTCACTTCAAAAGAAGTACCAATTGTAATTGAATCATTTGATTCATTCTTAGTCCCCAATAATACTCCATACTTCCCCGTTTTCTCTCTCGATATATGGTCCGACACATTGAGCAATGCCAATGAGTTGATCTGTATCAGCTCCACCATCTCCAAACTATGTATTTCTTCCAATAAGAGTATCTACCGATGATTTGATCTTATCAACGAAAAAAGGATTGTAAGCAAAACGACAAAAGGTGTGGTTCTGGCTGAAAAATACGACATTTTTAGGTCTTATGCGAAGAGCAGAGGCCCACTATAAAAAAAAAAAAAAAGCTCAGATGGGAAGAGGGATAAAGAAAAAAAAAAAATTTTCCTTTTAAAACACCATCTTTTCAGTTACTCTACAAGAAGATAGCATATAAGCATGTCGGCAGTTCATGACCCTATAATGAGAAAGAGGCTATTCTCAGACGTCGATAGTAATGCTAGTAATGGAGCAGAAACCGGAGGAGGAACTGGGGCAGGAGCAGGAGCAGGAGCAGGAAGCTCAAGTTCAGAAACTAAGAAAAGCAAGAAGGATAACGAAGTTAGTTCATTATTCTCAGAAAAAATGTATTCAGCATATGTGAAATCAGCATTTGAGTCACTAGAAAAGAATGATCCCATCCAAATTAATACTTTAACATCAAAGATCAATTTACCTAAAAGTCATCATGAAGCAATACCATTATCAAGTTTTATAACGGTATTAAAGATTTTGATTTCTAATATATCAAGATTAGATAATAGTTATTGTTCTAGTCTTGTTAGTTCAATATTGCATTATGATTGGCTTCTGGCTAAAAGTAGTAGTGAAGAAGAATATCTTTTATTTATTGAATTATATGCGCAATTTTTATCAGTATTAGTATCTTCATTACCAAAATATTTATTTGAAGTTACTAATAAGATAATTGGAGAGTTTATTGATTTAAAACTTGAAGGTACAGCTTTACCTCATCATAAAGTCTTAGATAAATTGAGAAGATTTATTCCAACTTGTGTCAATTCTTTCCCAACTATTATTCATAAAAATTTTCCTCATCATTTATCAACTAATTCAACAGAACTTTCACAATACGTAGGGAATATTATGAAAATGATCAGTTATTGTCCCGAATTACAATTTAATATTTGGCAAATGATTATAGAATGCTGTATTAAATTAGATGTTGAACTTCAAAATGAATTAGATGATTTAGATGATGATGAAATCGAAGAACTTATAAATGGGAATGACGATGAAGAAGCTGAAGAAAATGAAGAAGTTGAAGAAGATGAAGATGATGTTATCGAAGGAGAAGTTGAATATTTAATGGATCAAACAACTTCAACTGCAAATATTAAAAGTCTTGTATTTAAATTAGATTCAGTTATCAATCTTTTACTAACAAACACTAAAAATTCTTTCACTACTGAAGAACTTAATAATGGTAATGGTGTCACATTATTCAATACCATAACTTCTTTATTCAAATCGCATATTTTACCAACCCATTTTACAAAATCAATACAATTTACTTTATTTCACATTTCTCAATACCAACCAGAATTAGCAGATTCTTTCTTGGTTCTACTCATAGATATAGCATTTAATCCAAATGAAATCTTGGAAAAAAGATTGAAAGCAATGCAATATTTATCTTCCTATATTGCAAGAGCTAAAAACCTTTCAAGACATCAAGTTGTTTTCATCGTTAGCTATCTTATTGGATGGTTAAATAAATACGTTATAGAAAGAGAAGCAGAAGTTTATGATCTTGATAATAATAGTGATAAATCAACTGGTGGTATGGAGAGATTTAAATTATTTTACGCTGCATTTCAAGCATTATTATATATCTTTTGTTTTAGATATAAATTATTATATAAAGTTGACGGTTCTGATGAGCAACAACCAAAATCTTCAAATGATTCGGAATGGGAATGTGATTTAGATAAATTTTTCCAAAGAGCCATCTTAGCAAAATTTAATCCTTTAAAATTTTGTGATGAAACTGTGGTTTATATTTTTGCTAAAATCGCTACCAAACTAAACGTCTGTTATTGTTATTCAATCATCGAACATAATAAAAGAGAAACAATGATACAGAGTAATTCTTCCATGCCTCTGTCAATTGGTAATTTCAAACTGAAACAGGAGTTTTTGGATTTAGAAGCTTATTTCCCATTTGATCCTATCGTTTTACCTAATTGTAAAAAAATCGTTAATGAAAATTATGTTGAATGGTCAGATGTTAATCCTAACGATGATGAAGATGACGAAGACGATAGTGGGGTTGGTAGTAATAAAGGTGATGATGATGACGATGACTTGGATAGTGATGATGAAGATAGTGACGAAGAGATTACTAGTGATGAGGATGATTAAACCAATGAACGACTTTCTATATAATTTACGAACGCATATATAACTAATGTACTATTTCATTCTTACTACATGAACTGTAAAAAAGAAACAAGATCAAAAATTATTATTTATGGATGGAGAGGTTGCAAAAATAAAAAAAAAACAATGATCCCTTCGAGGATCGAACTCGAGACCTTCTGAGGGTGAATCAGACGTGATAGCCGCTACACTAAGGGACCTTGACGCGGAATTGACCACTACGCCAAAAAGCGCGATTTTACCAAATATTTGCTTATTTTGGACAGGCCAAAAAAGTTTTGATAAATACGTTGAAATGATATTTTTTGAAAAACTTGTAATTAGCTTTATTTGTATATGCTAACAGTATGAAATGATATAATGTAGTTGTGACAACGCGTTGGAGAAAAAATGAAGCAAAGATCTTTCCGTTTAAGTTTTTATTTTTTATTTTTAATTTTTTTTTTTCAAGAAATATGGAATTATCTTAGGCTAAAAGAGAAACCGATGACGGATCAAACGATGAACTTTAAAACTCGCATATTCGTACAGTCTGTTAAATGGATACATAAGCTACAAAAATGAAAAAAAAATAAAACATTAATTTATTATACTACGGAATAAATAATTAATTAAATTCAACTTTAGCTTGTTCAGGAACAATGGTTTTAACTTTACCGGTTGAGATGTAGGCTAAAATATTTTCAACAACCCATTCTTCTAAGTTTCTAATAGCTTCAGAAGAGTGGGTACCCATATGAGGTAAACTAATAACATTTGGTAATTGAGCTAATTCAGCAGGAACTTCAGGTTCGAATTCAAAAACATCTGAACCAAATGCACCAACTTTACCACTTTTCAATTCTTTATATAATTGTTTTTCATCAATAACAGGACCTCTTGCAGTGTTAATAACAACAACACCTTCTTTCATTTTAGCAAAAGCATCAGCATTTATTAAATGATGAGTGTTTTTATTGAGAGGAACACTAATGAATAAAACATCGGATTGAGCTAAAAGCTCATCATATGAAACGTATTCTGAACCCGCAGCTAATTCATTTGATAATTTAGAACGATTATGATAAATGTATTTTTCGAAACCAAAACCTAATAAACGTTCTTTAATAGCTCTACCAATACCACCCATACCTAAAATACCAACGGTTTTCCCTTCAGGTTCATGTCCTAATTTAGCACCACCAGCTTTACCCTTTGCTGGCCATTCACCTCTCACTAAATTATCATGACCTTCTTGAAAATTTCTCATTGCTGATAAACATAAAAATACGGCAGTTAAAGCAGTTGGTCCTTCAACTGGTTCAGTAACATTTGAAATTTGAATTCCCTTTTCAGTAAATGGATCAACATCAATTTGATCATAACCAGCACCACAATGACTAATTGATTTAACTGATTCTGGTAAATGACTAGCTAATTCTGCATCAAATCTACCAGTTTGTTCAATACTTTGAAAAGTACGAGCAATATTGGTAATATCGCTATATTTGCTCTTTAAATCTTTGAAAAATTCTTCACGATTTGATGAAGTACATTCAACAACTTCGGCAGTTTTAGCAAGTTCTTCCCATTTCTTCTGAGCAAAGAAAACTTCTCCGAGTTGTAATACTTTTGGTCTGGTTGTTGAAGTAGTCATATTTCTGGTAATGTTTGAGGATTTAATTGCACTAGAGCTTCTGATTCTTTGAAAAATATGATTAGTTATATGAAAGATTCTTGAAATCTGTGTTTGTTGCATAAGTAGGACTAATATATATATTCAATTATCAAGATCAAATATATCTCTTCGTACTTAAGATAAAGATTCAGAGTCAATTTTCCAACTAAACTCAACACCAATTAGGAAAATAAAAGAGTATCCTCTGGAATAAAGTCAAATCAGATAGCCAATTTTTGAGGACAATCCTCCGTATTTTTATACCCCTTTCTGATAAGAAACTCGCAGCATATCAGCTCAAAGTTTGAGTAGTTTTTCCACGACGGTTGAATCAGCATTTCGTTCCGGTTGACTCATTTTTTGCCATTTTTTTTTACTTTTTGGTGTAGTTGTTCGGCATGGACTCGTTCACCCCGGGGATGCCACACCAGCCTTGTGACTGCCAATTGAAACGAAGATAAGCCTGAGTCTAGAGGCTGGACCAGGTGGATGTTCTTTTAGATTAGTCAGTCGGTAGCAGCGGAGTGCGAGTTGGGGGCACCGAGTATCCTCCACCCCGACTCAAAGGATATTGGGGGATATTGGGGGAAACTGTCTATATAAAAGTATACGGGAAACTGTATATATATATCAACTTCTGTATAGGTATAAACTTTTGTGGGTATAAACTTTTATATATGTATATACTCAAACTTTATATAGTCTAGTAGATAAACTTGGAACCACGTAATTGGAATTGTGGTTGAGACTTTGACTCAACTTTAGAAGTTGATCTTTCTGGGAATCCTTCGAAAGTTTTGGCGTAAACGGCAATGGAATGGGAGATCAACTGGGTATTGATAACCCAGGCTTCATAGTCGGGGTTTTGTAAATCGTCACATAATTGGTGATAACATGGATCAAACCACTGACCGGCTTTACCACCGAATTTTTCTACACCTTCTTGGGTTTTAACCCCTTCAGCCCCAGTAGCAATACCACCAGCAGGAATATCAACGTCGATAAAGCCAACGTAATCTGATCTACCGTCGAAAGGAACTAAGGTATAGTTTAAGCCATGCTCAAGGTACCAATCGATATACAATTGCTTTAAATCACCTGAACCGTTTGGATGATCTTCATTATTAGCGTCGTAAACTTGATATTCATAATTTGGAGAGGCCATCATATCATAATCCATAAATAATCTTAATTTCGAATTTTCGGCTTCATCTAAAGATTCAGCATATGCAGTTGAACCTAATAAACCTTCTTCTTCAGCACTCCACCAAGCAAATCTAACTGCATTATTAACTTTGAAATTAGTCAATTGTTTGGCAACAGTTAAGAGAGAAATACTTCCACTACCATCATCGTTAATACCTGGTCCAGCACCAACAGAATCGGAATGAGCACCCAAGGAAACAACATTATCATGATCTCCGTGGGCAGTTTCAGCAATAACATTTAATGTACTAATGTTTCTAACATAAGCATCAACAAATAATGAAGTTTCAAATTTATAACTTGGATCCTCAATTAATTTATCAATATAGCTTTTAACATCTTTTTCTGAAACTCCTAAAGTTGGAACTTCATTACCTTGAGGAGTACCTAAAGTTCCCAGTAAAGACCCATTAGAGTCGTAAATTATAGCTCCCTTGGCTCCACTTTTACCAGCATTATTAGATTTATCTCCAAAAGGACACTCTCCTCTTTTAATTAATACAATATTATCTTTTGTTAAATCATTTGGGAAATCCAGTAACGAACATCCATAACCATCAACAAGAATTAAATCCCCATGCACAACACTCAAATCAGGAGTAGCTGGAGTCATCGAAAAAGCTTCTAAAGATTTTGGTTGAACTCCATCAATTAATAAAGAAAATGAGTTTACTTTACCGTCAATAGCATTGAATCTTTGAGTTTTAACTTTATAGTATCCTCCCAATTTTCTAATTTCATCAATGATGTAACCAATAGTACCCCAATGACCAGGAGATCCAATCACACGAGTTGGATTACCATATTCCAGAACTGAATTAAGCGAAATGTTATATAAACTTTCTGCTCCTTGTTTCAAATCTTCTGCTTTGATCAAACTTTGCAATTGCTCAGTATCAATCTCTGGCAACTTATCAAAACTTTCAATACTCATCAACTTATCATTGAATTCATTTGGATATTCTGGTTTATCAAAATTTAAAAATTCAGGTAAATTTAACGGAATTGAGTCTTTAATATCACCAAATTTTGGGATGTTCAAGTTCAAAATTGATTGTTGAAATCCATCTAACGATAATGGGATTGCATTGACTGCAACCAAACAGCTAGCAATATTTAATAATGCAAGCTTCATCCTAATTGTATTGAGAGAAGAGAGTTACTCAAAAGTTGGACTTTTGGTCCTATTTTTATATCGCGACTTTATTACTCATTTTCTGGTGCCATTCCATTTTGAGTGCCGGTCCAGCAGACCATAAAAAAATAAGATGAAATGTTGAAAATGACTTTTATTACTGTTATATACATACGATAGACACCTTAAGATTAAGATGATTTTTTCTTTCTACTACCGAATTTTTGACCTTGACGTTGGCCTCCAAAACCACCAAAATGGAAGCTTCCTCCGTTGCCTTGTTTCATGAATTGTCTCATGAAATCACTGTTGAATTGGAAGCCTCCTCCACCACCTCCGAATGGATTGTGATGCTGCTGTTGCCTCTGTCCACCCATTGGATCATTTGGATCGTCACCTTGGTCATAACGTTCTCTCAATTCTTTATTGGATAATACTTCGTAAGCTTTGTTAATTTCTTGCATTTTATGTTCGATTTGTTCAGGAGTTAAGTCATTTCCTTTGTATTTATCTGGATGGTATTTCAACGTTTGAGTACGATGAGCTTTCTTAATTGTTTTTTCATCGGCATCTCTTGCAATATCAAGAATTTTGTAGTAATCGTTAGCAGGCTTTTGTCTTTGTTGTTGTTGTTGTTGCTGCTGTTGATATTGACGTTGACGTTGTTGTTGTTGCTGCTGCTGACGGAAATGCTGTTGTTGCTGACGTTTCTTATCATAAGCTTCTATGATTTTCAGACGATCAAGGAATAATTGAGTTCCTTTCACATTTTTGTTAAACTTATTCAACAAATTTGCAGCCTCTTGATAATTTTTTTCTTTTAGTAATTTATCAATTTTTGGTACATGTTTAGGGAAGAATGGGTTTTCATTTATATCATCATTAACGCTTGATTTGCAAAATTGATTTGCGTTTTTATAATCTTTCAACTGAATGAAGGATTCACACGCAAACTTATTTAAATCTTGAGTGAAACTTAATTTAGTAGCATCAGTCGAAAACTCTTTAGAAAACTCATCTGCTTTATGCATAAGATAATCGTAATTAGATTTAACTTTACGGGGTAGATTTTTCATTTCCAATTTAGATACTTGTAATGAATTTTCAAATAAGAACTTATTAGCAAACTCCCAGTCAATTTCAATATCCTCTATTTTATTTGATGATTCTTCGCTTATCAAGTAGACATGACCTTGCCAAATTGAATAATCTTCTAAAAGCTTAAGAAAGTTTTGAAATTTGACAAACATCTTGGATAAGGAGCCACATTTTTTGAAGTCGTTATTAATTCTTAAACAGTTTTTAACAAAATGCCAACTTTGACCAAAGTTGGTTTGAGTAAATAGTAATAATTGGGAAATATCACTATAGTTATCTAAATCTTTCATTGGCTGTAACTTGATTAACTTATCTAAAGTCTTAATTATTGGTTTAAAGTTATCCAGATTCAGACTTGATTTTTTCAAGCATACAAGACGATATTGGTAAAGTAATGGATTTGAAGGAGTAAAGGGAATTAAAACATCATCCAAAGTATTCAAACATTCTTCGACTTCTTTGTCTTTCAATTTTTTGGAAGTGACTAAAGATTCAACTTTTGCCAATGATTTCCCCCATTCTTTTATATCTTGATCTATTTTTTGATGTTTTTCATCCTTTGAATCCAAGTATTTTTGAATTGTTTCAAATTCAGCCTGTTCAACTAACAAATCGATCAATTTGTTTTGAGCAGGCTTCATTAACGGATCTATTTCAAGAACTTTGATTAGATCATCTATTGCAGACTTGATTTTATTTAAGCTGATTTCAATCAAACTCTTCTTGAAGTATACTTGAGCTAGTTGGTCCTTATAAGTATTGTGATCATCTTCATCCAAGTCTTTAACTAATAAGTCTATAGTATTCAAAACATCAATTGTTGGACCTTCTTGTTGAAATTTAGTATGAACTGATTGAATTCTATTGATTATTTCAGAACTAGACCCTACAACTGGCTGTATATTACTTAAAAGCACCAAAGGAATTAGTAGAAGCTTAGGTCTCATTATTCTATAAGGATCTTTGAATATTAACGAGATTTAAGTGGTTCTTAGTTTATATTCTGGTGATATTTTGTTGCTTTCGTGTTGTTTTTCTGTCAAAGAATTTACAGGAAAACGTTGGAAAATTATAGAAAAAAAATATTGAAATATGCTAACAAGGCTGAAACCTTTAAAACAACTTACTGGACTAGGCTGAACAACCCACAAGGCTACAATGATATATGAATGTAGATATAGATTTAAATGAATTAAAAGAGTGCTAATTTACAAATTCTAACAAAGTTAGAAGAAAAGATGAAGTCTAACAAAGTTAGAAACAAATGAAAAGAAGTAGTGAGATGAAAGGATCTATTTGAATAATTTAGCCAAGGATACGGCACCTTCATCATTTTTAGACATGACTTTAGCAACAGCTAATTCGAAATCTTCTTGAGTCACATGGATTCTACGTTCTCTTAAAGCGTACATACCAGCTTCTGTACAGACCCCTTTAACATCAGCCCCAGAACAGCCATTCATTTTTTCAGCAATTTTACGTAAATTGATACCTCTGGTCAAGTTCATTGATCTAGAATGAATTTTCAAGATATCAGTTCTAGCAGTAACGGTTGGAGCAGGAAATTCAATTTTACGATCAATTCTACCGGGTCTTAATAAGGCTGGATCTAAGATATCTAATCTGTTAGTAGCCATAATGATTTTAATATCTTTTGAGCTTTCAAAACCATCTAATTGATTTAATAATTCCAACATAGTTCTTTGAACTTCCGAATCCCCACCAGAAGACCCTTCAACACGGGAAGAACCAATAGAATCAATTTCATCCATGAAAATAATCGAAGGAGCATGTTCACGAGCCATGATGAATAATTCACGAACCATTCTTGAACCTTCACCAATATATTTTTGTACCAATTCTGAACCAGACACTCTAATAAATTTACATTCGGTATGATGAGCTACTGAACGGGCCAATAAAGTTTTACCGGTACCAGGTGGTCCATATAATATAACCCCTTTTGGTTGAGCAATACCCAAACTTTCAAAAAGTTCTGGATGTTTTACTGGTAATTCAATAACTTCTTTAATTTCTTTAATTTGTTTATCTAAACCACCAACCATATCATAAGTTGAATCAGGAACTTTTTCAACCATCATCAAGGATACTAAAGGATCAACCTTATTTGGCAAAATCTTATGCAAATCATAAGAATCTGCTTTAAGACAAACTCTCAATGATGGAGTTAATTTTTTAATATCAATATCTTTTGAAATATTAACAATATACTTCCCTTCTGGGTGAATCTTCACCAAAACCTTTTTCAACCCCATTACTTTAACCACTTCCCCGACGTATGATCCTGGTTCTTGTAACAAACGTAATTCATCTTTCAATTGTCTTACTTTTGAATTCAACTTATTACGTTGTGCTTCTAATCGACGTAAGTTTTGGGTGGTTGATTGGATCTTAATTTCAACATCTTGAATCTGTTGTTCAAAATATGGCTTGATCCCACCTTCATGAACGTATTGTCTATCAACAGTAGTAGTCATTCTCCCTGTATCTTTATATCTATGGCAATTAGTCAATTAACCATTAGTCTTGCTTAACTTGAGGTTTGCCTTCAAAGATTGAGAACTGACAGCCAAACAAGAAATTGGCCACCTGCACACGACCATTTTTTCAACTATAACAATTTTTCAAATTAGAAAACTGAAAAACTACTGACAATACCTGCTATTTACTACAAGATGAAGATATCGGTGTTGTTGGCAGCACTAGCACTTGTGCTGGCGAGTGCTGCGCACCAGAAGTTCTGCAAATGCCAGTGCAATGGCAAGAAGTTGATCGAACCCATAGATAATTGTGGATCATGTACTAAAGACTTCTGTTTAACTAAGGATGAAAAATTATGTGAAGTGTCCGACGTAACCAAGACTGACTTACATTTGGAGGATGTTAATATCTTGATCAGTTGCTATCAAATCGAGTCGTTTAAAGATCAATTGATTATATATGCCTTTGTACTTGTTGTGTTTATACTATGTGTGTATGGATTAGTGTTTAGAAGATGACAATGTCACGAATCAGTAGAATAATGAATATCACGATTTCAATTAGTGTTCGGTGTAGTTGATATTAAAAGAGCAAAAAAGAAAGTCTACAGCACGATGGTTTCCATTATGGTCTCCCACTAACGTACTCAGCATCGCTCTCAGCAGCTTAATAATTATTGATCGGACGGGTAATCATGCTTTATGCTGGATATGGCCGTAGACGTCAATTTGGAATTTGGGGTCTTGATACTGGCGTTTCTCTAGGGTCGGAGGAGAAGTCTGCTTTTTTTAAAAGTTCTTCAAATACTCAGATTAAAGGGTGGGTGTTGGTATGCAAGCTGCTTTAGCTTGTTGTGAATTGCCGGAGAGTTTTGGAAATGGAGTTGCTAACAAAAAATGCCATGGTTCTGTCCACCAATCTAGATCGACCTCATTAATATTAATGGTAGGGCAGTGGATACTCTGATTTGCTCATCAAAGGACACATATACTACAGGGGAGTTAAAGCCTAATAGAACTATTAGTCATAGTACGTTCTATTGTGAGGAAAAATCATACGTAAGTCTTTTTGGAATGGCCTATGGAAGGTATAGTTATCGTTTTTATATCTATCGAACACACGTCTACTCTGGCAATTCTTTCTTTGAATTTTTGCAGCAAGACATGAACCATTGAGCTCTGTCGATAATCATTTAATCGGCTCATACCAGATGAAGCACCAAAAAAGTAATCGTACATTGCCCTTTGCAGCCATTCTATACGTGAATTAGAACACTTCTTGTCAATTGTGGTATGATGGAGCTTAAGAAATCATACACTTACAATTCATTAATTGGTTTCATTATCTAGTCTAATGCAATAAGCTACCCAAACGAAGAGTGATTTACTCTACTTTGGGCTATTGACTATGTTACGTCCGAAAACTGTGTCTACTGCTTGGACATCTGCGAACGATAGAGGCTGACTCGCCAACAGCCGATACTGACAATTCACTTACCTAGCTATTCTTGTCTTCACTACGTCTAAGTACTAGGTACAGTTTTTGCAGCAAAAACTCACTGAAGTACAAGTTTCACCACAATTCCCCAAATCAGGTTAATTCGTATATCTACAAACATTCAACCTTACACGAAAACATATCATCTTTTCTGCAAACTCTTTACCTTACAAGGAATACTTATCTGTTTCTCTGTTCAGCTTCTTCTAATACCCTCGTAGATACCGTTTCGCACAAACGGGTGTCCCGGTTCCGGTCGCATTCATAAACCGGGGAATGGCCACCAAGACACCCGACCAACCGGGCACCAAATTCAAATCCGGGACCGAATCAGCAAACAAAGACCCGGACACCAACCAAAAATATTTTTTTTAATTTTTTTTTTTTTTTAAATTTTTTTTTCTTTAAAAATGAAAAATTTTCCAATTTTTTTTATTTGTGAAAGTTTTTTTTTTTTTTTGAGTGGAAAATCAACTTTTTTTTTTTTGATTTGTTAGCGATTTTTTTTTTCCTTACTTTTCAAAGTGAGTGAAGAGTTTTTGGATAATTTTTTGCTCTTCTCTTTTTCTTTTAAACTCAAGTTTTGGTCATTTAAAACAACCATCCCTATTATTAATACCTAGTAGTACTTAATAGTAGAAGAATTGGGATACTTTGGATACTTTTAGTATATCTTATTTGTATATCCCATTTTCTCATATCCCAATAAAAACAAAAAAAAAAGAAGAAAGAAGAAGAACAGTTCTTTTAATTGAAGGAACCCAAGAAGAAAGCCAATCAAGAGAAGATATTTCATTACCATCTTATCAAGATTGCCGTTCATCTCCATCCAATTTCGATCTTCTCCTTCTGTTTTCTGTCCGTGTGATCTAGATCAATTCTTGTATTACCGGTAAAGGAAAGCTTTTGATACTTTTTATTTTTTCATCGATTCAAAGAAGAAGCTTTTTAATAAGTTTTGGACCCAATTGTAATCGAAAAGAGTATGCCTAACAATACCAATAAGACTCCTCAGAGTCAAGCTTCCACGGCTGCATCTCCAGCTGCCAATTCTGGTGCCAATTCTGATTCTAATACTGGGGGCGCCACCACCACCACCACCCCTAATTCTGCTAACACCGGTGCTGCTACTGATTCAAACGAATCAAGCCAACCATCTCATTACCATAATAATCATCATCAATACCATATGCACAATAACCACCACCATAATAACAATTATAACCAAGGCGGGTATTATAATAACCAGAATTCCAATTATAATTCTCATAAACCTTATAATAAACATTATAATAACCAAAATAACCAAAACTCCGGTAACAACTCAAACAATTCTGGTAATAGGCAAAATTATAACAGACAAAACAGCTATAATAATAATTCCAATTCCAATTCAAATAATGGTCAAAACCGTAAGAATTATAATAACCATAATTCAAAATTGAATCATAATAATCAATACGCTAATTATGGTAACTTCCCGACTAACTTATATGCCAATCCTTACGGTTATTACCCATATGCTTATCCTCAAGCTATGGTTCCTGGTATTCCAATGACTGCAGCTGGTTATCCTCAACAAGGTATACCACCTCAGGCTGCTGCTGCCGCTGCCGCCGCTGCCGCCGCCGGTTATAGTCCGTTAGCTTCTTCCGCCACTAGTAATACTGCCACTCCTGGTTCTACCTCTAGTACTACCGCTACTCCTGGAATGGTACTTCCTGGTAGTCCTGCAAATACCATTGCTAACGCTGCTAATGCTCAAGCCCTTCAAGCTTCTCCTGTTACTTCTAGTTTGTCATCACCAAATCCAGCTAACGTTAATTTGAATGCTTCAAAAGTTAAAATTACTGATAAAGACGGTAGACGTATTGACTTAGAAGAAAAGAAAAAATTAAATAGTTCTTCAAACACTCCAATTTCTTCCCCGGCTCAATTGGTTACCTCTCCTGCCAAAAGCGCTTCCACTTCAAATAATGACAGTCCTAAAAATGAAGTTAATGATGGTCCAAATAAAGACGTGGCTGAAGAATTTAAAAGAAAAATTTTGGAAAGAGCTAAAGCAAATGCTGCTGCCCAAAAGAAAGATACTTCTTCTAAATCTCCTGCAGTTGAAGCAAAGAAAGTTGAAGAAAAGAAGGTGGAAGAAAAGAAAGTAGAAGAAAAGAAAGTTGAAGAAAAACCCAAAGATGAACAAGTTTCTAAATCTTCTACTCTTCCAGAAATTGCCACCAACACTGCTGCAGTCCCTGCCCCTACCTCAGTTGCTGCTTCTGAACTTGTTCCTGTCGCCAAAGATGAATCCAAGGTAGAGCCTAAGGAAATCGTCAGAGAAGAAACCAAGGAACAGCCTAAAGAAGAACCAAAAGAAGAATTAAAAGAAGAACCAAAGGAAGAGCTTAAAGAAGAACCAAAGGAACAACCTAAAGAAGAATCTAAGGAAGAACCTAAGGAAGAAGTCAAAGATGAATCTAAAGCAGAAAGTAGCCAAGAACCAATTACCAAAGAACCAACCGAGGAATCAACTCCTGTTGATTCTGAAGTCAAAGATGATTCTGAACCTAAAGATGAAGCTCCTGAAGCTAAACAATTTGATCTTTCTCAGTTTTTCAATAAATTAAATAATGTTGGTACTATTGAAAATGCTTTTGACTTCGAATATCCTTATCCATATGATGCCGTCAGTTCAAGATGGAAGAAAGGTAATAAGAAATATAGATATGATCCACAATTTTTACTTCAATTTGGTGAAGTGATTTCTTACCCAGTTGATGAAGCTTGGAAAACTAAGTTAGAATCATTGGGTATTACCACCAAGAAAGGTCCAGGCTCTATGGGCGACCGTTCTCAATCTATGAGAGGTGGTCCAAATAAATTTAATTCCGGATTACCAGGTAGATTCAATGGTCCAATGACTGGTGGTAGAAATGGACAATTTGGTGATGGTAGACAAGGTTCAAGAAGTGGCTCTAAAAGAAGAGGTGGCTCTGCTCCAGGTGGTATTCCACTTAATGGTCCTCGTGATAGATCTTCTAGAAAAGGTGGTCAATCAAAGAGAGGTGGAAGAGATAACACTCGTGAAAGAGGTGAAGATGCTGAACCTCCAAAACCCGCTGAAGATGTTAAACCATTAGAAAAATCTTCAAATAGATGGGTTCCAAAATCGAGAGCTAAAAAGACTGAAGTTAAACTTGCACCTGATGGATCAGAAATTCATGATGCTGATGAGATTGAAAAGAAGACTAAATCTTTATTAAATAAATTAACCTTAGAAATGTTTGAACCAATCACTGATGAAATCTTGAAATTAACAAACCAATCTAAATGGGAAGATGATGCTAAGACAGTTAGACAAATCATTTCTCTCACTTTCGCTAAGGCTTGTGATGAACCATATTGGTCATCAATGTATGCTCAATTATGTGCTAAGATGTGTACTACTCTCCCAAGTGAAATTAAAGATGTAAACACTGTTTTAAAGGATGGTAGTCCAGCTCAAGGTGGTGCTTTAGCAAGAAGACTTTTACTTGCAACTTGTCAAGTTGAATATGAAAAAGGTTGGGTTGATAAATTACCAACTAACGAAGATGGTTCACCATTAGAACCAGAAATGATGTCCGATGAATATTATGCTATGGCTGCTGCTAAGAGAAGAGGTTTAGGTTTGGTTAAATTTATTGGTCATTTATATATTTTAAATATGTTGAATGATCAAGTTATTTTACATTGTTTAAGATCTCAATCTCAAAATGTTGTTGATCCATCAGAAGAAAGTTTAGAAAATTTGGCTCAATTAATTAAAACCGTTGGTCCAAAATTCGAAACAAATGAAAGAAATAAAGCTGCATTAAATATGGTTTTCGAAAACATAAAAATCATTTTAGATAATTGTAAACTTTCATCAAGAATTAAGTTTATGTTAATGGATTTACAAGACTTAAGAGCTGCTAAATGGAAATCTGCTAAAGCTGAATCAGGTCCAAAAACTATTCAAGAAATTCATAATGAAGCTGAAATCAAAAAGCTTGAAGAAGAAAAAGCTTCCGCTGAAAGAAAGAGAAGAAATAGAGGTAATAATAATAATAGTGGTTCAACTCCTAGAGATTATTATGGTGGTGAATCAAGAAATAACTCTACTAGAGGTGGTTCATCATGGGGTGCTCAAACTTCTGTTCTCAGAAGAGAAAATAATAGAGATAGACAACCTTCAAAAGATGCAAAAGGTTTTACTTCAGTTTCAAGATCCCAATCAAATAGACCAACCCCTGATTCAAGTTTTTCACCATCAACTGTCTCTTCACCAAGGGATAATTCAAAAAGAAATGATTCCACTGCATCTAGAAGTAATATGTTTGCTGCCTTAGGCGGTGATCATGGTAACGATGATGATAATGATGATGATGAACAACCAGAACCAGAAACTAATGAAGCATCCTTAGATAATTAATTTATTATTTTATTTTTTATACTCATTAATGTTTACTCCATATATTTCCCTTCTTCTTGCCCTTTTCGATTTCTATAATTCCACTGTGCATAAAATTGATTAACTGATAAAAAAAAAAGTTAGTTGACAAAGAGTAGTATTATATCGATTCATCCAATCAGAACCTTTTGCATATTAATTACAGACTTTCTTTCTTTTTGTTCCTCATGTTTTATCTCCAAGTATTTGGTTTGTCTTTTACCCTTTTACTATATTCTTATTACTATAACTATATATACATACTGATATCTATATCTATATATATATACATACTGCTATACCGTAATTTACCTCTGCCAAAAAAAAAAAAAAATTCAACATCAGGTATGGAACTGATAAATCAAAATCGTAGATGTATTCAAATTTGGCATTAACAATGAATACCCTAAACTTGCAGCATCACCGTTTGAAACTGTATTTATTTATCAAATTGCTTAACCTAAAAGGAATAAACGATCTTTTTATGGTGTTTGCTCTTATCTCCTGATAAGTCGGCCAACGATAAGAATAACAAAGAATCGTCATAACTTAACTACGATGCTTTGTCCCAAAGCTACACTAAAACACCTTCCAAAACTAATAGAGCAGGATACATCAAAGGGCCAATTTCAATAAAACCCGCAAGCTGAAGTTTTGCATAACTTTACATCCTGGTGAGGAAAAGTCACTCCAACATTTTTGGAGAAACAGAATCGAAGGGACACTATGCCTCCAGCCTTGTCCAATGATGCTTCCAGCCTTGTCCAATGATGCTTCCAGTACCCCATGGCTGGATTCCGAATAGATAGTCACTGTTGCCAAACTAATGATATTTTTACAAGCTTTTCACATAAATCGATAACCCTGATTAGGAACCTTGTTGCGCATTTTGCTAGAGGGGCCCGATAAGCAGAAATTCCGCTTTAGAGGTTTTGAGGGAAGTTCAGTTCTAGTGACAGCCATTTCACAGGTTAAGTTAGCGGAGATTGTGATCGAATTGCAGTATTTAAGACAAGATGATTCTGGGTGATTTGGAATTCGTTTGATCGTTTCCCTGAGGAACAAGTATTCGACAGGTACAGGTAAGCTACAGCAAATATGTCGGAAACACCAATGTCTAACCTCGAGAAGGTTTTGAGTGGTGGCAGACTTTCGATCGACGAAGAGGAGTATGTTCCAGGTACTATGCATTTGGTTGATTTAGGAGATTCCTTGAATGTTAAGAAAGGAGAAGGTTCGAATATTATTTTGCAACCTCAACCCAGCTCCGACATAAATGATGTTTTGAGATGGTCCCAGAGAAAGAAGAACCTTCAGTTTGGTTTAACTTGGTTTTGGGCTTTTATGGCTGCTGTTGTTGTTGGTTGGTATGGGCCGTACTTTACAATTTGGTTAACTGAATTTTCAACTGATATAAGTCATTTGAATATTTCGAGTGCTTGTATATTTATTGGTTTAGGATTTGGTTGCATTTTTTTCCAACCTCTTGCAATGAAATACGGAAGAAGAGGTATGTACCTTTTCTGTACTATTTTGGCGATTATTGGGAATGCTCTTGGGTCACAAGCAAAGACCATTAATTATATTATCGTTTCATTTTTGATAAGTGGGTTTAGTGCAGCTCCTTGTGATTCTCTCGTTCCTATCAGTAGTACAGACGTTTTTTTTGTTCATGAAAGATCAAAATATATCTCTTTAATGATTTTGGCTTTATATGCTGGTTCATTTTTAGGTCCGGTGGTGGCAGGTTATATACCTACCTGGGAATGGTGCTTTTACGTTCAAGTTATTATCATGGCTGTTTTGTTTATTGTTTTATTTTTCTTATTAGAAGATACTACTTTTGATAGATCAAAAGACTCTGGGGAAAAAGAGATTTTAGAACAAATCAAGAGTCAGGATACCATCTTGCAAGCAACTAAAAGTGGAGAACTTACTGAAGAGCAGGCTCAAAAAGTGGGAACCAAAATAAAATCGATCATTTCTCCTGTTAAATCTTTCAATGAAGATAATAGTGAAACTGATGCTTCAAGTATTGATCCAACTATTGCAAAAAGGACTTACGCTCAAAAATTGAAAGTAATTGAATTTGAATATGGTGATAAAAGGCTGTTGATGACTATTTTCACTAGGCCTTTTCTTTTGCTTGGATTTCCAGCTTTGATTTGGGGTGGTACTGTTTATGGTGCTCAAATGATGTGGTTATCTCTTTTGAACAACACTCAGTCACTGATTTTCACTGGAAGCTATGGGTTTTCTACTTCGAACACTGGTTTAACTAACTTGGGACCCTTTGTTGGCAGTGTTTTAGGTATGTTTTATGGTGGGAATTTCGTTGACTGGCTCTCTGTCAAATTAGCAGAGCGCAATAAGGGTATTTTCGAACCAGAGTTTAGATTATATGCTATGATAATTCCTACTATTCTTAATTCTTGTGGCTTGATTGCTTACGGTATAGCTGCTAATAATAAGGCTGCTTGGGAAATTCCTGTAATTATCGGTGAAGTTCTTTTGGGTTTTGCCATGAGTTCTTCAGGTCCAATATGCTTATCTTACGCTGCTGATTGTTATGGGAATTTGGCCAGCGAAAGTATGGTTTTGATGTTATTCGTGAGAAATATGATCGGTTGTGGGTTTACCTTTGGTATTGGCCCATGGATTGATAAATCAGGTTTGGTAGAAACAACCTGGTTGATGTTTATGATGGCTACGGTAATTAATGGTAGCTTTATTATAATGATCTTATTTGGTAAGTCTTTTAGAAGAATGACCAAGGGCTACTATTACAAAATGTCTGATCCTAATTACACACCTTTCAAGGTTTTTTAGACCTTTTCTATATATTAATAATTTATTCGGGTAAAATATCATGATTGTAAGTCGTAGTATTAGCCTGAATTTGAAAGCCTCCATTTGAGCCTATGACGCTTTCTCAGGCTTTCGATAGATACGTTATCGGCCAGTTCGAAATCGTCGCTGTTCGTTTGCTTCCCCAATCTATATTGCAAGGACTTTGATTTTAGCCTTTTCAACTGGCTAAATGACAGGGCGGCAAAAGTTTCATCTCCCAACTCTTGAATATTCAATGTGCTTGGAGGTCTTTCATCTTCGTGAAGGATGGTGTCGTTACTTTCATCACCAGTAAGTTTTAATGGCCTAGCATTAAGTTTCGGGAATGGCTCACCAATTATTTCAATTGACGAGCTTTCCACTGGCTGTAAAAATTTCGTGATTGGTCCTAAGACGCTATGGTTAGTGGTAGGATTCTTGATCCCCGAATAAGTAACGAACTCATCTCTCCAAAATTGATCGTGAAGTATTTGGATACTTAAGTTTCCGTTCTTATTGTATTTTCCGTCTCTTGATATCCTGGTTCCAGTTAAGGAATATAACAATTGAAGAATGGTAAAATTAAATAGAATAACTATTTCCGTGGATGTTTTTAACACCAAAAGGGTGATTCTTGATACCAGATTGAATGTTGTTCTTAAATAAAAAAGAATAATGATATTTATTATGAGGCAGTTTGCAGTTAGGTTCGAAAGAAAATCTAGGAATATTATCAACTCATTCGAAATAAACCTTTTCAAAGAGCTTAATAGATTTTCCCCCATTTAAAGTTTTGAACGGAATAAGTAGTAAAAGTAGAGTTATAGTTTTAGCAGTTAAATTATTTGTGCAAAATGCTGCAAAAAATCCACAAAAACTCGAACGACAGTAAACGTCAAATCGTATATTCCTTAATGAAGATCAACCTCAGAAATCATGCTATTAAGGCCAAAATTATGTTCAAAGGTTGCTGGTGTGACATGATAACCCTCTTCGATACCTATATAAAACAGATTATCTAAATCATCTATACTTTCTACATTGATTGTGCCTAAATTCGAGCCAGATTCTTCCCGGATTTGATCATCTTCATCTTCATCTATATCAGATAAAAGCCTTCTCACCAAGGAAGGGTCATATGTGATCTCACAATCATCTTCGGGACCCAGTGTAATTTGTAGTTCTGTTGATTTTTGATTTTGCGTATGAAATTCTTTTAACCATCGAAGAATAGTTAAAGGATAATTCGAATGTTTATAATTATGATGTGACAACGAAGCTAACCTAATGATTAGATCACTCATAACTTTAGTTATGTTAGTATTGGAAATTTGAATCGACTTTAAGACTGATAAGGTTTTCCTTATTTCATAATTATCAGATTTCACGAATAAAACAAGGAATAGTAGTAATTGTTTCAAGATGAATATAGGACTTTCTCCGTTTCGCAAAAGGGTTAAAAAAGCATGAATGGCTGCTAAGGAATTAAATTTCGATGATGAAATCTTTTTGATATCGATGAATTTGACATCGTCATCATCATCAGAATAAATGGAAGAAGGTTCAACATCACTGTCATCAGAATAAACCATGTGGTCTTGCCACTCTTGTTGTTTCTGATTCTGGGTTGCTATAGGGGCTTTGATAAAGTCATTTTCATCTTCAAATTCACTCTCAATCTCTGAATCATTGATTTTAGATTTTAAATAGTTCGACCTTATTTTCACCATAAAACAGCCAGGGACAGATTTTTTAAAAACAATATGTGGATTTATTTTTCTAGTGACCGGCGTCCATTTGATTAAATCTGCTTGAGTATCTTTTGATTTAAACCTACCTCGCATTGAATCGAATAGTTGTATGAAGAAAGGAATGTTGGACGGATTTTGTAAACCGCTTTTAACTTTGATGATAGTATCGACTACTGATTTCAAGTTATTCAGGTCAAGGGAGATCGGGAGGCCTCCATTGTCAATCTTATAAGTATCATTATTGAAACGATTACTAATTAGTTCGATTAAATTAATCACAGATCTAGTATCACCATTCGCAAACTGGATCAATATAGATAATGAATTTTCTTCATAATGCAAAAACTGTAGTTGATGAGTTAATTTTCTCCTTATATTTTCGAACAAGATGGCTCTTTTTATTATTAACGTCAATTCCTGTTGGTTGAGCGTGGATAATTCAAACATCTGACACCTTGATAAAATAGCTCTTCTAATTCTTTTTTTAGGATCAACGGTGGTAGCACCAATGAAAACAAAATTACCATCTTCAATGAAGGGCAATAAAAAGTCTTGTTGAGTTTTCGTCAACCTATGTATTTCATCAACGAATATAGCTACTTTTAAAAACATTTCATGTCTGGAAGCACGTAGTTTATTCTCCAGTGATATTTCAATCGAGAGATTTTTCAAGTCTTGAACAGTTGAGTCAGTTGCTGATATTTCAACAAAAACGTATTGGGTTTCATGCGATAAGATTCTGGCTATTGTAGTTTTACCAACTCCAGGGGGTCCAAATATGATCATTGAAGGTAAATAGCCTAATTTTATAAAATTTTTGATTGATCCATTATTATCGTTTATGAGATGCTGTTGGCCAATATAGTCTTTCAAAGACGACGGACGAATCACTTCAGATAACGGTAGGCCATCACGTATCTTCAGAATCTTTACTTCATTCTCGTTCATACTTCCATTATGTATTTTAAGCTTGATAGATATATTCATCAACGCGTAATTTTCTACTACAAAAAAAAAGAGAAGATATCACTCTGTGAAAAATATATTTAATAAAAAGATTAATTAAATGATACAAATGAAATAGAATTGAAAACCATCTTTTTTGAATTATATTTGCTGAAACCCGTTCGAGATGTAAGTTTAATTTCTTCTTTTGTTATCCAATAAATTTGACTGGCTCATTTTTCTCTTTTTAGTACCATTTTTGTCATCATTAATTATTGGAGAAGGAGAGTTTACATTTTTATTTTGTTGAGACAGTTGGGCGTTGTTTCTTTGATTGTTACAAAGAGTCATGAATAAGTCCATTGCCTTTAGAGGAGAATTGATATTATTCACCATGGTAAAAGCCATTAGAGATCTTAAATGGGACATTGTATCACCGATTTGCATAACTTTCATCGAGTTTTCATTAAGACCAGAGTTTACTTGATTTTTAATTGAATCACTTGAATCATAGATGGAGTTAAGTAATTCTGAAGATTTGAAATTTTTATTTGTTGATAGTTTTTTGGTATGATTTTCTAAAGTATCAAAACTAATTGAGCCTTGATAAGAAAGACAATGGATATCAATCCATTCAATTCTGAATTCCCTATTCATTAGTAATTTGACAAGACCATTGATTGTAGCCGTTGAGCCATCTTTATAGTTAAAAGTAAAGATTGTTTTTGAAGCAATGAAGATTGATTCATTATTCATAACTTGAAATTTTAATCCTGGTAATGATACATTAAATTTTGCTACATTTCCAGCCAAGACACAGCTTAAAAAGAATCTTGGAGCAGTGGAAGAGCTTAATTCAAACTGTCTTGATACACCGGGGGGAATATTTGCATTACCAAAGCATTGACCCAAAAAGGAGTCATCTTTTGGTTGTTGCTGTTGTTGTGAAGAAGAGGGAGCAGTAGTAAATCTTAAGATGGAAGTAGGAATGAAATAAATTTGTGTTATTCTTTGCCAATAATCAAAATTTGATAAATTTTCATAATTTTCATTACTAACTTGATCAATTAAATCGAGAATTCTCATAACAGCAGCATTTCCCAAATTTTTTCTGAAAATTTTTGTATTCAATTCATTTTGAAATTGTCTCTGCTGATCCTGATTAGGTTGAGTGGTCATCATGTTATTCGGCATGGTCCCGTTTGGCTGTGGTTGTTGACCAGGAGGAGCAGGCCCAGGAGGATGTTGTTGTTGTTGCTGTTGCTGCTGCTGTGGTTGTGGTTGGCCAGCAATTGGAGGAGCAGGCACAGGCCCAGGAGGATGTTGTTGTTGTTGTTGTGGTTGTTGATGAGGCGGTACTGGCACCGGCACTGGGCCAGGACGAGCCTGGGCTATAGGAGTATGTTGTTGCAGATGCGACAATACCGGAGTAGGGCCGTTTGTATTGGGGACCGCGGTGGTTGGAGCCAGTATCGAGCCTCTTGCCGCTGCAGCGTTTGCTTGTTGGAGTTGGATGAAATGGGGTTGGGGTTGTGACTGAGGTTGGGATTGCGGTTGGGGTTGATTGGATATCTGAGGGGTGTGGTCGTTTGAATGGGCAGCAGGAGAATGTGAGCTGGGGAAAGGAGCAGACATATTGAGCTGCTGTTGCTGATGGGCTTGTAAAGGAAGCTTATTAATTGAAGTAGCTGATCTTTGAAATCCAGGTCTTTGAATTTGTTGTTGTCGATTGGATGCTTGTTGCGGAATCATAGACGTCGATTGAGATTGTGGTAATACGTGTGCTTGCATACCATTAAGACTATTGACCGACCCTTTATGTTGTTGTGGAGGAGGATTCTGCTGCTGCTGCTGTTGCTGTTGATGATGATGTTGTTGCTGTTGATGGTGAAAAACTGGAGGAGGTTGAATTGGATGTTGAGGGTGAATTTGTTGTGCGAATTGGATATTACCATTATTTGTATTCCCACCCATGCCATTCCCAGCACCCATATTCCCACCATTCAAGCTCGCATCGAATACAGAGCCGCCGATCGCTTGGTTGGCCATAGACTCTGCTGGAATATTAGGGTTACTCTGGGGGGCTGCTATGGCGGTATTGAAATTTTGCATCATTTGGCTTGGGTGAGCCTGGCTCGATGGTATACCAGATACAGAACCATTACCCATATTCAAGGTCATATTGCTCCCATTCATGTTAAAAATATCCCATGAACAGACTGAAACAATTACACTCAAAGAGAACCTTATTACTAACAAATCAAGAAAACAAAAGGACCAAAACCAAAAAAAAACAAAAAAAAAAAAAAAAGATGTAGAAAACAAACTTAAATTATGGAAAAGAATATTCAATGACAGATAAATAAGGTTCTAATTAACATCGACTTCGAACAGAACTTTAGGCTCTGGCTCTCTCTTTTTTTTCCTTCGTTTTGTCCCTTGTCAAGAACGAAGTAGGAAAGGGTCGATGTTGAGTTAATGTTTAATTAAGGTATTTTGTGTTAAGGGACAAAAAGAATAGATTACTTGTTTTGACTAGTCGTGTCTCACAAAAGGGTTTTGAATCACAACAGCCAGCTGAATAATCACCTAGAAGTAGACCAACTAATACGAATGCCCTGCCAATAGAGTAGAAGAAGGTTGTTTTGCTCGTTGAAGAGAAAGCCAAAAGAGGACAAAAACTGGCAAGTTTTTCCGCAAGAAGCAGATTTTTCAGATTTTTCAGATTTCCCAAGGTTTACATTTCTGGCATTAGGGCCAGTTGCCTAAGTCTGGCATTAGGGCCAGTTGGCTAAGTCCCTGGAAGGACCACCTGGCTAAGTCCCTGGAAGGACCACCGTAGTGTCCCGGGTCGGGGTGCCTATGGTGTAGACTAGTGATTTAGTTTTTGGTTGAATGCAGATGTCTCAGACTTTGCATTATCAACGACAAACCAAGCGAGTGATGTAAATAAGGCTACATATGCGATACTATTTAGACTCAATGAACTCTATTCGAATATTTGGAGCATGCGGTGGCTAATGAATGGACAGATCTACAGCTGATGCCTTCGTTTACTTTCAAACAGCTGGAAGATCCCCTTCCAGGGGGTGCCCCTAGAGCCACCACCCGTACACCGGGAGCTACTGGCGATTCACTGCCTCCTTTATCTAACTATACATGTTCTTCGACAATGGTAGTCGGGGAAGCCGTACCGGCAAGGCCCAAGACTGAGTGACCGTTCAAGCTGGAGGTGTTGTTTATCCATCTGGACATGGCCGGATGGTCGGTGGTGGGTCTCCTTGGTTTTTCAGCTATTTTTGTAGAGGAATCATGTTCGTGGGAAGAATCTTTGGGATTGACTTCTCTTGTTTTAGCAGCTCTTCTTTTCAAGAGTTTGTTTAAGGTGTCTCTTTTCTCTTCTTCTAGCATTTTGTTTTTATAATCCAATCTTTTACGGGCGTTTTCTGCTTTTCTAAGCGCAGCCTCTTCTTCAGTTTCCTTCTTTTTGGGTTTGGCCTTTTTGTAATTATTCAAAGAATCATCTAATTCGATGAATTTCTTCTTCTTTTCTTCTTCTTCGTCTTCTGGCTCTTCTTCTTCTTCTAAGTACCTGGCTCGTTGTCTTTCGGTCATTTTAGACAAATCTGGATTGGCGTGAGGGTTATATTCAGTTTCTTCATCGGTGAGGATTAAGTCGGCATCCAAGTCGGTTGGTTGTACAACAGCTTTAGGTATTTTTTTCTTTTTGGGTTTAGCTGGTTCATCTTCTTCGTAGAAATCGTCCAGTTCATCTTCTTCATACATTGGTAATTGTCTTTTCCTAGTTTCTCTTGCTGGAGCTTGTCTTATTTCCGGTTTTGGTTTACTTATAGTTACTTTTAAACTTTTTGGTTGACTTTCTTTGGGTGGTTCTTCTAGTTCGTCTTTTAGTTCCAAATCCTCATCGATCTCATCGGGATCTTCTAATTTATAATTATCTTCTTCGTCTTCGGATTCCGGTTCTTCGTCTTCTTCATCTTCAAGTTCATCTTCGATATTCGAAGTATTGAGTCCTTCAATATCACTCACCTCTGGCTCAATGTCTTGCTCCCCCTCTTGCTCCTGTTCTTGGTCACTTAAAGATGAAAGATCACTTTCGTCAACCGAATTCTTATTGTATTTAGCTCCTAAATTCTCATACTCTTCAGCTTGTTCATCTTCCTCATTATAATCTTCCGGCACCATTGACGAATTATCCATTTCAGAATAATCCTCGGCCTCGTCCTCACTATCACGGATTAATGGTGGCATACTGGATTATTGTTGTATACTTGTATTGGGTGTATACTTGTATTGGGTGTATACTTGTATTGGGTGTATAATTGTAGGTTGTATAATTGTAGGTTGTATAGAAAGTTGTAGTGAGTTCAATTTTTTTCGCTCGAAAAATTGCTACATTAAATTATACCAAATAAATATCCATTAATCATGCTATACAGTTAAACTTGTCCACTCATAAACAATCCCTTCATATGTCTGATTTCGTGTTTAATGTCGCTTGCCAAATTTTTCTTTTTCAATCCGTTTTCATGGTTAACGTCAACTGAAAATATCTCGTTGCTGTTGAAGTAAACCATATCGATATTATTTTGGAAATCTTTGACCGAATAACTAGTAGTTTTATAATGTGGAAGTTCATCGATATTGAAAGATTCACATTCTCTCAACACTTTACTCAATTTACCCATTTTTTTAACCAAAGTCCCCTGATTTAAACTGTCTGGTTGATTTTCAGCTTCATCAGTTTGTACGCAAGCGTCCGAATGTAATTTCCCATTTCTATTGATGGCCACTATGGGTATATAGCTGACTCTTCCAATTAAGCTAATGTAAAGATCTCTTAGTTTGCCTCTGTAAAATTCCAAGTAATCGTAATGGCGTTCAGTCTTGGTTTCTAGCAACGGCTTTATTAGAAAAATGGCAAGTAGATAAACCAAAGTAATGGTGACTGAAGATCCTTTGGTTAAATTGATCAAATATTTCAACAATCTCGATTGTCGTTGGCCGTATCTTGTGGGTGTTGAAGTGTACGCACTCAAATCGTACGCTCCTTCTGGAATCGTGAGTATTGGGATCGACATGCCGAATATTCAATTGGGTTCGGGGTCCTGTTGGTTGAAAAGACAGTAGTCATAAGCTAATTGATAATCGTTTTTTTCAAAATCCTCGGGCTATTCGTGATACCTATGGTGTACGGGGTTTTTTATTTATATACAAGAAGAGGTCGTAAGTCATTAGAAATGCCAAAATCAGTCTATAACGTCGGCAACGCTTTGAACGAAGGGCCGGTTGTGTTTGCGAGGACGCGAGTCCCTTTGGTCCCCTTTCCCATTCTTCTTCTTATAGGGTGAGCGGGAGTTTCTGCTATCGTAATTGAAGGTCGGTTTGGGGGGAGTTATCTTGTCGATATGAATACTCTGACTCCTTCTGAGTCTTTCGTTTTTCAAGTTCATTTCTTGCCTCAAGCCCTGCTTTCTTTCCTGACTTTCCAACTTGCGTTCTTCTGATCTTTTTTGTATTCTTTCAACTTCATTATCGTTAGGGACCCATTTAGACTTCAAAATTCTTCGGATAGCTTCAGGGTTGATTCGAAAGTAATTGGCAAAATCAATTGTCCGCAAGTGCGGTACTTGCTCCTTCAAATTCCTGATATCCTGAATCTGTTGTCGGGATAGCTTTCTCGTTGGGTTCCATGTCCCATAACGTTTTGTCAATGCCTGTTCTCGTTTGACCCACTCAGGCTGATTTTTATGCTTCGCCTTCATCTCCTCCTTCTGCTTCTCTATGAATTTCTTCTCGGATACCGTACTGGTCTTGTGTGTTTTGTCTGAATAATGTCTGTACCCCAATAGCGATGAGATGCCCTCATGAACTTTGAGAGTTGATACCTTGCTCAGTTCTGGCCCGTTTCGAAAGAGCCTTGAGCACGGCAAAAACTGTAGACCTCGGATCATCAATACTGTAAGCCGTTACCGCAGACTTTTACTTAATCCACCGTTTATTAAGAACGAAATCAAGTATTTGATTTTTCAATTTTCAAGTTTTTTTTTTTTTTTTTTTTTTTTTTTAACCTTCAGTTATATCTGTTCCTGCACACAAAACATTAGTTGATCACTTTTAAAAAGCTTAATAAACAAAAAAACAAAATGGTGGTATTAGAATCTTATCATCTATCAAGTCTTAGAGCCAATTGGTGGGGTGATATTCGAAGCGAGGAAATACGTTCCATTTGATACCCGGTGTTGGTTTATTGCGATACTTTGATATATTGTGTTTGATATCCAGAGCTTTTTGTCGATTTGATCAATTGATTATTTTGCCGCCTCGATAAGATATACAAAATGAATTTGTTGAAGAAGTTTATTGGATCGAGTGCCACTGATGAAATTGCGCTGATTCCTTCCGGTAAGTTGTTTCTAACCAGATCGCCCAATTCACCAAAAGGAGAACTTGAGTGCTTATACAATGATGCTTTTGCCAGTATTAGACAAACGACTACTCCATTTTATTATCAATTGTGTATTATCAAGGCTTACCAAGAAGGAGAGCTCGATGGCCATGGGTCTGCAGGGTTTGACGATCTGGATAACGATGATGATTATGACGATCGTCATCACGATTCGGCCACTTCGAATGAAATCGATGGCGTAAGCCATACCAAGGATGAATGGTCTTTTCAAATTCTGGAAGACTTACAAATTTACCAGTATAACAAACCAAACGGGTCAAGAGCTATCAGATGGAATGACATGAGTGGAGATTTAGGCGATAAATTTGAATTTGTCATTGATGAGGAGATTAAATTTAATGAAATTGATGGGTTTGTATTTTCTTTATACAAATGCTTATATGAGACTAGATATCAAAGAAGCTCCTTAGGTATAAAAAGTATAGATGAATTATCAGAATTCACTTATGATCCTAAATCGGAATTTTCTGAATTAGATGATTTGAAAAAATTACAAAATGACAAATCAAAAGAAACTAAAGCTAAGGGAACCAAAGAAGATCCATTGTTTGTGGAGGACTCAGATTCTAGTGATGACGAAAGTGCATTCCATGACGCACTTACTAACTTTAATTATGTATTACCTACAATTAAGGGGGATATTATTTTTGAATGTGACGAAGCGAAAATCTTTTTGTTTGATCCAGTAAGTTCATCTTTCAAAAGTATTGAACCAGATAATAAAGTAAAGGTTTGTGTGGTTGATAGAAATAATTTCACCTACCAGTTAAGAGTAACTAGTCCGCTGGTTGCAGTCCTGGCAGAAATTGTGGAAGGTTTGAATCCAACGTTTGATGATGATAATTTTATTTTCAATTATCAAACTGTTAACATGAGTGGAGAAATCTCGTCATTTTCTTGGTTATTAGCATTTGAACTGACAGATAGTTTTAATTCTTTCGAACAAATCTTTTTAACTAGTCTTTGGCAATTTTTAAATAAGACAAAGTTTGCAGTGAAAAAGGAAGAGTCTGCCGATAAAGATTATATTATTAATGCAATGTCCAATTTAAATATTGATAATAATAAGCCAGAGACCGAAGAAGAAGCCGAATCCGAATCCGAATCCGAGCCCGAATCCGACTCTGAAGATGATGAAGTAAAATTGCAACGTGCAGTCAATGCTAGTATCAGAGATAAATCTGATCGTAGAAGACCGTTAAATGAAGAGGATGACGACTACGACGATTTTGCTGATCAAAGGGAATATGACAGATTTAGAGAGAAAAAAAATGAAACCAATTCTGGATTATCAGTGGGATCGTCCAAAGATCGTAATTATGTTGTTAGAGGTGATAAATTGGGAGTTTTCAGTAACGATGGGGATGAATTGAAATATCAAACTACAATTAGTAATGTTCGTGATTTAAATGGTAAATCAATCAAACCTCAAGATTTATTATTACATAGACAAGATAATTTTATGATTTTCAAGAAGAAGTCAAGTGATGAAACATCGAAATTATTTAAAATGGATTTAAATCGGGGGAAAATTATAGAAGAATGGAGCATGGAAGAAGCTGCCGCCGATGGTGGTGTTACCGCGTATGGACCAACATCCAAATTAGCACAGTTAACTGATGAACAAACATTACTTGGGACGAGTAAAAATGGTATTTTCTATATTGATCCTAGAGAAAGTGGTAGTAAAATCGTTAATGATTCAACTTTCAAACAATATAAAACCAAAAATAATGGCTTTTCCACGATTGCAACCACAGTTAACGGTTATGTTGCAATTGGGTCAGATAAAGGTAATATTAAATTATTTGATCAAGTTGGTAAAAATGCTAGAACTGCATTACCATCGCTTGGATCCGAAATCACCGGATTAGAAGTATCAAAAGATGGAAGATGGTTATTGGTCACTTACCCAACATTTTTAACACTTATTGATAATAAGATTGGACCGGGACAACGAAATTCCGGATCAATTGGATTTGAAAAATATTTTGATCTGGATAAAAAACCAACTCCATTAAGATTATCAATTAGACCCGAACATTTTTCATACATGATTAATGAAACTGGACAAGATTCTGTTAAGTTCACCAAGGCACATTTCAATACTGGTATTGGGTCTACCGAGTCTACAATTGTTACATCAACCGGAAAATATGTCATTGCATGGTCATTAAATGATATAATTAAAAAGAAAAAACAACCACAAAATTCTTATACTGTTTATAGATACGATGATCCAGTTGTTGCCGATAACTTTAGATTCAATTCTAATAATGATGTTATCACTGCAACCAAAGACGATGTTTCAATGGTTAGTAAACGTGGATTCCGTAAAGCTTCTAAAGAATCCTTAACCAAAAAAAACTAATCATTTCTCTTTATTTCTCTTTATTTCTTTATATTTCTTTATATTTCTTTATATTTCTTTATATTTCTTTATATTTCTCTTTTTATTTCTCTTTAAGTAATTAATATACAACATTTTCATTCACGAACGAAATGTAAAGGATCTTTTCATTTCATCCCACCAAATGGTTCTAAATGCTTTGAATTTATGCCAGGCCGTTGGGTTAAAGCTTTTAACCAACTTCATATGTTCTTCATTATACCTAGCATCTAATTCGTAATACGGTATTCTATTGATTCTTGCATGAACCCGACGCACAAAATTATTGAACGCCCGCGAATCAAGGAGCTTGTAATATAGAAAATCTTCTAAAGACTTTGGCGGAGGACGAACCATGGTGGGTCTGAATACAGTTGGGGATAAGCTATGGGTTATTATAATAAGAGAAGGGTTTTTCCTTTAAGAAACCGTCGTGCGCCAACCAACACCAGCTACTCAATTTTTTCCAGCTCAGAAAAATGATTGGGAAAAAACCTGAAAAGAACACCAGTATCAATTCAACAACCAACCAGACTCTTATCAAACAAACAAGAACATGATCTCAGACAGTCAATTGAACACCGTTGTATTGACCTTTGGGTTTGCCTCGGTGATTTTGATCTTGGTTTACCATGCTATCTCCACCAATGTCAAGAACATAAAAAACTAAATGAAACCCCAGCCACCTACAAATCTTTTCCCTCAACTGTTTTGTATAGACTAATATATGACCAAGTAGATACCCATCAATGTAGACACTAGGCCTGCCAGCACCAAACTAAAGATCAACCTTGGTACAAAATAGTTGGCAAAAAAAAAAAAAAATGTACGGATTTTACTTTGCTTCAAGCGTACTGACAGACTTGGTAAACGATAAGATTAGCTCTCGCTAAGTGATAAGACTACGAGCTTTTGGCTGTGGATCGGTAGCAGGTTCGGGTACCATCAACCGGCAGCTGCTCAATGGCAACTGCTCAACGGCAACTGCTCGACGGCAGCTGCTCAACCGTCACAGCTCAACGGGTAACCATCAAAGGACATCCAATACAAACAACAACATCTTCGGTATTTGTAACAATTGATTAATGCAGCTGCTGCACCAATAAACCGATTTGACTCTGTAAGAGTTAAGCAGAATTGTTGCAAAACCACCTGCTTTAGCCCCGTGCATAGTATCACGTGCCACGGAGTAATTGCCAGTGGGAAAAATGTTAGGGAAAACAAACGACACAAATGTCGCGCGCTTGGGTTCCCGAGCACACCCTGCTGAAGCACGACATTCTCCGCCCTGGGATATTGTCTTACATTGTTATTTCACAAAAAACCACTCAGTTGATTGTCAGCCATTCGCTTATTGTTGAGGGGGGGATTCGGCCGACGTAAGTTTTATAACCGTGCCGGACTAACAACAGAATAACTCCAAAAAAAAATAACACCAAAAAAAATAACTCCAAAAAATAATTGGGGAAAAGCAGTTTAATTATTTTGTAAAAATCAGCTAAAAAATAAGTGCATGGAAATGTGAAAAAATAATTATGGTTATCCAAGAAGTTACACCAAAAGTGAAAAAAAGACAAAAGAAAAATTGGAAAAATAACTATCAAAAATTACAATCATTAAGTAATCTTGCAGTACCCGATTGTACTATGATTGAAAAAAATACTCAATAGTATAAAATAAAGTTAGGTTTTCTACATTAAGAATACAATGGACCATTATAAAAAAAAAAATAATAGCACAGGTGAGAGTTGATTAATAACAGATTTAATCTTGTAAAACTCTTACTAGGTCAACTTATATATTTTTTTTTTATGTACTAGTTACTTCTTTTTCATTGATAGTGATAATTTTTTATTGATAAACACAAGATGAAGGAGATGGATCCGGTGGATCCAATAAGTAATAAGACCAAACGACCAATATTTAGAAATACCTCATCAGCACCCCATTTACGGCTTAATATTGAAAACCCTCCAATAAATCATATTCCGTCATCATCATCATTGAGTGTGCCACAATATTTCAATTATAGTCTTAATTCCCATAAACCAACGCTATTCATACCAAGCTTGGATGATATTATTGAAAATAGTGTTGAGAGCAGTAATACCCCATATAATAAATCCAATTTAATTCTGTATTTGAGTCTGATACACTGTCTTGAAAATTTTGAATTTATAATCGAGTTGAATAATTTAATAAAATTAATTCAGGATAATGAAGAAGCACATGATTTAAATGTTATATTAATAAATTGGCAAATTATATATAAAAATTTTCTAATCGATGACAGTCCCAAAGAAATCAATATTCCTCATTCAGTCAAATCAATATTTAATTATGAAAATATACCAAATATTCCCAATTTGAAGAAAATTAAATTTATAGTTTTTGAATTGCTTCATGATTCATATAACGAATTTATTAAATACATTAAAACCACCAATCGAGAGAATGGATTGAATTATAGACGTCGATCAGAAATAGTGGCTCCAGACTTTGCCGAAACTTCCTTCAGTCCAACTCATGAAAAAATCCCCCGTTCCACAATCGAAGAAGATCCTTTGGCTACATGTATAAGTTTATCGGAGGATGAGCATATTGATGAAGTCCAAACCCCAGAAAGCCAACAGGGGGCTAATTCAAGTAGAAACAATAGTGCTACAAGCTCGAATTCTTCAAGAGGCTCTTCATTAGGGTCGATTGTTGAAAATTTGAAAAATCATGATTATATCAATTGGAAAAAAACAGTTAAAAAATTCAAATTACGCCGTTTTCTGAATCAAAATCTAAATCTGGATTATTTAGATCAACAATCGTCTAATCATTCCCCTGGTTAATACGAGCGTTTTTGACGATTCTCACTTCACTTCATCTTTGTATCTACTATATAGACGATTTAGATCTCGCATGAACCCTTTGCTGGTGTACGATATTAATATTTTTTTTTTTTTTTTTTTTTTTTTTTGTTTGTTTTGTTGTGTTTGAGGAAATCATATAGACCACATATATATACATTAACTATACAAATAAATATATAACATACCAATCATAACATACCAGATGCTACGAGTGTTTAGCACGTTCTTTTAAAAGCCTCAATTCGTCTTCATTTTTTTGACTTCCCTTTTCAATAATCAAATTTTTCAATAGTTTATTTTCCATTTCTAATAACTCGATTTTATTTTCAAAATTTTTAACCAAGTCGTTTAATTCGTTAATTTCGTACTCCATTTGTTTCTCCTTCAATTTCTTCTTGATTCTGAACCGGGCACTGGCGGCAGTGTTTCTACGGCGTTTATCCATTTCTGGGTTTTGAGTTCGGTTAGTGGAAGAAGACGTTATTGAACCAGGACTCGACGATGAAGATATCGAAGATGTTTCATTGGAGATTTCAAGTTGATTATGTTGTCTTACCGGCTGAGTGTTTTGAGAAGCAAGTTGTGGTACACTAGGTATGTAGTTACCTAAAGAAGTTTGATGTTGGGCAATTAAAGCACTTAGTAAATCAATTTGTTTTTGTGATAATCCCGCCAGTTTTAATGAATCTCTAGCCCCTGGGGGTACTGGAAACTTGGGTAAGGTTGACAAGTTTGACATATTTATATTTGGATTGAAGATGGTTTCGTCCTTTTCTTTCTTACCGTAAACTGGTTTTTGTTTTTCAATTTTTTTACCTTCCGATAGTTTCTCTTCTTCTTTTTCTTCATCTTTGGGTTCCTTTTTATCTTCATCCGGGAAAATAAAGCTTTCATCGGCAAACGCCGCCAAATCCAATGACAATTGTCCATCCATATCCAAGTTGGGAGTGGTCAAATCGTTTAATTGATTCGAAGGTTGTTCTCCAAATGGCGAATGTTCATTTGAATTATTAACAAAAGTATCGATATAAACTAATTGCTCTAATAGAGCCAGAGAAGTTTGCTGCTCCATCTTTGGTCCATGTCAAGAAAAACCAAGTTGAAAAAAACTGTCTATGTCAACGCTATATATGTTTTATTAACAAAGTGTGGTTTAATTATTCGGTACCTGTTCCGTATCAGAACTGTGGTTGCAAACAGTTTATAATTGTTGTTGATGGGTATCCTGGGGTTATTATGAGGTGCTGGCACGTGATATCCTGCGTTCTGCAGCCACCGTTTGGGCCCCCTGGGCCCCCCCGGATCTCTTCGCACGCTGCGGCCGGAACTGCCCCCGTGTCGCACCCACGGCATACTCTTCTGATTGGTTGCAAAAAAAACAGGCTCACGACATTTTCCCTCCAAATCCGGTCAAACCGGATCTACTTCTACAAGTACCCAACTATCATAAATCGTACATTATTAATAGAGACAAGAACTGAAAATGCATAGACTAGCTAATTTGATTTTTTGAATTTTAAAGCCAATGGACTGACATTAGTAGCTTTCAATCTATATTCAGCAAAGCTTCTAAAAGAATTACCATGAGTAGGTTGCCATTTGTTAGGGGTAACCGCAGCTTTTCTTGTAGCGTTCAAGCTAGCTGGGGTAGATGCTTTAATTATATTGTTAAATTGGTTAACTGTTTCTTTCTGAAAACGTAAAACGGTTGCTGATCTCATTATAGTATAAAGAATGAAAAAAAATTTGTCAAGATACAAGAGAAATTACTACACTTATATAACTCGAGTAGGTGGGGTGATCGTTTTTACAGCCATAGAAATTAACTGAATAATCGGGCATATGGGCTGACTTTATCTTGCTGATTGTTCCCACTGATGTTTTCACGAGGGGAACTCCTGCCCATCGGATGCTTAGTTTGCCTCAATACAAGCTGAAGGTGCGACTGCAATTAGCGTGCTTACGGGGAAGAGGGAAATTAACAACGGCTGGGAAGGAGGTATCTCCAGCCAATCAAACCACCCGCAGGGAGGATGGGCGGATCAACTTGCGAGGATTTGTGTTGTCCGTTTTTTCTTTGCTGAAAAATTTTCAATCGGATTTTCGAGTCCGTCCTCACAGCCTTTGGTGCCGGGCCTCGGTTGGGTCTGCGGCACGTGACCACGCGGTCCCCACCCGTGCCTCTGCGGTCTGGGTTTCTGTTCGGGGAAGACCTGCAGCACTCGGCCTGCTGCTCTGCTGCCCTACTGCCCTGCTGGTCTGCTAGTATACAAGCCTGACAGTATAGCCTGGCAGTATAGCCTGGCAATATAGCCTGATAGTACACGAGCCTGATAGTATACATAGCTTGCGGGTATAAGCCAACTATGAACAGAAAGTGAAGTCGAGGTATTGATGTCTATTTATACAGTTGACTCATCCGGGGAACTGGACATTGTGCAGTCAAGGTACCGAGTAGAGTTCATAACGGCCGCCGGCACCGGTGATTGCAAAAACCCATCCAGCTGACGGGAATCAAGTACCGGGTGAATCACTAGTGCTACATATCTTCTGAGTTTATTGGATGAGATAAGCACTATAAAAGTATATTCATTTACGTTGATACAAAAAACCAGCTACTTAAAATCCGATCCAATTACAACGGGGACATTGTTCGATTCATTCACTGCCATTAGTGCAGTAACCGACGGACGATCAAGTCCGAGTCATGATCACTACTCCATATTATGAGGTGACTCAACCCCAGCATCACAAACCGGTGGTTGTATCCCACTGAATTTAAGTAGATTACGCCTGCGACGTAGACTTGGATCGCTGGTCAGTACACCAGGGGCCAAACCTAGTAGATGGCCGATGCTGATCACTGGTGCTGGTGCCCAGTCCCAGTGATTATCTCGGAGTCGGAGTACATGAGTCACTGCGTATGCGAATACTCGTGGTAATACCGAATAACAGGTTATAAACTAAAGAATAATGAACCCATTTATGCAGTTAGGAATAATCATGATAATTTTGTAACGCTTAAACCTTAAGAATTTCGGACTTTTTCTTCCCTAATTGTCCGTTAATTTTAATTCTCTTTTATAAATACTTGATTGATTACTGTTGAAAAATTTCTCATTAATACTTCTCCCTTTTTTTTTCCCCTTTCTCTTCTTCTTTTAACTTGCTCCCTGTTCTTGTTCTCCAGCCATCATGACCTCGTTACTATCAGTAAACTCCAATGGAGATCAAGTTAAATTAAACAAAATGAGAAGAGACTCTACTGTCTTGGGTCCAATGAATAAGATCTTAGTTGCCAATCGTGGTGAGATTCCAATTAGAATTTTCAGAACTGCTCATGAATTATCCATGCAAACTGTTGCTATTTATTCCCATGAAGATCGTTTATCAATGCATAGATTGAAAGCTGATGAATCGTATGTAATTGGTAAGAAAGGTCAATTTTCTCCAGTTGGTGCTTATTTGCAAATTGATGAAATTATTAATATCGCTAAACGTCATAATGTTAATATGATTCATCCTGGTTATGGGTTTTTAAGTGAAAATAGTGAATTCGCTAGAAAAGTCGAAGAAGCTGGTATTGCTTGGATTGGTCCCACCCATACTACCATTGATTCTGTCGGGGATAAAGTTAGTGCTAGAACCTTGGCGATCGAAAATAATGTTCCAGTGGTTCCTGGTACTCCTGGTCCAATTGAAACCGTGGAAGAAGCAAGACAATTTGTGGAACAATACGGATTCCCAGTCATTATCAAAGCAGCTTTTGGTGGTGGTGGCCGTGGTATGAGAGTGGTTCGTGAAGGTGATTCAATTGAAGATGCGTTCACTCGTGCAGTTTCCGAAGCTAAAACCTCTTTTGGTAATGGTACTTGTTTTATCGAAAGATTCTTGGATAGACCAAAACATATCGAAGTCCAATTATTGGCTGATGGTTATGGTAACGTTATCCACTTATTTGAACGTGATTGTTCGGTTCAAAGAAGACATCAAAAAGTGGTGGAAATGGCTCCTGCCAAATCTTTACCAAAATCAGTTCGTGACTCAATCTTAACTGATGCAGTTAAATTGGCTAAACTGGCTAATTATAGAAATGCTGGTACTGCTGAATTTTTGGTTGATGAACAAAATCGTCATTATTTCATTGAAATTAATCCAAGAATTCAAGTGGAACATACCATCACTGAAGAAATTACCGGGGTTGATATCGTGGCTGCTCAAATCCAAATTGCCGCTGGTGCTTCTTTACAACAATTAGGTTTATTACAAGATAAAATTTCTACTCGTGGTTTTGCCATTCAATGTAGAATTACTACCGAAGATCCAGCTAAAGGTTTCCAACCCGATACCGGTAAAATCGAAGTTTACAGATCTGCTGGTGGTAATGGTGTTAGATTAGATGGTGGTAATGGTTTTGCTGGTTCAATCATTAGTCCTCATTATGATTCTATGTTGGTTAAATGTTCCTGTTCAGGTTCAACTTATGAAATCGCAAGAAGAAAAATGTTACGTGCTTTAATTGAATTCAGAATTAGAGGGGTTAAAACTAATATTCCTTTCTTATTAGCCCTTTTAACTAATGAAACTTTCATTAATGGTGATTGTTGGACCACTTTTATCGATGATACTCCTTCTCTTTTCCAAATGATCAGTTCTCAAAATAGAGCTACTAAATTATTGAACTATTTGGGTGATTTGGTAGTTAATGGTTCCTCTATCAAAGGTCAAGTTGGTGATCCTAAATTGGATACTGAAGCTTTAATCCCTGATTTACATGATCCAAAAACTGGTATTAAAATTGATGTCAATGAATCTTCTTTGATCCCTCGTGGTTGGAGACAAGTTTTGTTGGAAGAGGGTCCTGTTAAATTTGCTCAAAAAGTTCGTCATTTTAAAGGTACCTTATTAACTGATACCACTTGGAGAGACGCTCATCAATCCTTATTAGCTACTAGAGTTCGTACCATTGATTTATTGAATATCGCTCCAAGTACTGCTTTTGCTCTTAATGGTGCTTTCTCTTTAGAATGTTGGGGTGGTGCCACTTTTGATGTTTGTATGAGATTCTTATATGAAGATCCTTGGATTAGATTGCGTAAATTACGTAAATTGGTTCCAAATATTCCTTTCCAAATGTTATTAAGAGGTGCTAATGGTGTTGCTTACTCTTCTTTACCTGACAATGCTATTGATCATTTTGTTAAGCAAGCTAAAGATAACGGTGTTGATATCTTTAGAGTCTTCGATGCTTTGAATGATTTAGAACAATTGAAAGTTGGTATTGATGCTGTTAAAAAGGCTGGTGGTGTTGTTGAATCTACCGTTTGTTATTCTGGTGATATGTTACAACCAGGTAAAAAATATAACTTGGAATACTACTTGAATGTTGTTGATGAAATTGTTAAGATGGGTACTCATTTCTTAGGTATTAAAGATATGGCTGGTACTTTAAAACCAAAAGCTGCTAAAATTTTGATTAGCTCAATTAGAGAAAAATATCCAGATTTACCAATTCATGTCCATACTCATGATAGTGCTGGTACTGGTGTTGCTTCGATGACTGCTTGCGCTAAAGCCGGTGCTGATGTCGTTGATGCCGCTTCCAATTCAATGTCTGGTATGACCTCCCAACCTTCAATTAGTGCCATTTTGGCTTCTTTGGAAGGTGAAGTTGAAACTGGCTTAGATGAATCATTAGTGAGAGAATTAGATAACTATTGGGCTCAAATGAGATTATTATACTCTTGTTTCGAAGCTGATTTGAAAGGTCCAGATCCTGAAGTTTACCAACACGAAATTCCTGGTGGTCAATTAACTAATTTATTATTCCAAGCTCAACAATTAGGTTTGGGTGAAAAATGGTTATTAACCAAAGAAAAATATAAGATTGCCAATAAATTGTTGGGTGATGTTGTTAAAGTTACTCCAACTTCAAAAGTTGTTGGTGATTTAGCTCAATTCATGGTTTCTAATAACTTAACTGAAGAAGATGTTACTAAATTAGCTAGTGAATTGGATTTCCCAGGTTCTGTGTTAGATTTTATGGAAGGTTTAATGGGTACTCCTTTCGGAGGTTTCCCAGAACCTTTAAGAACTAATATGTTGGGTAACAAACGTCCTAAATTGAACAAGAGACCTGGTTTAACTTTAGAACCAACCAACTTTGAATTAGTTAAACAAGAATTAACTTCAAGATATGGTGATAACTCGTCAAGTCATCATAATGCTACCATCGAAGACTGCGATATTGCCAGTTACATCATGTATCCTAAAGTTTATGAAGATTTCCGTAAGGTTATTGATAAATGGGGTGACTTATCAGTTTTGCCAACCCGTCATTTCCTCAAGGCTGCTAAAATCAATGAGGAAATTGTTGTTGACATTGAACAAGGTAAGACCTTGATTATCAAATTATTAGCCATTGGTGAAATTAGTCAACAAACTGGTACTCGTGAAGTTTTCTTTGAATTGAATGGTGAAATGAGATCAGTTACCATTGATGATAAGACTGTTTCAATTGAAACTAAGACTAGACCTAAGGCTCAACAACCAAATGATGTTGGTGCCCCAATGGCTGGTGTTGTTATCGAAACAAGAGTCAAACAAGGCCAAGAAGTTAAAAAGGGTGACCCTATTGCTGTTTTATCAGCAATGAAAATGGAAATGGTTATCAGTTCTCCAGTTGCCGGTAAAGTTGGTGAAGTTTTGATCAAAGAAGGTGACTCAGTTGACGCAAGTGATATGATCACCAGTATTTTGAAATGATTTTATTCAATAATTTCTCATAATGTGTTTCAATTCTTTTGATGATTCTCTACGTTTATATTTTTTATTTTTACGTTGTTTTTTATATAGATTAAATTATATTTCATTAAATTACTTGCAAGTTTCGTAATACTTTTTCCCTGAAAGGTTCATGGTTAAATGCTTATTTTTGTCTATGGTGCTCTAGCATTTGGTTTTTCTGTTGGCCTTTAAAGCACTCTACTTTATTTGAAAGGTCTTCTCTTTGATATGCCTTTTGCATTTCTTCCACTTAGTCCCAATTCTCTTTGTCTCTTACTAGCAAGATCATTTCTTCTTTGTTGTAGCTCGTTTTCCCGTATCTCCTTTGCACTAAGAGTATTCGTTAAATGATCATTCTCGCTTTCTAATCGATTCAATTCGTCTATCAATAACTGTTCTTCATTTAATTTCTCCTCTATCTTGATATCTTGTGCTTCGTCATTCAATATCTCATTGACCCCAAACGTTCCATCCCATTTCGGGTTGTTCAAAACTTTATTGGTAAACTCTGTCTGTGATAATATCTGTATCCATTTCTCTAATAGAATCGTAGTATGGTTTGCTGAGTTTTTTGTTTTGGTTATATCAACTTGTGATTTTTGAATGGTGTTTATCAAGGTATCCATGGTGTCGTTTACTTTTAATAATTGTTGATACTCTTTCTCTAGTGCCAATTGACGTTTGGCTGAGTTCGCTGACATCGTGTAATTAAGTATATCCAGTCTTTAGTTAATCAGTAGTATGTTTTACTCCAAAGTATTGATGTTTTGATTTTGCACTTTGGAAATCCTCAAAATCGAGATATTCAAAAAAAAAAAAAAAAAAAAAAAAAGTCGAAACTGAAAAATTAATCTATAAACTCTTTAACTTAAATATCTTTCATGGAGGAAGAATTGCCCACAAGATGGGAGATTGAGCTAGAGTTTGTTCAATCATTGGGCAATATACAATACTTGAACTATTTGGCGCAAAATGACTATCTTACGAACGAATGTTTTCTAAATTATTTGAATTACTTAAATTATTGGAAAGAACCCCGGTACTCGAAATATCTTGTTTATCCTAACTGTCTACATATATTAACATTGCTACAAAGCGAGGAGTTCAGACGAAGCATAGTTAATCCAGATTTCATGAACTCTCTTATGAACGATATGGTCAAAAGATGGCAAAGCCCAGACGACATATTTTCCAGTGGGTCCCCAAACACAACTCCGAATAATCAGCAGCAATCACAGCATGATCAGCAGCAGCAGAAGGACCAAGGGCTTGCAACAAATGGCATAGAGGTAAGGGTAGATGATGTCGACCCAAAGGGATCTGACCCATCACCAGACATAAAAATGGAGAAACCTGAAACACACGAACCAGAAGTAAAACTTGATGATAAGAACTCTTTCAAGCCACCCGAGACAGTCAAAATCGAAGAAAGTGCCGTAGAAACTAACAACGGTACGGCTGCTGAAGATCCCCAGTCAGCGGAGGGTGGAAATCCTTCCGATGCAATCGAAATTGACGGTTAGCGAAATCCAATTTAATGAATATACGATTGATTCTTCTATTTGCTAGTTGTAGATACTTGTAAAGCGTCTAATGATATTTGTCTAGAGTCAAAAGGTCAATTTCGTGCAAAAAAAGAGAGCATTTAATTTCACAGCCAATTCTTTCAATTACATGATCTTCGCTCTTGGAAGCAGCAGCATGGATATTGACCAGACGTGGAATGTCAGCGACAAACTAGTGCCTTTGGAAGGACCCTTGCAGTCTTTTCAAGAGAGCTTGTCTATCGATAAGACCACTGCAAAATTTCTAAAGAGAATCTGAACCCCAGAGTTTCGACAAGTCGACTTGAAGAGAGAACATCAGCCAAAGCTAAATCTAGTGTTGAATTAGATGACTTACTAGTTAATCGCTCTACTGGTTTAGATCAGACGGTGGTAGAGAGTGTTCTTTTGAAAAATGAGTCGGTAGGCTCTTGGGCGGTATCTCTGCCAGAAGTTTGCTTTCAGCAAATTGACCAGACCAAGGGTTCGTTGACCAAAGAAGCAATTTCTGTCGATTGTGAAGTTAAGAAGACATTGGTTCAGTTAAATAAGATGCCAAAGCCGGACTTAATTCAAAAGATAAGTCATATGAAAACACTTGACTTCTTCTACGATGATCTTGTATTTGCTTTCGGAGAATTCCTTCGCCAGCCAGAAGAAACCCAGTTAACCTAGAGAAGTTTGACTTAGCAGACGAAATTGACAAAATCATCCTTTCCAAAAAAGTGAAAAAACGAAAAGTAGTAGACGATGAAATCGAACCCTTGGAAGACCAAAAGCATTCAAAATACCCTAAGGAATCGTCTAATATTCTACAAAGCATGACATCAACGTATCCATTCCTAGAGATGTTTCTGTTCAGCAAAGATGATGTAGAGACACCTTTACTAATGGACAAAGCAGAGCCAGAAGAAAAGCTGGCAGTCGACCTCTCAGTCGAACATCTTTTCGATAAGCAATCAAAAAGGGTCCTGGATATGCCTAAATCCATGATATTAACCCAACGCTAACTATCTACTCAAAAATCATGGTCTAATTGAGAAACTAAGGTTTCATATGGATTTGGCGGCGAAAAAGATGTTGATTTTATTTTGAATGAGACAACAGCAATATTTATGATAAGCTGTATAGAGTTATTACAAAAAAATTTAAACGGAGAGTTTTTGATTACAAAGCAGTTAATGGAATCAAAGAGGAGGTACATGATCCATTCTGCTTTCGGTTTCTTCAAGTATGCGGCCAATTGTGACGATTGGAGTCAGCTATCGGTGTTGTGCTCGACCCTCAATATCCATCTCAGATTGACTCACATCTCTACCATAACCTCTGATATACTACGGGTTTGCCTTGACGAACCAAAAGTATACTCGAGCGACTTCAATAAGAGTGGATTGTCTGATGAAGAGTCCTTTTTGAACCAATGTGAGTTTAATTTTTCCAATCCAAGCATATTTTATCCCAAATGGACTTGAAAGAGTTTGTCTTGATTTCTGATCGGGAAAGGAAAGATCTATTCGGTAGGATCATACCAACTGAGTTATTAGTGAGTATCAACGGATTCAACTCTTTGATCTTTTAATTACTAACGCCTTACAGGATCATTTTGAATCGCTTGTAACGTCCGATTTATCAAACTAATGATTGCAAAACAGCGCAGTTTTATTGGGAAAACTCAATAAACATCCACAAAATTAAACAAAACTCTACATTGAACTCCTTACAAGAACTCCCCAGAAGAACAGCCCATACGCTAGGTCTAGTTGTGGCCATCTACTCAACTACTATAGCAAAACCAGACCGGAGCAAGCTTATGTTAGATTATTTGCAACTATTTTTATTGAATCGGACACACTACCCAACATTAGCTTTTGAGCGATTGAGAGAGGCAAACATGGAAAAACAAAATGACAAGTAGATTATACGTATGGATCATCATTAGTATACACCATTATGGCTCCTATTGCAAAAGATAAGATAAGCGAAGATGGAAGGAGCAATTCTGATAAGTACGCGGAGCATTTTGAAGTTTTGAATCAGTATTCAGAGAAAATAAGGCAAACGTTACGTCTCAGTATTCTTGAGGTTGCTTTTATAGTCCTGTTCATTTTTAACTTTATTGTTGCAAGAATTCTTCATTACACTTCCCAGGAAGAAGAAGTATATAATTACTATAACGATAAACGAAACTTGTTGAATCAATTGTTTGTTAAGAAAGGTTGGGGATGGACTACACTTATAATTCTTATATTTTATGGGATTGTAATTAAGCAATCCAAAACCAATAAGATTCAAATAGTGAAGAATGCGGGTATTAGGTATTTGCTCGTTACCGGATGGTGGATTCTTTTCACTCAGTGGTGTTTTGGCTTACCAATCATGGATAGAATCTTCATATGGACTGGAGGTAAATGCACTAATATCGATTCGAATAAGTTAAAAGCATTCAAGGGAGTTACCAAAATCTTCACTTTATTGAGCACCACTCCACAAGAGTCTGGTGCCATCTATGAATCTACTGGTGTTACTTCGTACACCTGTCGCCGTTTGAAAGGCCAATGGAGTGGAGGCCACGATCCATCGGGGCACGTATTCCTATTGGTCCACTCTTCATTGTACTTATTCTTTGAGGCAGCACCGTATTTCCATACGGTTGGCGAGTTCTGGAAGGATTTGAAAAAAATCATGCTGGTTGTCAGACATGACCAAGCCCAATTCAAGAACAGCATTTCCCAGTTCATCTCGAAACACCCATACTTCGGGGTGGTTTCTTTGATCTCGTTGTGGTGGTATATGCTATTCATGACCAACATGTACTTCCACCTGAGTGCTGAGAAATCAGTAGGGTTGATGTTTGGGTATTTCGGTGCCTTGGGTGTGTTTTACTTACCAAGATGGTTACAAAGTCAATAGATATAAAATAAAAGGCGTAATGAACTTGAATTCAAATGTAAGATGGAGAATTTTGCAATCAAACCAAAAATTGGCACCAATATGCGTCAGACCAGGCTTTCGTTGGCGATAAGACAATGGCCTCTCGTAGTATTTGCAAAGAAACATAACCTCTGATACAGACTTGAACACGACTAGATGTAATTAATGTTAGTTCACCGATTTTTTACGGGCAAAAGCCGTCATTCCACACTCAAGCACTCCAAGGTGCTGGTCTACTTCATATGTTTATTTGTAATTGGGCTCTCGTACCAATCGCTCGGGTCCAGAGAGTTGTCAAGCCAATCTCTCACGATGTCAACCAATATTGTCTTCACTAGCGAAACTAAAATTTGCATTTAAAATCCTTCTTTGCAACTAGTCTTTGCAACAAGTATTGATAGCTGCTGCCAGTTATCAACACGAAACGCGACTAACAAATAAAGATGCAAAATTGCAGCAAAAAAACAAAAAAATAGTTGCAACGCGTTTTTTAGCGACAGGGGTTTCAAAGGGATTCTTCATCAAAACAAATAAACAAATACTTCAAATCAAAGACATGGAGCCAGGATATTTCAAAGAGTTTGTAGAGTTGTTTATTGTGCCCGATGCCAGGTTACACGTCCACGTCTCTTCGTACATGGGTGTTCGACGCATCTCGATTGTAGTGGTGCATTTTGTTGTTGTAACTACGAAACAGAAGTATATTTCACCTCCTTTTAACTTTTGAATACATTGGATAAACTTGAATTTGGCAACCGCGAGAGATTGAAAGGTGTTTGTATGCTATTTTTGTCTAAGAAGTCTTCAGTTGTGTAGGTAATTTGTAGATGGGTTATTCATTGATTATCAAAAGTTTTTTTTTTGTTATTACTTCTTCTTTTTCTTTAATCAAAACTTTCAATTACTCTTATTAAAAAGGTTTCATTAGCCCAAACGTGTGCTTTATTAAGCTCTTCCTTCGAGCAATACTTAAGAATCAAAGAAGCTCAAGTGGAAAAAGAACGATGATTGAAATTATGAATCTACATACTTTCTTACTCCTTTTCATATACTTTCCTGCTTTAATCGTGGGTGAAGCCTACGTTGGCTTCCCATTCAATGAACAATTACCAAATGTTGCTAGAGTTAATGAGGATTATTCTTTTACTTTAGCCAATACTACTTATAAATCGAACTCTAATGGTGAAATATCTTATGAAGCTTCCAACTTACCAAGTTGGCTTCAGTTCGATTCTAATTCAAGAACTTTTTCTGGTAAACCTTCTTCAAGTAATGAAGGTACTTTTCAAATCACTTTAACTGGTAAAGATTCCTCGGATGGTTCATCCATTTCAAATGATTATAGCATGATTGTTAGTTCTGATCATGGAATCCATTTGAAATCTGATGATGTGATGTTTACTCAAATTGCCAAATATGGTGATACAAATGGTAATGACGGACTTGTTGTTAGTCCAGGTCAAAATTTTAATATTAAATTTGAAAAATCAGTTTTCCAACTGTATTCAGACTCTTCTCGTGATATTGTTGGTTATTATGGTCGTTCAGAAGATAGAAGTTCTTTACCTAGTTGGATTTCTTTCGACAGCGATACTCTTACTTTTAAAGGTACAGTTCCTTCAGTTACTTCTAAAATCGCCCCATCAATAATCTACGGTTTTAGTTTTATCGCTACCGATTATTTGAATTATGCTGGTGCTGAAGGTATTTTTAAATTAGTGGTTGGGGCCCATCAATTGAGTACTTCCCTTAATGAAACAATTAAAGTCAATGGTACTTTAGGGGACTTTTTCGATATAGATGTCCCAGTTCTTTCTCATGTTTACCTCGATAATAGTACCATTAATCGTGATAATATTTCGGAAGTTTATGGTAATGACTTGCCTGATTACATCTCTTTAAATCAAGATAATTTCACTTTAACCGGTAATTTCCCCAACTCATCAACTTTTGATAACTTCACCATCGTGGTTGAAGATGTTTTTGGTAACACCGTTGACTTACCTTATCTGTTTGATGCAATTGGTTCGGTATTCACTTTGGATGACTTACCTGATGTAAATGCTACCAAAGGTGAATTTTTCAATTATCAATTCCTTGAATCGTGGTTTACTGACTATAATTCTACAAAAATTTCTGTCAGCTATGATGACGCTGATTGGTTGAATTATCATCTGTCCAATCATACTCTTAGCGGTCAAACACCAAAGAACTTTGACGATTTGAAAGTTAATGTCAAGGCAAGCTCGAGCTACGATTCAGAAACTAAACTGTTCAATATCGATGGTATAAGCAAAAAAAATAAATCAAGCTCCTCTTCATCTACATCTTCCACCTCATCTGCTTCTTCCACATCGTCTGCTTCATCATCTCCGGTTGTTTCTGCAAATAAAAATAAAAGTAATAATGATTTGCGCAAGAAACTAGCCATCGGACTTGGTGTTGGCGTCCCATGTCTTCTTTTATTAATTGCAGCTTTTATTTTCTGCTGCTGCTGTGCAAGAAGAAGAAAACAAAGAAAGGAGCAAGAAGAAGAAGCTGCAGCGGGTGCAGCTGGTAATTCTAGCGAAGATACTACTGCTAATTCTGACTTTGGTAGTCCTGAATTATCTGGTCCTGGTTTCGGAGTTACTTATGATAAAAATGATCAAGATGAGAACGCTGAACGTTTGGCATCTCTAAACGTCTTGAAGCTTGACGATAAAAAGAAAAATAAAGATATCGATGATGCTCATAGTACTTCTTCATCTTTGACACACGTTGATGAAGATGACCAAAAGTCGACTTATTTTGATACGTCTGATAAACCGATTAAATCTTGGAGAGCCAACGATCATTCTGATGCAGCAATCGGTGCATTGGCTGCGAAGAACTTGAGAGCCTCAACTGCTTCATTAAGTACTGTCAACACAGAACAATTATTCTCAGTTAGACTTGTGGAAGATAACTACAGTATAAGGGATTCAAATGCTTCATCCGCATTCATGAGTAATAATTCATTGAATGCGTTATTGAGAAGGGAACAATCACTGGGGAATTTTCAAAGATTGGATAGCGAGGGTAATATTGTCAGTTTTAATCATACCAATAATAGTTCACCAGTAAAATCAAGACTTTCACGTTCTCCATCATCTAACTTAAATAGTGTGATGGAAGAAAATCAACATAGTTTTGCAGAACCAAAATTTCAGAAAAATGAAGATGTAAGTCAGGATAATTCTGAATTATTTTTCACTGCTGACAACAACACTAGTCTTTATCAGGGAGAGGAGTCAAGCAGTGGTAATTTGTTAGCTAAGTTTGAGGGATCAAACCCCCAAATATATCAATCATCCTCATCATCATCCAATTACCTTAATCATGAAAATTCAGAAAACAGTTTACAAGAACAATTTAAATATACTCAAAATTCTTTGGGTGAATATCAATGGTCATCTGATAACGTTGACCAACAAGACAATATTCACGAGTTTCATTTCCAGCCTAATAACACAGAAGCCACTCCAATGTCAGATAGTAGAACATTGTCCAACTCACCATTGAAAAATCTCAATACATCATCTCATTCATTGCTTAGTTCTAATAATAATAATATGAATAACAGTGATATTCAAACCATGAATCCAGGTGCTGGATTCTCTAATACTTCATTAGGTAAAAAGGCTAAATTGGTTGAATTCACTAGGAAGGGCAGTTTGAGAGATTCATCTTACAGACCTGATGGTGTTCATCAAGGAGAAACTGCCCAAATTCATGATGACGATAGTGAGTAGTTGTTTTTGAGAGCCGGATGATTTTTATTGCATATATTTCTTGTTTACTTCCCTAATTTCTTTGATTTTCCTTTTTATTGCATCTTCCAAAGTCTTAGTTGACGTTCTTTACCTTCTTTTTTTCCCTTTCATCAAGTTCACCGGGTTGAAATAAGTTCAACTCGGTTTTATTCTATTCTTTTGTATTATTAGCTTAGTCTATCTTTTTTAACCAAAACTTTTTTTTTACTCCGTGATAAACGGTTTTAATAATATACTTAATAATTTTTATAATATTCTTTTGCAAGTCTACAAGGTAAGTTTAAATATGGAAGTATTAGTTATTATAAATAGGGGGAATTAAATAGAGGAATGCTTTGGTAAAGTGTCGACGAAATTAGCGGTATCTTGAGCTCTACGTCTACCTTCAACGTATTCCATCATTTCTGAATAAGTTTGAGGAATGACTGAAGCAAAACCAGGACTATTTTCAGCGGTTGAGTTGGCAGGGACAAAGAAGGAGTAAATGAAACTTCCTGATTCTTTAGAATTGATAGAATTCAAACTTTTAATATAAGTATCGACCCTGACTTGAATTAAAGTACCTGGTTCAGATAAGAAAGCATCCGGGTTTGACAGGAGTTTATTTGTAGGGGGTAATCTAAAATTGAAAGGAGAATCAGCATCGTTTTCAATATTTTCATCATGAATATGTTCAGTGTAAGCCACTGAGGCATCCATACTTAAAACACTACCAACGGGGACTGGAGCTTTGAAAGTAGTTGAATCAAGAGAAACAAATCTTGGACCAGCAGAAGCAAAAGCAGCAGCAGCACAATAAGCCAATTCAAAAGATTGTCTAAGTAAGTAACCACCGAAAATCATATAAGAATGTCTATTTCTATATTGAGGTTGCATGAAAAGGGTTGAACTAACTTTTGAATCTTTCATAAACAGTAAACTTTTCAGTTTATTACCACCGGATTTTTCAATTGCTTTTGAAGATTTCCACATTTCATGTATAAGTCTCGATTCTTCATCAGTTGGTTCAATGACTTTATGATTTTTAGCAGCAAATTTTTTTTTAGCATTATGAGATTCGGCTCTTCTATAATCTAACCATTGTTGTTCCAGAGTAGGTAATAAACGATTAACCGCAAAAGAACGATGAGTCAATGGATTACGGGCAACAAAGGTAAAATTAGCAGTTAAAAAAATATTTTCAGCAGGCAAAGCATCTTCAGTTATTGTAGAAGGTAATTTTTCATCAAATGCAAAACCTTTAACTGTAATTTCCATTGAAGATTTACCAGTCCAAGTAACTGCACCAGCAAGGACAAAGTTATAATTGGTAATTTCATCAACTTTCTTTACCATATAAATACGATCGACCGAAGCAGTAACATTTACTGGTTCAGCAGGAGCACAGTGTCTATAAGCAATTCTACCAGCTAAAGCATCTAAATCTTGAAATAACTGACCAGCTCTTAATCTACCAAAAGCATTCATGTATTGATCACACAACCATTGATCATCTTTGAAAGGTAAAGCCAAATAAGAAAATGATTCATTTCTCGTCTTTTCGCCAACTTCAGTGGTAACTGGTGTAACATAAGAATAACTATCAATTGTTTTACCTTCAGCCATTTGTTTTTCTCGTTCTCTTAATGCTGCAATCCAAGTGGCTTTATTTGGGAATTTTTGCATATCATTTTGATCCGCTAATATAGTAGCAGTGGCATCTGCTGCATCGGCTGGCTCAAACGATGCTGCCTTATCTTCTCTATGGAAATTGGTTGGTATCGATGAATTGAACCTGTTGAGGCAAATTGCTGGGTTCCTACTTGAAACCCTGCATGTTCTTCCAATCGTTTTAAGCATCTTGAGTGCAAATAAGATTTATTATTAGAATATCGAGATCCTCTTCCTAAAAATAAAAGGATATTGATGACATTTTATAATAAGATGATTGGAATATTTCAGTCCATTGACTGAGTTCCGAGGGTGCAAGCCAATGGCCGCCAGTCACCCCCCCTCATCGCTTGCCGGAACATGAAGTCATATTGCGTTTTGTATCACGTGAACACCCTCGAAACCCCCTGCCGGAACTCGCTAGTCTTCTCCTAAAGCAAATTATATTTGCATCTTTGACTATTCGATTAGACAAACTGGGTCAGTGGAAGCTTCTACACCCAGGGTATCAGCTCAACATTGTCTGACATTGGCCAACCGTAACTCGCCTACTCAACCATAAATATAATCAACCGTAGCTCATGTACTCAACCATAAATATAATCAACCATAGCTCATGTACTCAACCAATTCAACTCAACAACTGCTCAGCTCAACAACACAAAGGCTTCCCAAACGGTGGTCCAAAGCACTGAAAGGAGGGGAAGGACCGGTGTACGGAGGAGAGGTGTGCCCGGGGCTCGACGGGTGCTGCCGCAAAGGGGGGTCCGGTGGTCCCTGGGAACCCCGGGCGCCGTTGTCTGGGAATGTACGGGTGTAGGTACTCGCACGACCTCGGGAGATAAATGTACGGATGTTTTTTTTTTTCGTTCTTTCGTTTGTGTTGTTCTCTTAAGCTGATGGAGATGTATGTCCGAATCGACTGATTTGTCCATGGAGACACGACCGCCATTTAGTATGGTTATCGCGCTTTTTGATACGGTCCTCATCTGTCCGGCCTCCATACCTGCCGATTTTACAGTCAAAAGCTGGTGTGGACCACCTCAATTACACAGCACACCCCCATTTCTGGCGCCGGTAGAAAGATGGACACGGCAGAGACCGTGAAAAGTCCTGGCGAAAGGTGATGGGAATAGGAAAAGCCCACCACTCCCCCAAAAAATGGCAGCGTAGGAAACAAAATAGTGCGAGAAAACAGCGAAAAAAAAAACCGAATTAAGGAACTCACTTCCCTTTGAAAAAAGTTAGGAAAAGCTTTATTAATAAATTGATACTTTTTCTTCTTTCTTTCTTTTATAAATCAATTAATCAGTGTGTGATTCTTTCGATTCATTGAGAAATTTGTCATGGCCCCAAGTAAGTTATCATCTGTTGCCAAAACAGCTAATTTGGCTGCTTCTGCTTTGAAAAATGGTAATGGTTCAGTTATTCCAAATGCTGTTGCCAGAAGTTTACCCCAAGCTGGTCAATACCAAGCTTTAAGAACTACTGGGGGTTCCTCCGTCCGTTCTGCTTCCAGTGCTTCTGGTACTAAGACCATGACTGTTAGAGATGCTTTGAATTCTGCAATTGCTGAAGAATTAGACCGTGATGATGATGTCTTTTTAATGGGGGAAGAAGTTGCCCAATATAATGGTGCTTATAAAGTTTCAAGAGGTTTATTAGATAGATTTGGTGAAAGAAGAGTTGTTGATACTCCAATTACCGAAATGGGGTTCACTGGTTTAACTGTTGGTGCTGCATTAGCTGGTTTAAAACCAATTTGTGAATTTATGACTTTTAATTTTGCTATGCAATCAATTGATCATATTATTAATTCTGCCGCTAAAACTTATTATATGTCTGGTGGTAAGCAACCTTGTAATGTCACTTTCCGTGGTCCAAATGGTGCCGCTGCTGGTGTTGCTGCTCAACATTCTCAATGTTATGCTGCTTGGTACGGTTCTATTCCAGGTTTGAAAGTTTTATCTCCCTACTCTGCTGAAGATTATAAAGGTTTATTCAAGGCTGCCGTTAGAGATCCAAATCCAGTTGTTTTCTTGGAAAATGAAATTGCTTATGGTGAATCTTTTGAAGTTTCTGAAGAATCTTTATCTTCTGATTTCGTCTTACCAATCGGTAAAGCTAAAATTGAAAGAGAAGGTACTGATATAACTATGGTTTCTCATACTAGAAATGTCATGCATTGTTTAGAAGCTGCTAAATTATTAGAAGAACAATACGGAGTTAAAGCTGAAGTTATTAACTTAAGATCTATTAAACCTTTGGATGTTCCAACCATTGTTGAATCAGTTAAAAAAACTAACCACTTAATCACCGTTGAAGCTGGTTTCCCTGCCTTTGGTGTTGGTTCCGAAATCTGTGCTCAAATTATGGAATCGGAAGCCTTTGATTACTTGGATGCCCCAGTTGAAAGATGTACCGGTTGTGAAGTCCCAACCCCTTACGCTAAAGAATTAGAAGATTTTGCTTTCCCAGATACCGAAATCGTTATGAGAGCTTCCAGAAAAGTCTTATCCTTATAATTTCATTCATAATGACCTTCCTTTCATTCTTCATCTAATCATAGTTACTCCCCCCCCCCATCTTTTTCTTCTATATTAAATTAATTTAAATTGAAAATTACCTTTTCATATATATAAATAAAAAATCTATTCTCGTCATACTAACTATGACCTGTAATGTATAGTCTATACAATATTGTATTGTCTCGTTATCTATGGGGTAGTTTTTCTCATTCTGTGCTTTTTTGACGCGACAACTTTCAAATCACAACTGAAAATTTCCAGCCAGGTGTAAGTAATTGATATACCTTTCTCCAAACAATTGAGATCATGTCCGAAGATGCTAAGGTTCATAAGAGGATTCTGTCCATAGATCCCACGAATTCTTCTACCAACGAACTCAATTATTCTCACGCTGCCTTTGAGGAAGAAAATGATGGTTTACTCCCCATTTCTCATCAAGACCTTAATGAAAAGCAATCTAAAAACACTTTGAAACCAGCTTCTAATGCCTCCGCAAACTCTAAACCCTTACCTAGAAAAGACTATAAAGCTTTTGCAGTCTTGGTGATACTCTATTTACTTCAAGGTGTTCCAGTTGGTTTGGCATTTGGATCCATTCCTTTTATCTTGAAATCTAAATTATCATATTCTCAAGTTGGGATATTCTCTCTTGCAAGTTATCCTTACTCCTTGAAATTACTCTGGTCTCCTATAGTTGATGCCATCTACTCTCCGAAATGGGGGCGTAGGAGATCTTGGATTATACCAATTCAGACCATATCGGGTTTAACTCTCATTTATCTAGGTCTTATTATTGACGATTTATTGGAAGACCCCCAATCTCATCTTACCACAATCACTGCCTGCTTTTTCCTACTTGTGTTCTTCTGTGCTACCCAAGATATTGCAGTTGATGGCTGGGCATTGACCTGCCTATCCCCAGAAGCATTATCGTACGCTTCAACTGCTCAAACAGTTGGTATAAACTCGGGTTATTTTTCATCCTTCACAATATATTTGGCTTTGAGTTCTCCCGATTTTGCTAATAAGTATATTAGATCTACTCCTTTGGATACTGGACTTTTCCTGATGGGTCAGTATTTAAGCTTTTGGGGCTGGATGTTTCTTATTGTTACTGCCTTATTAGTGTTCATCCCGGAAGATCCTCCTCATTTGGCCAAGACTAATGCTGCAAAACTAGCTAATGAAAAGGCAAAGGTTGAGGATTATCATAATACGAGAAAAAATTATTTCAATGAATTGAAACACGTCTATTACTCAATGTACCAGGTTTTAAAATTACCAAATGTTCAAACTTTCGTGGTTATATTGTTAACTGCAAAATTCGGTTTTCAAGTTAATGAAGCAGCTACCAATTTAAAACTTCTTGAAAAAGGTTTATCAAAAGAAGACTTATCCATTACTGTTCTTATCAATTTCCCCTTTGAAATGCTCTTTGGATATTATGCTGGTAGATGGTCTACAGGTAAGCATCCTTTGAAACCTTGGGTCATTGGATTTGCTGGTAGACTTTTCGCTGCTGCATGGGGTCAAATCATTCTTCTTATGTATCCCCTGAGCGGAGAAGTTGGAGCTGGTTATTTTCTCCTAGTTATTTTGCAACATTTATTCGGTTCATTCATGTCTACAATTCAATTCGTTTCTCTTTGTGCATTCCATACCAAAATTGCTGACCCGGCAATAGGTGGAACTTATATGACTACCCTTAATACATTATCAAATTATGGTGGTACTTGGCCTCGTCTTATCATTTTTTTCTTGATTGATAAGTTTACATCTTCGACTTGTGAATATTCCAACAAACTGAAATCTTATCAAATATATCTGGAAAGTATGAAAGAACAATGTAAGGAAATGGGGGGAACTGTGAATGTATGGAGAGATGGTTACTATTATACTAATGTTCTTTGTATACTGATAGGTATTTTGATTCTTTTATGGGCTAAGAAAAGAACGGCTTATTTACAATCCTTACCATCTAGTGCATGGAGAGTGAAGCAAACTTAAATGCAATATATGTATATATTTGTATATAAGTTAAATAAATAGAACTCTAGACTAGTAGACACATGGCACATACTTCCCTTTAAATCTATATAAGGTTATCATTATGACTATGTGCTCTCTTGTGACCATTCATACTTTGGCCAGATAACAGTGAGGGTCCCCTTTGGGATTGTCGTGAATAGCTACCTGCGTAACTAACTGGTTGATGGAAATCATCATGTAAGAAATCAATTGGTGAGAATGGTATTTTTGATTCATTCATCATTTTCTTTGAGATAGAAGAATGGTTACCAACAATTGAAGGAATTAAAGAGGTATCTAAGGAATTATCGGCAATGGCAATTGCACTCGAGTGAGGATTACCCATAGAACCATGAAAAACAGCACTGTTAGTGGCCATTGAGCCTGAATGCGATGAAGATTGCAGAGGCGAACGTAAATGCATATGGGAATTGGACCTTGATAATGACTTAGCTAATGCTGTTATAGTATTTGAAATAAACGATCTGGTAGTCCCATTATTGTTATAATCTGGAGTACATGCTGATGTTGAAATGTAATTTGGAGGAGGTGGTGACATAGTATAGCCAATTCTAGATCTATCATTATGATTCAATAAAGATGAAGATTCATTATAACGAGTTGGCTCATAAGAAGTATTGACATTTTCATCACTCCGGAGACTCTGTGGAAGTCTTTGATTATTTGAGTGAGAATATGTATTATAATGATTTGTATAGAAGGAACCAGAGTCATCTGAATCATTATCAAAAATACTATTAGGATAATTTGTATTGGGTTCTTGATTGAACTGTCTTCTCTTTAACTTTTGTTGTTCTCGTTGCATATGTAGGTCATGGTCAAAAAACCCGTCATTTAGATTGTTAACTGGATCTTTATAATACCAAAATTGAAAAATAATTATTGAATCAAAGATTAGTGTACCCGAGCTTCCAACTATGAATGGTAATTGAGCCCAAAAGACATCAATGAAAATATTAGAAGAATCCTGATGACGATAGAGTAAGCACAAATCACAGAGTATAGAGATGGTATAGAATAAATTACCCAACATGGCAAATAGAAATAGAAGTACAGTCATCCCTTTGGTTGACTTGTTATGATAGTTTTTCAAAATTTGTGGAGTTCTTGAAGAAAGATAAAGAGCCAGGCATATCCATGCAGACGATCTACCAATAATATAGCGGTTTGAAGTGATTATTGAATTGATAGCACCAAAGAACGACAATATCGAGGTAATCACAGTACCTGTTTTTGATGATCCACCTTTATTAGCAATTGGCATTGCGTTCGATGGTTTAGCCAAGGATGCAACAACGGAACCAGAAAATATTTTATGGAGGAAACTATCTTTCCTAGATTGACGTCCTGCCACATTGAAATCTTCTAAATTATAGTCATGCACATCGTTAATAACCAAATGTGGATTAGCATGGTGATGAGTTAAATGATGAGGAGAATGTGGCTTAATCATATTTGGACTTTGTAATAAATTATGGTGTACTTTTTGTTTAGGATAAATCCGAGTGTAGTACCAATATTGAGTAGATAATATGATATCTATAAAGCAATAGTATGAGGCGAGACACGTTTGGAAAGGTAATGCTTTGGTTAAAATACAACCTATAAGGTTAGTAACATCACCTGCAATCCAACAACCAAGGAACCAGATTGATACACCTGCGACAGACTCATTCAAATGATTTTCAATTACCTGAGGCAATTGAGCAAATAACCACAATGCAAGCGAAAGTACCCCTGATATTTGCGATACTGATGCAACTATTCGTTCATTACTTGAATATAAGGTATAATTAACAGATGCAATATTTTCACCACTAGATATTAGGATATTCGACATCTCGGATGCGTTGGTCCAAAAATCTAGAGCAGATGAACTCATTTGACGTGAATGATTCTTGGAGTTGAAAGAGATCGAGTTATTGGTATCGATCAGACCGTTGGATCCAAACTGTTTCTATTGTATTCGATTTAGAAATGAGTCACTGTAAGGAGATAAATTTAATGACCATCGGTAAAGAGGTACTGGAGATAAGGTAACAACTTGGCTCCTTGGAATAAACTCGAGGAATTAGTATAAATCCCTTACTAGAGATAAGGCTGATGATCTAATGAAAATTTTTATCAAAGACTCGTTATCTTTTTTTCTCAAGTTTTTGTCGTTAGTTGAAGCGTTCCTCCCTTTTTTTGTCATTTTTTATTGATTGACAGATAATGCGAGTGAAGCTTTGGATTTTCCGCTTCTTTTCTATTTTATTAGTGAATTAGGTTATAAGCTATATATAACTACGACAGAAATTCCCTGGTAAAGAGTGTATCAGAGGGCGTAAAAGAAGTATACGTTCATTAGTTTAAAAAGATTAGCAATAGTTTTAAGAAAGGAATGAGCCACCAGCAAGACAAAGGTTACGTCTGGTGAAGTGGACTTTGTAGACAGGAGACTTTTTGGTGAAGTATGCAGTCATATGGTCGCTACTGGCGATAATTTCCTTCCTATTAGATCTTTCATTGGATTTGTTAGGGCCAGATGCCTTGTTGGAAGCATTTGTGTTTTCGGAATTTCCGTTGGGGATTCCATTACTATTACCACCTTTTGTATCATTATTAGAATTGTTTTCAAGACTGAAAGCCTCTGGTTCGGGTCCTGCTTCGTTGGTATTACGTTTGACATCCCACACTCTGACAGTACTGTCTGCACCACCACTGACTAGCACGTCACCTTCTCTAGAGAAAGCTAAGGAGTAAATTGACGATCTACCGTGACCTCTCATGGTCTTCAATCTTCTTCCTGAACCAACATCCCAAACGTTTATTACACTGTCTTCTCCAGCACTTGCTAGCCATCTGCCATCAGGAGAGACGGCAATACAATTAACGGGTCCAGTATGGCCCATGAAAATTCTTACTGCAGAACCAGTTTGAACATCCCACATCCTACATGTTTTATCGGAGGAACCGGTGAAAACATAGCTTGAGTTTGGATGGAACGCAACGCAGTCCACGTCATTTATGTGTCCGGCAAAGATTCTCAAAGGATAGATATGATCGGTTGCCCATAATCTAGCTGTTTGATCATGAGATGCAGTAGCAAAGTAATGTCCCATTGGACTAAACTTGATATCCCATATAGGTTGATTATGTCCTTTGTAAACCACTAATGCAGTGTAAGAGTCCAAAGACCATAATCTTATTGTCTTATCTTCTGAAGCAGAAATTAAATAGCGATTATCCGGGCTAAAAGATAACGCATAAACGGGTCCACTATGTCCAATAAGTTTTCTGGTATTATCATTATTTTGACGATCTTTTTTGAAAATGGATTTTAAAGGTTTTCCATCAAGACTCCATAATTTGATTGAACTATCTTGGAAACCTGCTGCAACGATATTTGAATCATTATTGAATTCAATGCAATTCATGTTATTATTAGTATTGTGGAAAGTATACATACAAACAGAAGGAGCACTTGCTTGGATTGCGCCCAATTTAATTTTTGATCTTGAGTCTTCGACTTCCAATATAGCTCTTTTGATATCGGAAGCATCTTTTAAAGGTAATGGTAGAGATTCACGGGCTGGAGAATCCTGTTCTGGTTCTGTAATTTTTTTGAATTCGTCAACCAATGACACGCCATTTACAGGTGAAGTCTTTTCATCTTTGACTTTGAGCTCGGCTTCGATTTCTTTTTCAACTTCTGGATCCATGGGTAATTTACCCAAAGTGACTGGTTGTTCATTAAATTTTTCAATTTCATTGGTACGAGTGATATACCCGGGTATACCCTCTTGAGGATTAGCTTCACCCTCTTGATCTATCTTATCTGGTTTTGTAGTGGTTAGAGTGATTGGATTTAAGTATTGATTCAAAATTCTAATTAAAATGGCACCACCCACGGCTTCATTTTCGTGTAAAAAATAAAGTAATAAATTTAAACTTGTTTTGGAAACAATGATATTATATTTATTTTTACGATAAGCTTGAGCCAATTCATGAGTTTGTATATGGTCAGGAGTTGAAATCTTGGCCAACTGTTGAATTTCCAAACCGTGAAGAATTTCATGATCACTCTTGAAATCATCCAAAAACTCTTTCAGGTAAGCAACCAAGTTCTTTTGGATCAACTCAAGATAGCAATGAATGAAAATTGGGAATAAAATTCTCGATAACTCAGGTTTATATAAATCAAGAGAAGTGTCTACCCAATTTCTCAAGATGGAATACGCTCTATTGTAAACATCGGGATCATCTTCTCTTTTACGTTTTTCCTCGTCTTCTAATTCTCTTAATCGTTTTTCTGCTTGTAATCTTGATTCGCTATCTTTCATCAGCTTCAATTGTTCATGTAATTGATGTTGTTTTTCTTTCAAATCTCTTAACTCTTTTTCGGTTCTAGTATGTTTTTCTTTCAAGTCTTTTTCCCGTCTCGATATTTCTCCTGGATTACCAAGTGGTGTGTTGGATGGATTAACATTTGGTCCCGGTGGTGTTGGTGTATTTGTACTTTCCAATCTAAGCATTGATTCCGTCTTATGGTATCCTTTCTTATTAAGATACTCCAACACAATTCGATTCAAGTCTGCTTGAGACAATTGAGGTTGCTGGCTTCGATTGGCGGGTGCCCTAGCAGCTGCAGCACCCGACAGTCCAGCATTAGCCCCATTACTGTTATTAGTTGAAGAACCACCAACTGGCTGAATATCTGAAGCGTTGCCCGTAAGGTTATTATTAGAAGCTTGTCCCTGATTGTTATCAGACATGGTTGATGAGATTATTTACAATATAATACAGAAGGAAACACCACTGGCAACAAGGATGGCTTTAGGAATAGGATGATGTAAAACTTTCATACTACGGTTTTATCAAGTCAAAACAAAAGACCGAAAAAAACAGGAAAAAAGAGCGACTTCGAGAAGAAAAATGTCGCGCCACTAGCATCGCGACATTTTCACAGTCATTATCAAACCTACGACGAAGGTGTAAAAGGATTACTAAATAGCCCAAGGGTGCTATGGTTCGGGACGGATAGAGAGAAGAGAAGATGAAAATTTAATTCTACAACGATATAAGTAAGTATATTGTGGTGGAGTGCCAGTGAACCTGAAATCAACTTGTTTCTAGCAGATCCACTGTTTACCCAAGACATCTGCTTGGTCCATCGATACGAGCAATCTCCATTGTAGAAGAACCAAACACTACTTCAGTGGTTTCATTATGACTAAGAACCCAAAACGATCGACCAAGTCCACGTTCGAATTGCAGCCATAACTTCAAACCACAAACTACATACCGCTGGCCATATGAAGCTTCTCACAAAACCAGTCACCTTCCCATGTATTCCTACAGCTATCATAGTCTTCTTAAGCTGATATAAGCCTTTTAGATCTTGTTCTTACGTCTTCTCTTCGCTATATACTTAAGCCCGCTTATGTAAGCAGCTATTCAACGCCGGGTAAGTAATTTTTTTTTTTTCAAGAGTTTTTTTTTTTTTTGTATGAGCTTTAAATTTTTCAAGTGAAGTGAAAATTCAAACTTGTCTTGAAGAAAGCATAGAAGAGTAGGAGCAGGAGATCGAGAATGTTTAGAAACATATGTTACAGGGTGGCACCGGCTGGTGCCATGAAGACATCCAGTATAAGGATGATTTCAAGCAGTGCTCCTCGCTTATTCTTGGGTAATCTTTTTGGATCAAGAGAAGCAAAGAAACATGAAGAACTTATTGAGAAACAAGATGACTATACCGTTGATGCTGATAGCAAGATTGTCATCTTAGACGAGACCAACTCTCCAAACCACAAGCCATTTGATGCTGAAGCTGATATGCCAGGTTTCGAAGTGAAGAATTGGAAATTTACTAAAGTTCAACAAAAGGATATCGAAACAACATATGATATTGACTCAGTCAATAACACCTTAATAACAACTTATAACGAATTAGCAAATGCTTCCGAACAAGTCTCCGATTTAGGTTCGATAAAATTGAATGATTTAAATTTCAGATTCAAATATTCGAAATTATTACAACAAAACTTAGGTTTTGATATTAGCGATTACGTCTTTAGCACTAGTCATGACTTACAAATATTATCAGATAACTTGAACCAAATCATTAATACTAGATACGTGAACGAACGTAATCCAAACGGTATTGTTTTAAGAGATGAAGATTTCACTGCTCCAAATGTCTACTTGAACAACGAACTTAGTGATTTTGAAAAAGAAAAATTCTACGAAGAAATTTTGGCAAAAGCTAAAGAAGCTTAATTTGCATATCCATACTCCATATACTTGTAAATATACATATTTTCAATTCTTGAATTACCAATGTAAATTATATATATATATATATTAAAAGAACAGAATAAATAAATCTAAAAAGCAAAAAAACACTCTATCTTCTCCCAAGACTGAATCCAATTATTATCAGCGAAGCCAAAACTGCCAAACCACCACCAATCAATACTTCGTTCGAAACACCTTCAATTATTTGGTTGCTTGGTTTCTTGGTATCACGTTTGATTTGTCTAATATCATTGATTGGTGCATGCTCATTTGGATTATGAATATATAAATCAGCTTTATCATTTTGCAAAAGTTGATTGATTTTAACACAATCAATCAAATCCGTGTCAGAAGTAATCGAAACAACATCTCCTTCATCATCAACATAGGATATAGCATAATTTTCTGGACCTCCTTGAATAACTCTCAAGAATTCAAAGTCTTTTGGATGTAATTTAAAATCAATCAATTCTCTTAACTTAACTAATCCTTCAGTTGGAACCAAGGAGATTCTATGAACTCTTCCTTCAATAGCTGGTGACTTGAACTTGAAGGTGAAAGGTATTTCAGTATTAACTTTTATTTCTTCTTCTTTCTTTTCTTCTTCAATTATTGGTTCAACTGGAGTATCAATGTGTTGTTGAGAATCTCCAACAAATGAAATCGAATCGGTTGGTTTTAAATTATCAATACTAAACCCATTGAATTCGGAAGGGGTAACTTCAGGTGCACTTCCAGTAACTGAATCTGAATGAGTTGAACTTGCATCTTCATGATCTAATGAAGTCCAAAATTTATTCCAAGCTGGTCCTTCTGCATTCCCATTACTAGCACGTGGAGCCTCAGGGTTATCATTGAGTTGTTGTTCTTCTTCTTCTGCTTCAATTTGTTTGATTTGATTCAAGGTTGCATAAGTTAATTTTAAAACATCAACAATACCAATAATTTCATGATCATCATCCACAACAGGTAAATTAAGATAATGACCATCAAACATTTGTCTTAAGGCCTCTTGAATTGATTTATCATGCAGAGCCACATCAGGTTGTGGAGTCATTACTCTAACGATTGAGCATTTTTTAGGATCCAAACCTGCTGCAATTACTCTAAGAACAACATCTTTTGAAGTGAAAATACCGGTAACTTCGTCATTAGTATCATTGACCAACACTGCTGTAGTTTTATTCTCTTTCATCAAAACGGTAGCTTCATAAACTGAAGTTTTAACATTAGTATAAATAGGAGTGGTAGTATGATCAAGAACTGAATCTAAAGTTGGATTGTTCATTTTACTTTTCAAATTTTCAAAATATTGAAAGACTTGTAAAGGCTGTTGACTTATACCAATTTCCAGTTGTACAGAATCTAAAGCTTCATATAATTTTTTAGAAGATGCATGAACCCTTTCTAATTTTTCCATTTGTTGTGCATAAGATTTAGTGATATCAAGAACGCCTACAATATGATTATTATCATCAAGAACTGGTAAATGCCTAAATCCTTTTTCAACCATTAAAGTTAAAGCTTCCAGGGCTGGATTATTAGCATTAGCACACATTGGATTTGGAGTCATAATTTGATCAATGGTAACCACATTTGCATTTAAGCCTGATCCAACAATTCTGAAAGCTAAATCTTTGGCAGTGAAAATACCTAATAATTCTCCAGTGTCATTCACAACTAAAATACAATTTTCTCTCTTAGCAGACATTAATTGAGATACTTCATAAACTGTTGATGAGGTTTTACAAATAATTGGTTCAGAAGGTCTTAAAGATAAAACGGTACCTGGAACAGCTTTCTTATAACGATTCAGTCTAGTACTACCCTTTTTCTTTTTACTCAAGTCATGTTCAATTTTACGTCTAATAGCATCATCACGCTTAGACTGTCTTTTTCTGGATTCTGCAATTTGTGCATCACTTACTTGGGGTTGATGATGATGAGATGCCCCAGATGCTGCACTTGAAGTACTGAATGACTTGCCATTACGAGCAGAAGCTGCAGCAGTGCTACCCGACGCAACAGAAGAAGGGTGATGATGAGAAGCTGGTTTAAAGGACGACATGTTTAGCCAATTGCGACTTCTTTTGATTAAAGAGGATTTTTCTGGTTTTTTTGAAGATGGAGACAACTTGATGAGTTCAAATTCAAAAAAAAGAAGTGTTAAGTCAACCGCTGGTAATCTAAGATTTGAAATCTCTCGAATTCAAAGGATGACGGTAATTATTGTTATTTATTGTTGTGAAGACGGCGTTACGAGATTTGATTGGATCAATGACGCGGTCCTGGGGGAATAACGGAGTTGGAACTCTTGGGTATTAAGGTAATTTCAATACTATATTAAGATAAGTAATCGTATCAGCTAATCTTACAGCTCAGCTCGTACAATTGAATATCACTAACTTGCAATCAACTGGAAAAGATGTGATTCGATGGGGGCTCCTCTAATTCTATTTTTTTTATTATTATTAAACTAACCGATTTAGTACAAATATAAACAAATGCTATCCATACAATTACAACCGTTGGATCATCAACGCTCAACTCGATCTGAACCTTGAACAGAACCTCCTACCAATGCTTTGAAACAGCCCGTAAACCTCTGTATGGATATTCTTATTAGACTCAAGTCAACTAAACGATTCCAAATCAAAAAAAAATGAAATCCACAAAAATTCAAATAAACTCTGGTGTATGGGTCTAAGATGTGTTTGGTGTACGGATTGGCCAAAAGTGAAATCTACAGGATGCAATCAAAAATGTGTATGTTTTATTATAAATAGACGCCGACATCTATTCCTTCTTAATTCTATTCATTCTTCTTCTTCTTCTTCTTCTTCTTCTTCTTCAATCATGGTTGTTTCCACAATTCTTTCGGTTGCGTCGCTTCAAGGAATCATTAATACTCTTCAAGCGTTCCCCTTGTTTGTCTATCTCTTCAGTTTCATCAAAGATTTGGTTGTGGCTGTTTTGAAAACGGGACCGATCCCCCGTCACGTTGCTTTGATCATGGACGGGAACAGAACGTATGCCAAACGCAATCAGTTAGCCTTGAAGGATGGGCATTCAGCGGGAGCAGAGTCGCTACTCCTGGTACGTATTGACCTAGCTAACATTTTTTGCTGCTAAATGTGATACATCGCGCTGCAAAAAAAATATATATATATGGTTACCTTAGTTAAACTAACAATTATCAAGGTACTCGATGTTTGCTATAGGGTTGGGGTTCTGTATATCACCATTTATGCCTTTTCAATTGAGAATTTCAATAGATCTCTGGAGGAAGTAGACACTCTTTTCGGTTTATTGCGAGATCGCTTGAAACTACTCTGTGAAAATGATGATTCTTATGCCAGCGTTAACAAGGTCAGAATCAAAGTGATCGGTAACAGAGACATGATTCCTCATGACATATTGAAAGATTTGGAAACAATCGAAGACAAAACTAATACTCCAATGGTAAATAAAGTCTTGTATGTTGGGTTTCCGTATACTTCTCGGGATGATATAACCCATTCCATAAGAACAACCGTGGATCAGCTTAACCTGGGCGAAATAAGACGCGATCAAATAGACTTGGAAATGTTGCAGAAAAATATGTATATGGGAGCAGATGCACCGCAGCTTGACCTTTTGGTTAGAACTAGTGGCCATACTAGATTGAGTGATTTCATGTTATGGCAATGTAATGCTAATTGCACCATTGAATTTGTAAAAACTTTATGGCCAGATTTCAAATTCTTATCTATTGCTTCACTTTTATTTAAATGGAGCTATTATAAAACATTGCAATTACAAGTCGAATCTGCTGCTGCCGAAGTGCCCCATAATACCCACGAACCAACCGACATATTCAATCAGTTACCGCCTCCACCACCTTTTGCATCAGTCACTCAAAGACAGTTGTAATTATAACTTGATTGTGTTAACAACTGTCTTCACCTCTTTCTTTTTTCTTTCTCTAATTTTGGCATCTTCAATCTTATTCAAGTATCCTAAATATACCACGGTTTCAGCCACTAATATTAGTAAGCCAAAAAATAAACACATTAATACTCGATAACTATTGGGTAATCCCCATGAACTCTCAGTCCAGTACCAAATGGCATAAACAACACTTCCAACACTAATCAATATATTGACTATGGTGGTTAGTTGATGTCTCAATTCCTTATGAGCTTGGACTGGGGTTTGGTGACTAAATTCGTCATCAAATTTGCTTTCATATAAGGTATTGATTTCCGGTGATGGGTTAATTAATGATTGATACTCTTCCTCCTTAGCTCTCAATCGCAAATACTCCATTTGCTCAATGAACTCAGGGGTCTTTTCCTCCTTGGAATTATTCAAATCCTCTTTGTTTATCCAAATTTTCGTTGTCTTAAGTAATTCAAGAAGAGAACTTGTTGGCTTGTACTCGGTATAAAACGTAATAAGATTGTTTCTGCTAATAGCATGCTGCTCAAAGAGTTTGGCCTTTGATTCCAGACCTAGCTGTGATTTACTAATTAGTTCTTTGAGCTGAGGAGTTAGTTCGTATTGAGACATTTGATTGTATCTGGAGTTAATATCTTCGAACTACTTGATTTTTCGGTTCTCTCATTTGAAGAAAAAAAAAAAAACAACAAATAGAGGAAGTCTGCAATTCGCAGCATACTTAAACAATTGGCTATAATTAGTTGTCTTTAGTCATAATGTGATTTGAAGAAAAGTTAGGTGAGCCTCCTGCTATAGACCAAAGGACAATTCTAGTTGTATTCGCTACGGATTTTGGTTAAACTATTATCAAATTATCATCGCATGTTAGTTTCTTCAAAAGACCTTTGAGGTATCTTAGTTGTTTAAGATAACAATTACCTAAATGAGATCGATGATCATTTGATACATAAGTATAAATAATTGGCAAGTCTGTTTGGTAGCATAAATAAAGAAAACTTAAATAGTTACTAGGGGAGCGGAATTTAATTCCTTTCCATTTTTTTTTTTTCAGTGGATTTTTTGAAATTTTATAACAGCAAATCATCGACTGTTTTAATAATCATTAAGATTTAGTTGCAAAAATGCCCACAGCTACTTCCAAGATTGTTGGTGCTTTAGCATGCCAAACGAACTCGTTTTTGAAAACTTTACAAACAACGGTGGTTTCTTGTAAGGACCATACGCCACAATTAAGTTCAAAAGATAAGCAAAATAAGAATAAAAAGAAGACAGACGAAGTAAAAACTTCAAGCATTCCTGAATTTGAAATTGAATTGGAAGATACCAACTTGTTTCCTGAAGGCGGTGGACAGCCTTACGATACTGGTTCTATTTACTTACCTGATAAACATGAAATAAAGGTTTTAAGAGTTATCCGCAACCAACTAACTGCCCTTCATATTGCTAATGAGCCTATTGAGCCAGGTACTCTGGTAAAATTGGAAGTTGATTGGGAAAGAAGGATTGACTTTATGCAACAACATACTGGTCAACATTTGTTATCGTCCGTCTTCGATACTCACGGTTTGGACACTTTGAGTTGGTCAATGGGTGACATGATTAATTACATAGAATTACCAAAGAAAGTCGATGAAGAAGTGGTTGAAAAAGTCAATGCAAAAGTAAATGATTTGATCTTACAAAATATTCAAATTTCAGTGACCACTCCCGATAATCACGGTGGTGAACTTGATTTAAGCCGCATACCTGATGACTACGATACTTCTAAGGGTATTGTGAGAGTGGTTAAGATTGGTGATATAGACGCTAATCCATGTTGCGGGACCCATTTATCTTCAACTGGCCAAATTCAAGCCATTTCATTATTACACCAACAAAACGTAAGAGGAGGAAACTCCCGTTTATTTTTCCTTTGTGGTTCAAGGGTTTATAAATATTTGAACAAACAACATAGCATTTTGAAAGAGATCCAAGGTACTTATCTCTCATGCCAGTTAGATGAAGTTGTCGACAAGGTGGGACTTTTGAATTTGAATTATAAGCAATCTACCTCTAGAGAATCAAACCTTTTAAAAGAATTGGCGAATATCGAAGCCAATAAAATATTCGAAGATTTCAAGAAGGGTAGCAAGGATATTGCGTATGTCTATCGTTTCGATAATAATCCAGAATATTTACTTGTCTTCCAAAAGGAGTTTACAACGTTAATGAATTCCAACAAAGAAAGTGGTGTTAATCTTACTGACAAGTTTACATTGGTTTTGCTTAATGGCGATTATAAATCAGGTTTGGGAGGGATGATTAAGGTTTTAGGGCCTAAAGCTGAAAGTCTTCAACCTGAAATTAAGAACAGAATTACTAATTTAAAAGGTGGTGGGAAAGGTACTTCTTTCCAAGGTAAGATTCCAAAATATGAAAAGGGGGAATTAGAATCCTTATTGGCATTCTTACAAGAATTAAATTGAGAGTTTAATCAAGAAAATTTATTAATTTGATATTTTAATTTAGATATATACATGATATGAAAAGATGATATAAGTACAGAAATGTAGATTGAAGAGTAAAAATGCACCAAAAGTATTAACGTTTGACCCAAGTTGGGGATTTTCTAGCTTTAACTTTACCAGGTTTCTTTCTTTCGACAATTCTATTATCTCTTGTCATAAGACCTGCTTTACGCAATCTTGATTTTAATAAAGGATTATGAACAACTAAACCTTTGGCAATACCATACATTATAGCCTCAACTTGGCCGCTAACACCTCCACCTCTAACTTCGGCGAAAATATTATATTTGGCTTCTTGTGAAACAACATTAAAAGGGAAAAGAACCTTTTTACGGTCAGAGTCATTAGGGAAAGCTGAAGTTAAACTTTTACCATTGATAATAACATGACCTTCACCTTTAACTAAGTAAACATCTGCAATAGAAGTTTTTCTCTTACCGACGGTGACAGCTCTACCAAAAGTATCTAATGATTGTAATTTCTTTTCAGAAGCACCAAACAAATCAGCTTTGGAAGAACTGAATTCTCTCAAAGTTTCGGCAACATCAGCAGGCATTAATTGACGATCAATACTTCTCAATCTATTTAAAATACCAGTTAATTCACGATGGTGTTTGGTCTTTAGTCTCGAACCAGATTTACATCTTTCTTTATATTCTTCAAAAGAAACAGGCTTGAAGCTTTGAAGCTCCTGTGTTTGAAGGGTCTTGGTAGGTAAATTTATGTATTTTCTTAGAAGTGCATTCAAATTATTCATATTATCTTCGTGGACTGGATTCCCACCAAAGAAAGTCTTTAAAGTAGGCACTATTCTTAATCTTTCTAATTCAGAATCCCTCAACTTCTCATGCTCCAAACTAGGCGAAACAAGTAACCTGAGACCACTTCCACTAGTCTTTGGAACCGAAGGTCTTCCGGTTTCGATGTCATAATTGATTTGCTCTTCACCCTTGCGATCGCCTGATCCGGAGATGGTCAGATTGGCTCTCAATGCGCTGTTTGAGAAAAATCTCAAAGAGCCTTTGAAAAGCCCAATATGCTTGTTAATCGATAAAGACATATGCTCTGGGTATAACACTAAGCTTTGTAGATTATATCTCCATATTGAAATACTTCATTTTTTTTTTCAGTAGCTCAATGTTTTTCGAAAAAAAAAAAAATCAAATTACGTATCGCACGACTTTTCTCAGAAATCCCAAAATTGATTATGTAATACCTGGTGTACAGGTTTTATAAGGAATTATGGTATTATAATACAAATTGAAGAATCAAAGGATATAAACAGGTGATACGGGTAGAGAAGTAATAAGTGGGAAGACAGTATCAAGGTCTGTCGGTGCTTTCAGTTGTGGGCTGGTCGTTTGATGAAAGCAACGCACTTATGGGATTGGACCGAACGGTTTTGGCCACAGGAGGTAGCTTGGGGGAGGCCGGAGAAGTTGGAGCATTCAATAAAGAATTTAAGCTTGCCTTAGCAGGTTTTGATGATTCTGGTTTTGATTCAGTGGGAGGTTTTGCGGGACTGGAATCAGAGTTGAGCAAGCTCATGATTGAAGATTTGTGTCCTAAATTCCCACTATTGGTGTCCTGGATTCCGGTGAGAGGTGGTAACCTGCGCAGTTCTTGGGTACTTGGATTTGGGATAGGGTGTAGCATTGGCAATTGAGTTCCTTGTTTTTGAACTGGTGCTGGAATTGTGATTGGTTGCGGATTTATAGGGTGAGTTGAATGTTGCATGGTACCAGGTTGGTCTACCAATAAAGAACTTATGGATGGTGCCATTGAAGCAGACTTGGGAAACGGAGGACCTAAGGGAGCATTTCCATTTGGTTGAGGATGGAATGCAACACCTGAACTTCCTTGGTTGAACATACTTCTACCAGGTAACGGAATCGATGAATGTTGGAAAGTACCCATAGACGCATAGGGAACGGAATCGACTCTATGGTACAATTGTTGGTGTTGTTGAGGAATAGTTGCTGGATATGGGTAAGCCCCAGTTACTGAATCCTTAGTAGCATCCATTTGCGAATTGTAGATAGAAGACTTTCTAATTGGTGGAGTACCGTTTTGAGATTGAGATTGGGATTGGGAATTGATTATTGAATTTTGACTTGAATTCGATGATTTCATCATTTGAGACCCCACGAGAGGTGCAGATTCTTCCATCTTTGGTGCAATTTGACCCGATGGATTATTGACTACTGCATAATACTTAGCAGCCAATCTAACATCCGCTTGTTCGGCAATTGAGGTCCACCCATTTTTTTCAGCATTTCTTTGATAGTAGTTTCTCACCATTGTAGCAGTTTTACTGGCAAGCTTATCGGCAATGTTGGTCCATTTGGTGCCGAATTCCATCAATAATGATGGAAATTGATTAGCTTCGGTAATACTCCAATAACTAGATATTGTCTTTCGTTTACCATTATCATCTTCATGTTGAACATTGATTGTGGTATCGGGAAGTTGATCTGGAACTGCTTGGAAAATTGTTTGTGGATTTTGATTATTTTGAGGAATGATGTTTTGTTCAACTGAAGTGTTATTATCTTGATTGTACTCCTGTTCTTGTTTTTCAGTGATTATTTCCTCCTTCTTTCTTCTTTTACGTTTAGAGGCTTGGGCATCCGGAGCATTTGAAGCTTCCTTCTGCTTTTCTCTAGCTTTTTCTTTCTTAGCTTGTTCATCGAAGGATGGTGCTGCACTCCGCTTTCTTCTGCCTGTTTGAGAATAAACAGCTTCATTATCAAGATCGAGCTCTCCCTTGATATTAGCAGGAGGTTTGAGAGCAGTCGATTCCTCATTTACTTTGACGTTACCATCGGGTGTGTTTATTGCTTGATCAACATGTTCATCATAGACCACTGGCTTAATTGTATCTTTTTCAAGTTGCTTATTTGCTTCGGTAGTAGGTGTCGATACTGGAGTATTATTAGTAGATGTATTTTTAGATCTAGAAGTCTTACCACGACGACCTGTCTTCTTTGTAGACTTTTTCTTGAACTGAGCAACCAAATACTTGTAATTAACCTCCTTTTTGGTTATATAGTAATGAACAACACATTCTTCAATTGTTCTTAAGCCACCCATATATCTCGAAATTGCTCCAAATCTTTTAGGATAACGACAAAAGCCTTCTTCGAATAGCTGTTGCTCTCTTTCGGAGAAATTATTTTGAAAGTCAGTTTTCACACGTTCACTCCATTTAGGGCGATCTTTAACTATATTGTTAGAGTCCATAAATTTGAACAAATCTCTTTGAACTGGGTCAATTATCAAATCGGGAATTCTAGCTGCAACGCTGTTAGCTTTTACTAACGGATCTTCTTGGTCTTGCTTTCCCAAAGTTTTCAAAATCTCTTCAAATTCGGCCTCAGTGGTGACTAAATCACCATGTCTACGGCTCCTGCGTCCACCAGAAGCAGCACCATGACCCTGATCGGGAGTTGGAGCTTCAGAGATTTGATCTTGATTTTTGAGCCTGATATTTATAGCTTCTAATTCTTTCTTGGAGTCGTCGTCTGGGGGATGAATAATCTTGAGTTGTTGATCGATCTTCTCTCTAGTTATTTCCCATTCGTCCAAATCTTTTTGATAGGTGTTCCATAAAGTGAGTTTTTTTCTTTGTTGTGTCTTATTAAAAGTAATGAAGCTTGCAATAATCTTATCTTTATTTTTGAAAAAGTGATTAAAATTTTTGGAAAAGAATGGATAATCGTATAAATCTTCAATAGGTTTTAACAAAGAATATTTTGTGTGATTATTAACTCTTCCTTCATTCTTAATGAGCAGTTCAAATTCATCCTTTAGTTCATTAAATTGGGTTTCAATTTTGCCTAATGGAAATTTGCAATAATCAGGTTCGTCAACTTGCTGATTTTCCATTTCTTCCACTTTCGATTCGACTGGAATATTTGGAGATGGTTTCACGTCTTCTTCAAGAATTTTTTCATCGAACCTAGTTTGTTCCACCGGATCGTTGATCGAAGGTCTTTTAGCTTCTGGGCTTTCTTTAAGAGGGTCTAGTATTCTCTCGTCATCGTCTTCTTCATCGTCGTTTATATCATCATCTTCGTTTTCTATGTCATTGTCTTCATCGTTATCATCATCGTTATCATCGTCATGAATATTCAGATGCTCATGTTCATGCTCATGTTCATGCTCATGTTCCTGTTCACGCTCATGTTCATGTTCACGTTCATGGTCATGTTCACGTTCATGGTCATGTTCATTTTCGCTTTGATGGTCTCGTCTATGATCATTTTCATGGTCATTGTCATCATCATTATCAATGTCACTATCACGACTTATATCTGCCGTGCCCTTTGACTCATCATCTGAATTCTTTAAATCAGTTAAAGAATTGTTTCTGGTCGAATATCTAAAAGCTGAAGACGAAGAAGAATCCGGAGGGCTTTTATATTTTTGATTGGAATGGTATGATTCATACAGCCTTCTTGGTTTTGAAGATGGAGAATTGATTAGATTATTACGACTTGGATAAAATGAGCTTCTTTGATGGGATGAATGATCATCTATTGGGAAATTACGATTATTATTGAATCTGTTTTTACTTGAATATCTATCAACAGATTTCATTCCCGCGGCTGTATTTGCACCTGTAGCTGGACCGCTATTACGTAGACTTGAGTACGAATTTCTCGAAGGATAATAAGTATCACCACCCCCTCTTTTACTATTATTGACACTCTTTAGTAGTGATGAACCTCTAGCACGGTCTTTCGCCGAGTAGGCCCTTGAACCAACCGAACCAGAAAGTGAGGTACGATTGGCAGCTGACAAGGGGGGTCTTGAGGATCCATATGAGCTTTTCCATTTACTTGGACCACCTGAGCCTGAAAGACTATTTGGGTTTGAAGAACCATTGGAATCAAACGGAGAATAAAAATCATATTTAAAATTAGATCCACCACTCGGTATATTTGGATTATAAGAATTTGAAGAAGGTTTAGTATTTGAGTTTAAATTGGAGGAATAAGGTTTACTCTTTCTGGAAAAGGAATCACTATAAGAATACTGGGACTTACCATTAGACCCTCCATAAGAGTTATAAGAGGTGTTTGAGCCGGAACCCGAGCCAGGACCTGAGGCTGAAAGAGATGAGGATCCAGGACCCGAAGCTGCACCTACATGGCCTGAGGAGTACCTTGAGCGAGAAGTGGAATAGTGAGAATCATTGGAAGAGCCGCTTCCTAAAGGAGTATCGTTTGCTTTTGATATAGATTTGACTGGAGGGTTATTTGGGTCTGGCTTTGTATAGTCACGTCTTGATGACGACGGATAGAAATTTTTCCGTCTTGGTTTATCAGAGTATTCGTAGTCTTTCCTTTCGGAGTACCTACTTATAGGAGGACCTCTTGAGCCAGAAGAGGACATTATCAGTTTATTAATTCAATCTTATGGGTATGGAAACTAAAATTTTGGTAAACAAACTTATAATAACATATCCTGGGCTTTAAGATGAATGGCTTGAGCCGTCTGAACTATTAATTACCAAGACACAACGAATGAAACTCAGATTTCTTCTTTTGCTTTGAAAACTTCTGATACTATCAATATGAAAAACTGTAGGAAAACACTCGACAATTTCTAACCACACCGATATATGTACAAACAAGGCGCGTTTCACTGAGTCAGTAGCTTGGAGATGGATTGATGGTGTTAGCCAAGCTTGAATACTAAGAATATCTGTCAATGTTAAAGGTTTTTATTATATTTAAAATTTTTTCTATTCTTCTTTTACAAAAAAAAATGGGTTTTTGAGTGCGTTTTTTTTTTTTCCTCTGTGAAAATTTTGTGCTTGCAAAACTACCAAATAAGAATTACTTAAAGCATTAACGTGTGTGGTGAGTTATAGAGTTAACTTATGGTATGGGTTTGGTGTTGACTTGTGTTCAGAGCTTAGTGTCGACTTGTGTTGAGGTCGGAATGAGGTTGGAGAGTTACGAATGAATAGTTCTATCAAAGAATTTATTAGAGTCTATCAAAGACCATGCTATGTAAATGCTAAAGAATGCAAAGATTAATATTTATAATGAAGTAGTTTTTTCAAGACGCCTATTTCGCCAATACTTTTCTCGATATCGTCCCAAGGGACATTGGATTTGATAATTCTATTACCAAGTTCAATATTAGAGCCAGTATTACTCAAAACAATGACCGAGTTGGCCTCTAAAGTACTAATAATTTCTAGGAATTCACCTTTTTTACAAATTCCAAGGAGGTTACCAACTGCTTTTTCCATGTGTTTGAGGTAAAAATCGTAAAAAGAGTTCACGTTGAAATCTTTTCTGTTGAATGGAGAAGGAGATACTTGACGGGCTTGAAGATTCATTAAAGTAGATAAAACTGCTTTTTGGAAAAGATTTAAATTGTTTAACTTAGTCATTGAGCCAGCACCAAATGAAGAAGTGCAAATGGAAGCAATATTACTAATTGTTACTTTTGGAGCGTTATAAAAAGTTAATTCATTAAGATTGACATCATTTTTAGTTTTAATTGAATTTTCAACCATTTCAATCCCTTTATAACAAATATCAAAACTTTTACGTAAATCCCCGGTGACACTAGCAGCTTTTTTACAACAAAGTTGAATAGCAACTGGATGGATGATTGGAATAAATGAAGAATCTGCCATATTTTCTTTATCTTCTATTAATGATTTCAATTTTGAAATTATCACTTGTTTAATCTGATCAGATGTATAAGGTAAGAAAACAAGCGATTGAGGATTGAGACCGTTTGATTTAAGACGGGGTAAAAATTTATCAGTAAGATCAAGAGCATTGGAAATACCAATAAGAATCAATTTGGTTTTAAACAAATGGGATTTACGAGTAGATGCACAATTGAATAATTGAAATAAAATCTGTTGATCTTTGGTGATAAGATAATCCATTTCATCAAGTAATATAACAACAGATTTGTAAGATTGTTTATCGGTAAGTAAATGGCTAAGATCATCAAAGGTCTTACGTTTATGATAGTCCGCCGAATGGGTGTTCGTTATACCACAATATATCTCATGGAAAATGTGTTCTGGTTTAGTCATGGTCATGCAATTGATTTTTAGCACTTTGGTGTTTTTTTGGTCAAGTTTAGCAAATGATAAATTGACCTGGGCAGTTTTACCAGTTCCTGGTGGTCCCGAAATATAAAGACTGTTACAGGTGTTATTGGTTATGTTGTCACTAAGAAACTTATTGAGTTCACTGCCTTCATTCACCCGTCCAATCAAAGTGCTGTTATCCGAGTCTCCGTTATACCCCCGTTGAAATAATGCTTTTGCTTTGGAATACACATTGGTCTTGTTAAGTCTGGCCGGACTCTTGGTGGGAGTGGCTGGTGGTGTACTGAGTAAGTTGACTTTCTTAACTGGTTTCTGGTTGTCCATCTCCATCACTCTAACCTTGGATGGAGTACTAGGAGGAGTTAGCATGTTGATCGACTGTTTATTGGACCCGAGGACTGTTTTCGTCCTCTTGGGTGACACCAATTCATCGTTGTTGATTCTTTTACTTCTTCTTAATTCCATCTTGACCTGCTAATGAATCCTAGAACATATATTGACCTGCTACTACTTAGATATATATATATGAAAATTTCTCTGACGCGTATCACCAAAATCTCATCTCGTGTAGTTCTCACTGAAAAAAGAATCACTAAGACACGGAACACGTCCACTGCTGGCCAATTTAACCCAATCGGGAAACCTAATTATATCGAGCTGGAGGGTTCTATTACACTGTTGATGTCTGAATCATGATAAAGCTGGTGTGGGTTGGTCTATGGTGTGCGATGGATGCGATGGTACGCTATACGGTGCACTATACGGTATGACCTGGATGATATAAATGGTATAGATGGTATACTTGGTATACCTGGTATAGATGATATAGATGATATAGATGACATAGATGATATAGATGACATAGATGACATCTTATTGATAGGTTTAAGTAGCATGCGATGGATAAAGGACTTACTTCTTTCTTTGGTGTAATTCAGACTCCAAATCTTGAAGAATTCGGGTCAAGGCTTCATTCTTGCGGGTCACCATATACAAATCACTGGGCTTGATAGTGGTTCTATCGGCATGGTTGGCAAACAATTCCAAATCTTCTCCCAAATTAACAATTTGATTGTATACCAATTCAACCAATGCTGCAACATAAGTAGGGCTTGCGGTCACGGCATCGGACTCCGAGAGTTCGCCTGTTTGTTCCTCCACCATCTTGGCCACCATCAAGTAGATGGCCGACTTCAATTCTGCCGACGTTTCAGACATGCCTCTGTTATTCTTCAGAAAGAGAAGTTATTGCAAAGTCTTCACTTATTTGCTTATAACCAGTAAACATCATTCTACATTCTGGTGTGCGGGTGGACAGCTCCAAGGGGGGTACGGGTGGATAAATTAAACAAAGGTTTCGTTTCCCTTGGACTTTCCGTACAATACCAACTCAGTGCCAAATACACCAAGTAGTTGATCAGAGTGGTTTGAGCTTTGCAAGTGTTCCGAATTGCCTGATTAAAGTTGTCCCTGGTTCAAGGAGAAAAGGTCGGCACTAGAAAACACAATCGTTGGTTTGCTCACTGATTAAAGAGCCCCTATCTTTTTTACTCCACTATTCATCAAGCTTGATCACTAATCGAACCATGTCCAAGATAAGGAAAGGTATAAGCTATGTGTTGGGTGATGATAACACCAGTGAGAATCACATTCTCCCGATTAATGCTATTCAATTCAGTCGTCATTTTCAAAAATTGTATACTGGAGGTAGAGACGGGACGGTGAAAGAGTGGAATCCCGAAAATGGTATATTGAATCCAGTACCTCAACGACTTGATTCAGATATTCAAAGTGAAGATCAATTTGAATTCAATGATAACTATGTTTATAGTAATGATCCAAATACTGGGGAAATAGATCAAGATATTGACGAAAAAGTATTAAAACTAGAAACTTCGATTAGTTCAAATCCTCTACCTTATGATGCTCCATATCTCAAATACGAATCCCAACAAACTAACAATTACAATATCCACTTTGATTGGATTAATGATTTAAGATTGGTGAATAATGATCAGCAATTGGTTTCTTGTTCGTCGGATCTTTCGCTCAAGTTGATCGATTTAACTTCTTCTCCTTCTAGTTTGGAAAATAGTATGACTAGTTTGAATTCTGACCAAAATAATGGTGTGATTCACCGGTTCCCCAATGTCCATACTGATTACGTTAAAAAACTTTCCTATATAGAACAAGATAACCAAATTGTCAGTGGTGGTTTAGATGGACGAATTGTGATTTGGGATCTTAATCTTTTAAAGCCAATCGATGAATTTCAAAACGTTGCTAGTAATACCTCACTTCCTTCTTCAGTTTACTCTCTTTCAAATAATAATGCCAACTTGATTGGTACTGGTGGTCCAAATAATACTATCAACCTATATGATAAACGTGCTAGTCAATCTAGTAACAGTCATCTTATTCGTAAACTTATAGGTCACCAGGATAATGTTCGTTGTTTGCTTATGAATGATAATTTCATCCTAAGCGGATCCTCAGATACTACTTTGAAATTATGGGATTTACGTAATTTTAAAGTTTATAAGAATTTCGAAGTACATGATTCTGCTGTTTGGAGTCTTGCTTCTACTGAAGACTTTAAAGTTTTTTATTCTGGTGACAAATCGGGAAATATACTTAAAACTGATTTATCTTACCTTTCTACAAATGTTAATAATGACTTATTTTCAAATAATGATTTTTTCAATCTGACTGATACTTCTGCAGTTGATGAAAAATTAGGTATTTCTACTTTGATTGCTAAAAATGATTATCCAATATTATCCTTATGTATCGAATCTCAATATCAAGATAAAGTTAAGGAAACTTCTTTGTTTGCCCTGACTTATTCTTCCTTGAATCGTTATCATGTACCAAACACTGATCAGCTTTCCCGTTATCAATATTTGAGATCGTATTTAGATTATTCCATCAATCATCACGATAATGATGAACTTGTGGCAACTGGATTAATCGATGGTACAACTGCAGCTGTCTCCGATACAAATGACTTGAATTCCGATTTTTATGATATCGTAAGTCATTTATCTATGGATACTAATAATTTCGACATTCAATCGTCGTTATCTGGTGGTGCAGGTGGTGCTACTGTATTCTCTCACGGTGAGGTTGATAAAGACTTGGAAAGTTCTGCCAATGATCATAATGAATATAACTCAATGTTTTTGAATATCAACGGAGGTGGACCTTCAATGGAATTTGTAAATACATTGAAAAAAGAATTATCTCAAAAGGCAAATCAAAATCCAAGAATTGATGAAACTCCAATTGAAATTTTATTGAATCCAATACCAACTCAACAAGTTGAGATAATCCCCTTCAATAAGACGCCTATTGATCAATTCGAGTTAACTCCAAAAAGTATCATTTCGAAAAAGATGTTCAATAATAAAAGATGGATGTTGGTTTTATATTTGAATGGGGATATCAAAATATGGGATATATTTATTTGCAAAGAAATAAAAACTTTTAACACATCAATCAATAATAAGCCGATGTCAAAGGATTTATTAGAGAAAAAACTTAAAGAAATGGAAATCATTTTTCAAGAGTATCAAACCACTGATACTTTAAACAATTGGTGTGAAGTTGAAATCAAGTCAGGGAAATTGTTTGTAACATTAAAAGAAACTTCATTCAATAATCTTGAAATTTACTATGACGAATTAATTTCACAGTATCCTTTCCTTGATTTCAATCATCCTGATAATATTGCAAATAAAAAGAATCAAAAAGTTAAGGTCACCCCTGACGATCGCTTCTATGCTTCAAGAATATTATTAAATTCGTTGCTTCATCTGTATGCATTATACGAATGGGAATTTGATAAACACTTGAGAGAAGAATTGAGAAACTCAAGGCCAAAATCTAAAGGGTTGCAACTTGGTGGTTTCAATAACGGGAACGACCAAGCTGGCTCAGAATCAAATTCTATAGCATCAAACAACGACGAATCTTCAGGGGTGTCATTGAAGAGAATAAGAATGTTTAGTAGAAAATCATCAAAAAACAACATCAGTCTTCAACAACAACAACAACAGCAGCAACTGCAGCAGCAACAAACTCAATCACAAACAGCAAGCCCCGCCATTTCAGCAATCAGTTCAGACATGCCTGCTAGCTTCAATTTAGATATGAGTGAAATCCTGCAACCAGATCAAACTCCACATCAGAAAACTACATACCAAGAGATTCTGGGACGCGCTAATGACGACTCGATTCTCAAATTGTTACAGTTCAATAAAAGAAGATACATGGAAAAGTACGGTGCATCTGACAAAAAAGTGGTAGACTCTCTATTCAAGATTTACTCCAATGACCCAAGCTTAAATGATTCATACAAGGATGAGGAATTTGAACCTTATAAACCATTAATTCCACAGGACCTTTTACCTTCCAACTTGCTTATCATTATCTTTGAAAACTCCTCAGAGTTAGGTAACTATCGGGATGTTTGCAGTTTCCACTATGAAGATTTAACAAAACTCAATTATAATTCGCCAAACCCTTCTACCAAAACATTGATTCACGACTTACGTAACCACTTACCCAAGTGGATTGGCCAACCTATATTATACGATCTTTTCCCTTCTAAAGAGTGTCCTAAAATTGCATTTCAATTATACGAAATTGACTATGCACATTTACCCCCTAATAAAAAGATTGGTGGTAAAACTCAGCGTAAAATAAAGAAACTCCCTGTCTTAGAAAGCTCAATCAAGCTCACATCCCATAACATGCTTAGGGTTAGTAAAATCCTAACTTACTTGACTGAAAAATTCGATACAAGAACCTCTGAAATGAAGGATCATAAAAATCCTACCGAGTGGTTGGTTTTAGAATGTAAAGGCGAAGAATTGCCCAACAGCATGACTCTACAAACCATTAAAACCAAAATATGGAAGAGCAGCTCTGATATTGAGCTTAAGTTCAGAAGAAAGTTTGATTAAAATGATTTTAAATGTATATAAATGGTATAAGTATTTAATGTAAGTGTCACGTGACTCTCTTTTGTGCAGTTCTTTTTAGAGATGAGAAAAAAAAAAAAAAAGAAAAATCGAAGCCAGCTGAAAAACTCAGAAGAATCCCATAATAATCATCAACAACACCGACACCCCGTATCCATCCCAGCATATAATAGCATTTCCATACATCGACGCGGCCACTTTTGATAAGTTTGCTTGTTTTCCCTATAAAAAATACCAATAAGATAAGATGGAAGAGACTGATAGAACTGTATCTCGTTTATGGAGATCATTTAAGACGGTTAAGGAACTAGTCAAAGATAGAGGATACTATATTACTCAAGAAGAAATTGATATGACATTGGATGAGTTCAGAAGTAAGATATGTAATGATATGGGAGAAGCACAAAGAAAACTAATGTGCTTCCAAGCCAATCCAACTGCTGAGTCATTAGAAAAATTTCCAGATATGGGATCATTATGGGTTGAATTCTGTGACGAAGCATCAGTTGGTATCAAAACCATGAGAAACTTCTGTATTCATATTAGTGAGAAGAACTTCAGTACTGGTATTTTCATTTATCAAAATAGTATTACACCAAGTGCTAATAAATTAATTCCAACCGTATCACCAGCTTCCATCGAAACTTTTCAAGAAAGTGACTTGATTGTTAACATTACTCATCATGTTTTAGTTCCTAAACACATTAGATTATCAAGAGAAGAAAAGAAGCAATTATTAGAAAGATATAGATTAAAGGAATCCCAATTACCTAGGGTTCAAAGAGAAGATCCAGTGGCTAGATATTTGGGATTGAAAAGAGGTGAAGTTGTTAAGATTATCAGAAAATCAGAAACTTCTGGTCGTTATGCTTCTTACAGAATTTGTTTATAAGTTGTTGAAAAAAAAATTAATAAAAACCAAAAACTAAAAAAAAAAAAGTATCCTTTGAAAAGCTTTATATAATTGTATAGCATTTAAAGCTTTGTAATATAGTAAATTGAATTATCTCGTGTAGTGTGTTTAATTAGGAAGAGCAGCAAGAACACTATCTCTTCCGCCAGACCACCATCTGACGAATCTCAAATCCAAACTGGAAACCGGACTTACTTCGACTCCATCTTTACCTAAAAACACCGGACCAATGGTGATGACTAAACTATCGATGATTTTATATTCACGGGCTTGGATTTTCAATAAATCATTAATGACTCTAGCACCTCCTTCAATCATTACGGATTTTATATCCAAATCTTTCAATGCTTTTAATATCAAGTTCCATTGATCAACATTAGATTTCCCCAGTAATGGTAAAACAATATAGTTACCTCCACATGCTTTTAAGCAATTCGTTTCTTCGTCACTCAAGGTAGTATTCTGATCAATGACAATGTAAGGAGCTTCGGCTTCTCCAGATTTAACAAGTTGATGCAATTGGGAATTCAAATACTTCCATTTTGCTTTAGGATCAATGATCACGGGTTTGATCGTGGACGCTTTACTCTGAAAAGAGAAGGCCTTCTTGTAACGACAGTTCAACTTTGGATCATCGGCCAATACCGTACCAACCCCAACCAATATAGCATCATGCTTTGATCTTAAGTAATGGGTCATTGTTTTAGTTTCTTGATGAGAAATGGCCGTCCGCTCACCGGGTTGAGCAGCAATACGAGAATCTAACGATTGTGCATAGGTCAAGGTAACGAATGGACGGTCAACATTCTTCTGAAGGTTCTGAGGAAGATAATTAGTAAGATGAGTTTCTAATAAACCATCTATTAATGTAGCCATCGTTGCTGAAGAAGAAGCAGAGTCTAGTGAAAAATCTGATTCGCATTTAAGTTGATTTTCTAATTTAGTCACTTACAAAGAACAATAGTCGTTAATTCGTTAATTACTTATACTACTTTTTAAGTTTGAGCTTAGTAGGACGAGAGGGTTTTGCCGGGGGGTGCGGTCTTTTGACTGGGAGATCCAATTGGAAAGTGGACCCATCAGCACTGGGCTCATCCACACTGGGCACCTCGAGATTCAATCTTCGTCTAACCAAGGCATCTTTTTCGTCTTCTTCCAGCTTAAGCGTCGATCGATCTCGCTGGTAGCGTTGGTACTCTCGCTGCATCCACTCTAAATATTCTGCTTCAGGGTTCACGTCGTCCGTGTCCTGTATTCCGTCGAATTGGTCCTCCTTGACTTCCTTTTCGTCCGCCTGCAACGAATGCTCTGCCTTGGATAAGGTGATTCTCTTCAACCTGTCGGTGTCCTCCTGGGGGGATTGGCCGGGTTGTCTCTTGGATTTGGAGAGAAACACCGGCTTCACCATTGGTCTGTCACTGTCACTGTCACTGTCACTGTCACTGTCACTATCACTATCACTGTCACTTTCACTGTCACTTTCACTTTCGCTGCTGCCAGATCTTCCAGATCCACTGGGGTCCTGTTCCCCACCATCCACCAGGCTATGTTTGACTGGTCCTCGCGTTACTTGTGCCATGGTACTAAATCATATGCTCTTCTGTTCTGTTCTCATATACTGTTTAGCCGAATGCTTCTTCAGCTATCCTGTTCAACAACTATCCAATACACCAAAGAGCTACCCACAGCTTATGAACCGGTCAACTCAACGTGAAAAGCTCGAAAGTAGAACACTAATTCAAGCAGTTTCGGTTATTCAGCTGTTCTTTTCCTGTTCTGTCTTTGCTCTTCTTTCGTGTGCGATGGCCTATAACGTTTTGTGTCGGCCACCATACTTGAAAAAAAAACGAAAAACTTTGGCAGAATATAAACAACTTGATACTCTTTATATATAACCGTGTATTCGCTCTATTGGATCAGTGTTGGTTGAAGTTTGGTTTGAAAACCGAGTTTTATTTTTTTTTTATTTAGACTTTTGATTTTTCATTTAGATTTTTTAAACGTTTCCGGTTGATCTAGGGATTTATCTTATAATGACATTCGCTATACCTAGTTTTGATACTCCATTTGGTATCCCGTTGTGGCCCTTATTTGATGAATATGTTGGTAAGTTGAGTCAAGGAGCTTTTATTCCATCCAAGTTTGAGTTTATTGCTGGAGAATTACCGTTATCAACGTTTCCAGTGGCTGCCGGTACCATTGCTACATATTATGTTGTGATCTTTGGTGGTGATTACTTGTTTAAGAAGTTCAAATGGACTCCACTTGTTTTGAATGGATTATTCCAAGTCCATAACTTATTTTTAACTACTTTGTCGTTCACCTTGTTAACTTTGATGGCCGAACAATTAATTCCAATTATTTATCATCACGGTATCTTCTATGCTATTTGTAACCCAAATGCTTGGACTCAAGAATTAGTTTGCTTATACTATTTGAATTACTTGACTAAATTTTGTGAATTCATCGATACCGTTTTTTTGGTTGTTAAACAGAAAAAATTAACTTTTCTTCATACTTACCACCATGGGGCCACTGCCTTGTTATGTTATACTCAGTTGATTGGTTTGACTCCAATCTCCTGGGTTCCAATCACTCTTAACTTGGGGGTTCATGTGGTTATGTATTGGTACTACTTTTTGGCTGCTAGAGGTATTAGAGTCTGGTGGAAAGAATGGGTTACCCGTTTCCAAATTATTCAATTCATCTTAGATTTAGGCTTTGTCTACTTTGCTACTTACCAAAAAATCGTTTATACTTACTTTTCTGACTACCTTAATGTCTTACCAGTTTGTGGTGATTGTGCCGGTACTATGTTGGCTGCTTATTCCGGTTGCGCAATTCTTTCTTCTTATTTGGTATTATTCATTGCCTTTTATATTGACGTCTACAAAAAGAAAACTTCTAAGAAATCAAGAAAAGTTAGAGCCGCTTCTACTGGAGGAGTTGCTTCTCGTCTTAACGAATACGTTTATGTTTCTGGGAGAAATGACTCTCCAACTCCAGTTCCTGAATCTCAAGTTCGTGCTAGAAAAACATAATTGTCAAATTTACTTATTCGGACTTATTTATTCCATAAATGTATTCTATGATCTCTCTTACTTTCTTTCTAATCACTAATTTTTCATGATTTCTTACTCGTGTTTCTTTTCTCTAATGTAATTACATAAATTTATATATATCTATAAATGCTTCTTTACATCTTCAATGGTAGGAATACTTTCGGCTGCACCTTTCTTTTGAATAACAATACTACTTGCTATAGTGGCAAACTTGATCGCTGTTGGTAACGATTCACCAGCTGCTAATTGCAGAACAACCCCTCCGAAAAAAGTATCACCAGCTCCAGTAGTATCAATAACTTTATCTACTTTGACGGATGGGGCAAAGGTTGGTTCAATTTCTTTACTGGTATAGATTGATCCTGCTGAACCCATGGTGATCACCACAGTGCTAACATTTTTTGGATTGATAAGCTGTTGCAATTTGCCGGCTAATTGACTGAACCCTTTGACTTTATCGTTTTCAATAGTGGTTTTAAACTCATCGCTCTCTTTTGATGATAACAAATTGGCAGCAACGTCAAGTGCTTCACCTTCATTGACAATCAATAAATCAATCTGAGCCCAGGTTTTCTCGGTAATCAATTCAGGCTTATATGGCGATGGATTATAGGATATATTGATCTTTGGATGATTGGCATGAATCCAATTGATAGATTCAATCGTATGGGGGTATTCATTTTGTAAGATAACGTACTGATCCCCGTCAACTTGTGAAAAATACGTTTGATACTCTTGTTGAGTGGGTTTCAAGTCACCATTGGCACCAGCAGTAATCAATATACGGTTTTCACCACTTTCTTCTTCAACTAAAATAACTGCTACCCCCGATGACTGATTCTTAATGGTCTTAATATACTCGGTGTCAACCTTGGCATCAACCAATGCTTGCTTCAACTCTTTCCCAAATGAATCATCCCCAATATTACCAACCATACGAACCTTATGTGTTGCTCCACTGGATAATCTGGCTGCTGCTAAGGCTTCATTGAGACCTTTCCCACCAAGATGATTTTCAAAGCTATTGGCTTGGTAAGTCTCTCCTCCCGCTGGCACCTTATTGGTGAAGGTGACCAAGTCGTAATTCAACGATCCAATGACTGTAATAGTTGACATTTTCTATCTATAATGGTAAGTTAATCAAATCGTAATTCAGCAAATACTGGGGTAAGTTTTCACTTTTTTTCACGTTTTTTCAGTCTTTGCTGCGTTCATACGAAAAAAAAGATTCGAAAAAAATCTACAAAAACCTACGTCTGTTTGATTAAAATAAGCAGTTTATTTTAGTATACACTGATGTTATCTTTAGTATATGGAAACGGAACTGTTATTAGTTTTGTTTTGCCATTCTCTTCAATCTCATTTTTTCAGCGAAAGTCAATGGCTTATCACCAGCTGGTGCTGGAGAAGCTGGTGCTGGAGAAGCTGGTGCTGGAGAAGCTGGTGCTGGAGAACCACTAGCACTTGGAGTTGGACGAGCAGAACCACGAGAAGCATTTCTTCTGGCGATTTCTTCTTCCATTTCTTGTCTTTGTTTGGCAAGTTTAGCATCTTTTTCTCTTTGAACTCTCATTTCTTCTCTGAATTTAGCCATTTCTTCTTCTTTAGCAGCTTTAGCAGCTTCTTCTTCGGCAATTCTTTCTTGTTCTTCCTTTTCAGCTAATAATTGTTCTCTACGGTGTCTCTTGTAATCTTCAATACGTTCTTGTTTGGCTTGGGCTAAGTCTGCAGCAGCTTTCTTCTTTAATTCATTAATCTTAGACATATTCTTTTCATTGATACGACCAGTGAATTGATTGTAATCTGGAATGACACGGGCCAAACGGTCTCTTAAAGTAATGGCTTTAGCATGATCTTTCTTAGCTTTTTCAATTTTAGCTTGCTTATATTCTTCATATTTCTTAATATAATTTTCTTTTTGGACTTGAGCATCTTTTTCCAATAATTGTAATTCATAACGTCTATAAGCTCTTTCAGCGTGATCAGTTTTCTTAGCAAAAGCTTTGCATTTTTCTTCCAAATCTTTCTTATCTTTATTTAATTGTTCGATTTGCATCATTTGTAATTTTTCGGTATCTAAATCTTTTAAGTTGTCTAAATCAATCTTAATAATACCTTTAGCATTAATTTCTTCAGCAATCTTTCTTTTATCATTTTCTAAAACCATACGTTTTTCATTTTCAAGCTTTTCTAATCTCTTTCTTTCTTGTTCAGCAACTAACCTTTCTTGTTCAGCTTTTTGTTCAGCAACCATTCTTTCTTGTTTCAATCTAGCGGCTTCTTCTTCTTGTTCACGTTTCAATTTTTCAGCGATACGTCTACGTTCTTCCATAACTTTAACACGAGCAGCAATTTCTTCTTGTTCAGTAATTAATTCATGGAAAGCATTTTGTAAAGCAAGTTCACGTCTATATTTAGCACGGGCTTCGTATTGAGGGTCAATAACTTTAGCAGTGGAAGATAAAGTGAAAGCCAACTTAGTTAATTGACTTCTAACTAATTCAGAAGGAGAAGTTTGTAATTTAGAAGGTAATTTATCGTTGAAAGAATCTTCAAATGGATTAGATTTGAAGGTAACAACACCAGCTTCATGATCAATAATTAAAGATAAATGACCATCTTTAACAGCATTAACAATTAAATCTTCAATTTCTAATGGATTTAAAGTAAATTGTGTACCTTCTAAAACACCTAAAGAAACCAAGAAATCTAATTTAACTGATTCATAAATTTGAGAAATCAGTTGGAACAATCTAATTAAAATAACTCTGGTTAAAGTAGGAATATATTGTTTATAATCTTTATCACTTTCAATAGCTTTAAAAACTTGAGATACTTTATTTTTAACAGTTAATGGATGGAATTCATTTTCTTTTAAAGTATCATATAATTTTTTAACAGAAGGATCAACAAAACTTAAAATGTTTCTATTGGTAAGAGCTTTAATTAAACTTTCTCTAGTTGGAACTTGACTCAAATTCAATAAAGAAGATAATTTAGCATTTTTAGCTTTATGTTCATCGACAATAGTTTCATTGGTAGTCAAAGATTTAGTTGGAATGGCTAAAGTAGATAAAACAAGGATGGAAGCATAATGACTTAATTCTTCATCGGTAGCATTTGGAGATTGGGAATATAAGTTAAAGAACTTGTTCCAAGCAGCAGCATGGAATAAAGCATTATCAGAAACAGCGAAGATTCTGGCCAAGTTTTCATAATAATTAGCCATCATGACTGGTTTTGGAGATTTCTTGGATGCAGTGATTAAAGTGTGAACGTCATCAACCGAACGGAAAGATTCTTGCCATAATTCTAATTTAACAGAAATATTTAATTGGAAGAAACGTTGATCCAAGTAACGTTGAACAGTTTCAGCATCAGATAAATCAATAGCATTGTTATTAGTACCAAATTTAGGAGCTTGAGTAGTAACCGATTGCATGTGAGCTCTTAATAATTCACATAATCTTCTAAATTCAGCTTTTCTATTAAATTTTAAACAAAATTGGAAAGCTTGAGTAACAATAGCAGAATAAGTGACTTCTAATTTAGAGTTGTTTCTCAAGATATCCAAAGTAGCTCTTAAAGCTTCCCATAAAAATCTTAACCAAGGAGTAACTAATTCACGTTCAGTACGATCAGCAGAATCAGTATTAGAAACAGCAGATAATAAAATACTTTCAGGAGTTTGAGCAACATCTAAATCATCTTCTTCGTTTTGATCAATTTCAATTTCAGCCTTAGCTTGAGCAGCATCTAATTTTTTTTCAGCTAATTGAACAAATTTACGAACAATAACTTCAACTGATTCTAACCCATTTTCTGATAATTGAACATTCTTTTTATATTGGTGTAAAGCATCCTTGGCAATCTTCCCTTTTCTTAAATCAACAGCTAATTCAACAAGTAAAAGAGCAATAGGCTCTAAGTCATTAACTTGTAAATAACGAATTCTTTTAGAAGTAATCAACTCATACAAAGTTTCTAAAGCTGCTTCATTTTGGCCAACAGCGATTAAATCTTCGGCACGCTTTAAAACGTTTTCCGGACGGAAGTTTTGGTTCTTGTGTGGTGGTGCCATCGTGTCTTATTCTAACAAGAGCCAGTTCTGTCTTTGAAGTCTGGTTATCTTCTCTTGATATGATCTTGAAAATCTTTCATGGGTTGATATCGAAGACAGAAAAATTTTCGTTTGGTCGTGCGACAACTGAAAAATCGATACCTTACAAAAAAAAATAGTAGGGATTTTTGCAGTACAAAAGACCTGCTGAATTACTGGACTACTAGAAGTATAAGGACTGGTGAATGTAGATTAGTATACAAGAGATGGGAGGAAGGAAGTCATAAAGTGGAAAGGGTAAAAGGTGAAGGTGAAAGTAAAAGGTGAATGTGAAAACGAAGTAAAGACATGATTAGAAAGGTGGGAACTTTTCCTCCATTTGAGGAATGGACTTGGCCAAACTGTCTTTGTCTATGAGGATTAAACTCAACTGAGGATCAATACCGTATTCGGTGAAGACTCTTCTTGAATCAGTATCTTGCTTGACATTGTAGTCGAAACTTTGGTGGAATTTGGCGTTTTCTTCCAAAACTATATCCTCATAATGGAAATAATCACTTTGTTCAACGACAGCATCATTTGCGGCTTTTGATTTCTTTGATCTTTGATCATTTTCGCTTTGGAAATTTGCAGTAACTATTTTATAGATTTTGGATGGGATTAAGAACCAGTCAAATTCGTATTTTTCATGGGCGTCTTCAGCTTTAGCCATTTCTTCTAATAACATTTTATACATTGGAGGAACAACTTCTACTGGCATATTGATCATACGGTCACTTATTATCAAACCAACTTTCAATTTTGAATCTTTAGCCAATAACTTTCTTAAAAACATATTGTATTCGGTGCTTCTGGATGTTTTTTGGTAAAAATAATCAATCAATTGTTTAACACATGGTTTGTCTCCATGTTCTGCCAAATTGATCACCGATAATAATGCAAACGGATCACTTTCTTTACCTTCGGTTTTGATGGTGGTACCAACAGAGTTTTTGGTCAATATCAAATCGGCTAAGCCTGAGATATCAAACTCATTGCAATCATCCCCAAGTAGTTGACGGAGAAATGTTTTGGTGGCATGGAAATCAACATCTGGATTTAAATCAAAGTAATCAAAATCAACATTAACAATTTCTTCTTGTTCTGGTTCTTGTTGTTCCATTTCATTTTCGGAGTCGGTACTACTGACATCAATGTCAGAATCAGAGTCTTGAGCCGGTCTTTTCCCCATTGCTTCAATTATAAATGGCTATTACGATTAAAAACTAGTTATTTGGGTATTAAGTCAAACTGAAAAATTCATTTTTTTTTTTTTTGCGATGACTTTTCTTCATATTTGTACGGATTTTTTATACGAAACTCGACTAGCTACTACAACCCCAGAGATACCATCTTCGTTAAACATAGGTATATGGAGATGTCTTTGTTACAGGGATACTCTTCGGAGGAGGAAGATACCTCGCGGGAAGAAAGATTTGGCCAATTGGCTCGGAACACTCTCATTGGTGCTCCAGATGTCAATATAGAAACTGGCTCAGAGATGATACCAGGTCCTACGACCATGAGTAAAACTACATTCAGTGGCAGATTGCTGGGGAATCTCACTACCAAGGCTGACTTTGAATTCCAACGACGCTTGGATTTGAAAAGAAAAGCCCAACTCACCAAAAATAAGAAGAAAAGAAAGAAGCAGAAGGTTTCGGAGGATTTTGATTATGCTGATCCATGGCAATCACTGGCGTCCGAAAGTGTATCAAGATCTGAAAGCGAACAAGATGTGGAAGATGTGGAGCAAGAGGAAGACGATGCTGCGGAAGAAACAGAAGATCACGATTACGTTCTTGATACTCCTAAGGTGACTACTGAATTTTTAGGGAGTTCGAAGCAGGATTATTTGGGAAGAAGCTATTTACATATACCGAGAGATCTTGATGTCAACTTATTGAAAGAACCGGGGTCACAAGAGTGTTTTGTACCGAAAAGAGTGATTCACACATTCAAAGGCCATTCAAAGGGAATAACCAAACTTGAATTTTTTCCAAAGTCAGGTCACTTACTATTATCTGCAAGTAATGATGGTAAAATATATCTATGGGACATGTACCATAAACGAGAATTACTAAGAGGTTATTATGGACACAGCCATGCTGTTAAGGATATCACATTTAATAATGACGGAAGTCGATTTTTAAGTTGTGGGTTTGATAAAAAGGTTATTTTATGGGATACAGAAACTGGGAACATATTAGAAACAATCCAGCTTCGATCAATCCCAAATGTAATAAAATTCAATCCTTTAAAGAACAATGAATTTATTGTTGGTTTAACGAATCATAAGATTGAACACTACGACCTAGAATCAACCTCACAAGCTCCCACCCAAACCTATGATCATCATCTAGGTGCAATAAATTCGTTGACGATCATCGACGAAGGGAACAGGTTTATGTCCACATCAGACGACAAAACAGTTAGATTTTGGGATTGGCAAATTAATATACCAATCAAGTTTATCTCGGATCCTTCCCAGCACTCAATGCCATTTGCAGCCATTTATCCAAATCAAAAATATATCGCATTACAAAGTATGGATAATTCAATTAGTGTAATTCAAGGCTATGGGAAATATAAATTTAACAAGAAAAAGCATTTCCTAGGTCATAACGTTGCTGGTTTCGGTATCGGTATTGACTTCTCTCCGGACGGTAAGATTCTCATGAGTGGTGATTCAAAAGGTTCTGCCTTTTTTTGGGACTGGAAAACTTGTAAGATCATCAATAAGATCAAAATCAGTGATAAATGCATTAATTGTATCAAGGCCCATCCCCAAGAGTCAAGTAAGGTTGTAATGGGCGGTATAAGAGGTGAAATTTACTACTGTGATTAATCAAAACCATGAAAAAATCAATAAAAAAAAAAAAATTCATAGTGTATCAAACTCTATATATACTATTTAAAGTATTAAAAACATTGAAGAATGGTTCATAGTTTTAATAAATAATGAAATGAATGGATATTTAATGACTGGCAATAAACGTTTTTTACATGATGGCACATTTTTCCTTTTTGTATTCGTCTCTTTTACGATTCGTCTTTTTATGTTTTTTAGAATCAGATTCATGTTCATGAGAAAATATTCTGTGAACATGACTCTTTTTAACCTGATCACCACTTGATGATTCAAGATGAATCGGTGAAACTTTTTGATCGAGACTTGCTTCTGAATTGTTGGCATTTGGACTGTTTATATAAGGAGAACCAATGTTACTTGTTGATCTAGTTGCTTTCGACTTTAAGGATATTTTCCATTTACTAGTATTTGAGCCGGAGTCGGGATTATTTTGTTGGATATTCGATAATTTTTCATTTAATTCATTTAAATCAGGTCTAGGGTTAGTGTTGGTAATACTATTGGGATTATTGTCCGTGTTTGCATTTGAAGAACTAGCTGTATCACTCCATTGACTATTTCTTCTAACCCTGGTACTTATACCAACATTCAGATTAATTGAAAAATCACGATGAGACGATGCTTTAGTTGTAGGAGTTGGATTTGGTAACTCTTTGAAATAGTTCTTGTTTTGATCAGTAACATACCAGAAATACTTATCTCTAATATCAACGAATTTGGAGTCAGTTGGGGGAATATCTGGAATGGGGATGCTTGAACTATCACTTGTGAGTGAGTTTATTTTATTCAACGAAGATATTTCTTCGGACCTTATACTGGCAACATTTGACGTGCTTGCAACATTTGAATTCGATATAGACATTATTGGGGTTAAGGTTTCATCGTTATTTTCCTCAGACCAGTATTTAGTTTTGAATCCCTTTGGAGGTATTATTGGATTTGAATTTATTGAAGCATTAGAAGAACCTCCTGCGTTATAATTCTTCAAAAGTAAGCTTGAAGTTGAAGAATTAAACTTATTATTAGATTCATCAATTGAAACAAGACGATAAAATAGCATATAAGGCCATTCTGTGGAGAAAATGTCTTTGAAAGACTTTTCAACAACTCTTGATTTTTTCTTCATATCATCGTATAAATACCAAGTAGCATTACTAGCTTCATCATCCAGCTGATTTATATTGTGGGTATTTTTTCTAATTGCAGATACAAAATGACCGGAAGAAATAGAAGTACCACGATGACATAAGGCACTTTCTAAGATAAGTTTATATTCACCCGATATTTCATCATTTATATCATCAGCAACGAATTGGGGTAGATTAATAATCGGTGGTATTATAATTCTCTTTTGGGATCTATTTGCTTGAGAATTTTGTGGATTAAAAGAGTAGCGTTTTAAGCATATTGGTAAAATAGGTTTTCTTTTAGCAAATTCGGTAGAAGATTTTGCCACGCTTTCATTGAGTTGGTTTAAATCATTATCGTCTGTGTAGAAAGGTAGAAGTCTTAAAAACATCCATGCCGGTAAACTGACTTCTTTTGAAGTTTGATCACTATCGGGATTATTTGTTGACCATAAAGACAAAGTAGAGGATCTAGTTCTAGTTTGGAATCTGGTCTGGTTTTTACTATCACTTCTATGTCTTTGAGGTGATTCACTCACTTCTATGTGGTCATGAGTTGGTTCAAATTTATTTGATTCGACAACTTCTGGTATATCATTGATAGTGACATCGCCCAAATTAGCAGTTAAATCACTTAACCTTTTGTTTGATTCAAAAGTTGCTCGTCTTTCTAGTTCTCTTTTAACACTGATGGAATTATTGAAATAATGTTCAAGGCATTCTTCTAGAAGGATACCGTCTTCTTCTTCTTCTTCTTCTTCTGTTTCTTCATGGTTAACGTCGTCGGGTTGTCTTTTTTGCACGGGGTCTTCAACGTGTTTATTTTCACTCTTGTCGACCGGAATTTTGGAATCATCAATATCATCTTCAGGTATACTAACAAATAAGATTCTTTCCTTTGAATATTTCCGATCATCTTTATCGGATTTCCCCCCATGCTTAATATCGATCTTAAACGTTAATAATGGCATTAATAAAGTTTCTGTTAAGAATTCAAATAATGTAGCTGAGTCTTGTTGTTTATGGCTCATTGCTTCATCAAATCCCAATTTTTTCAAAGTTTCACATATTCGAATGGTTAAATCCGTTGTTATTAAGTTCCCTGATCTTAACAAGTTAACATATAATCTTAATAAAGCACCCAATTGATTATTTAAATAATTATCATGTTGATTTGAGATAAATAGCATTGGTTCAAAACTTTCTAAATTGGCAAACATTGAAAATAACAAAGCATCCAAATAACACATAACATTCTCCCAATTCTCTGCCCCTACATAGTTAATAACTCCACCAAACTTATCGGCACCCTCATTAGTTATAAACAATCCATCACTACTTAATTGATAAAATCGTATTAGATGAAATGTCTTAGTGATATCTCCCTGAGTGAATGGAGATTTTAGTAACGCAACTACCTGGTTACTAGACGGTATAGGGTTCAATTTCAAAGTCTCGAAATACTTGATAATCGTGGTTACTGCTGTAGAATTAGAGGTAATCTTTTTAGTAGTTGGTTTTAAAAGACCTTCAATTTCTCTATAATTATTGGGCCTGGAGTACGAATCCGCATACCAATGCCAAAATGGTTCGTCAAATGGAGGCTTGACATTCCCGGACCCTTGCAGACCCTTTGTTCTTCGTTTAAACATGGCTTGCCAACCAGGAAAGTAGTACCAAAGGTGGATTCCTTGATTAAAACGGCAAGGAAAATTTTTACGGGAAAAACTTCCAAAAAAAGGCCCATAACTCAAATCTCACTCTTGTAAAGAAGGTTTGAATCACTTGATGATTTTGCATCAATATAAGCTTTACGTAGTAGGATAAATCGGATAAACTACAGTGGAGTCATAAGGGAAAGGTAGCAATCGTAAGAAGTCATAAAGGTTAAACACTGGTAATATTTAATTCTCTCATTTTATCCAAGACATTATCAAGTTTTTCATCAAGATTCCCATTAATATAATCTTTTCTTGTATTTGAATCTAATTTTGATTGAATCTGATTTAAGAATTGATAATTTTCATTGAAGAATCTTAATTGGATCTTGACAAAAGATTCGAAAGAAGGATCAATGTAAGGAATTCTCAAATTGATCAATTTTGGTAATTCTTGTTTTAATTTACTATTTAAATCATTATAAGTGGATTCTATTGAATCTAATTGATTCTGATAATCAGTTAATTTCAATTCGTGTTCATTAGTAGGTTTTTCAATTGTTTTTTTCAATTTATTCTTCATTGCATCGTAATCTAATTTTTTATGGTTTCTTTTCTTTATAGCTTCATTGATCTCAATATAATATGAATTAAATCGGCAAATTGGATTAATGACAGTTTGATAATAAGGATCTTCCAATTCCTGAATAGATTTTAAGTTAAATTCTTTTAAACTCTGATTATATAATTGAGCAAGATTTTCTATTTCTTCATTTGAATTCCCATAAAATGAATTCAAAACTTCTCCGATATTAGCTTGGGAATTACTCAATATCTTTAAACTATCTAAATAGTGTTTAACTTGTTTTTGTAATAATTTCAGATTTGTCTCCATATTTCTAAATCGTTTTTCTTCATAATCATATTCTAAATCAACCGTTTCTTCAATGGCCCCTGTTTTCAACATCACCTGGGTCCCTGCCCGGTTAATAGCCTTTTTAATCCCTGTCCAACTCATAATGGGTGTTACCGGATCGAATAGAGTGTTCAAATGAGAATTAGTAAGGTTTTATACAATTTGTGGATGTTTTAAAATTGTTTGATGCGAGTTTTCAAATAAACTGTATACACTCGTGTAAGACAAAAGGTATATTGATTATTCAGCAGCTAATTGGGGATTTTATGTAGAATAGGCTGAATCGGTCCGTTGCAAATTTACTAAGTGAGCGACATGGATTATTATTTGAGTAAATAGGCTTTAGTTGAGGTGAATACTCGTTGATTGAACAAAACGATAAGTATGAAAAACGAAGAAAGGCCAGAAAGTGAAGTCTGTGAGTAAAGTCTGTCAAGTAAGATGCCTAGAAGGTCTGTCTATAAGATGCTTAGAAGGCAAGTCTATACGTATGTAAGAATTCTAAAGTATGAAGTATGGAGTGTGGAAAGTACGAACTTTAGTATGGAGTCTATCAGTCTATAAGTAGAACTTCTAGAAAGCTTAAAGTCTGTAAGTGAAGTCTGTAAGTAAAGTCTATAAGAAGTCTAGAAAGTAAACCTATAGGGCCATGAGTAAAAAGTAGGTAAGAAATCTAGAAAGCCTGTAAATGATGCCTATAACTAATGTCTATAAGTAATAAGCCTAGAAATATAAAGCTTATAAGCAAGGGCTAGAAAGTAGGCCAAAAGCAATAAGTCTTTAAAGTCTATAACTTATAATGAGTCCATAAGCTCATAAGTCCATAAGTCTATAAGCTCATAAGCCCATAAGTCTATATGTCCATAAGTTCATAAGTCTATGTGTCTATAAGTCTATAAGTCTCTAAGTAAGGATAATGTAGCAGTAAGATACAAGAATGTAATGTAAACGAAGAAGGGAGTATTTCCATGGGTTAGGCTGAGTGATTGGGGTGGAGATGACAAAGATATTGCAGAGGTGTAGAAAGGTAAGCAAAGCTAATAAAGCATGTTTCTAGCTTAATCATCACGATACAGATGAAGGCAGAAGAGTATTTTCAAATAAACCAATTGGGTATACACCAAATGAAAAATTAAGATAACATTTATTATATCTACAATATCGATACATAATCATTCAGCTGGAGAATGCATTATTTGAGTAACGAATTTCCCAGAGTATCTTGTAATACAAGCCACGGTTAAAACCTCATTTCTAATGGAGGTAGTCATTAAATGATTTAAGATGACATGATTTGGAATACTTAAATGATAAGCTTCTTTGTTTGAGTTGTAATAGGAGCTATCAGCCCTTCTTAAAGCAGGTCTTTTATCTGATTTTTGAGAAGGTAATTGAACTTGAGATTGAGATTGATTATTTGAAAGTTTATTTAATAAAACGTTATTTAAATGAGCTGGTAATTGAGGAGGTTCAGGTAATTCATAATCGGGACCCTTTAGTTTGAAATAATCATAATTTACAAACATTTCAGGAATATCACTTGAATAACAAGGTAAATTTTGAGGAATTGAATCTAAAAAAGAATTTGAATAGTTATCATTATAAGAAATATATTCATCATCAATTGGATGTTCAATATGTTCGAAATCAGGAGTTTCTTTGGTTACTTTAGCCAATAAATCATTTGATTTTTGATGAATATAATCAACATTTGACTTGCCAGCAATTTGGATAATATTGGCATCATAATCACTTGATGCATTTATATGATTTGGTTGATTTGCAGAATGATTAAATAAATGATTTGAATCTAATACTTCAAACCAATTGAAAAAAATACCTTCTTGATCAGTTGCCGTTGGTAATTGTTCACTAACCCGATATTCACTATTTATAATGTATAATAATTTATGAACTCCCAAAGGTAATTTAATTGTAGTCAAATATTCATTCGAATGAAGATTTGATGGTTTCAATCTCACAACACTTCTCCAATTCGAAAATGATCCAATTATACTAATCTTATGAATCTCTTCCTTGGTTGTATTAACCCATTTAATCTCAACCGGAATCGTTTTATTAGATCCAACTTTACTAACGTAATCAATCTGATGTTCTTCATGATATAACTCTTCATCGGTATTTGAATACAAATTAGGTTGCGGAGCCACAATCTTGGTGAAATCAACCTTGGTCAAATCCGGAGTGGGTGTATTTCGATCAATTTCCATATCTTCTACTCCTCCTCCAACTTCTGCTTGCTCCTCTTCCTCATCCTTTTTAGTTATAATATCTTCACTTAATTCCGTGGCATCAGTTTCAATTAATCCATCATTCAACTCATTATATTCATCTTCAATCAAATCATTAGTAAATTGATCATAAGTAATACTCTGGGATCGATTTCGTGATCCAACTGGTATTAATTTTTGTTGCTGTTTTACCTGATGTAATATCAGATTATTAAATTCATCTTCAAGATTCGAATCCTTTCGAGTACCCTGGCTCGAGCTTCGAATATGTGCCGTTGACTTTCTGGTCGCCTGTGAAGGTGTTGATGGTGAATTCCCCATGTTTGATGAAGAAGAAGTATTAGAGATTTATTAAAGTACTCTCCCTCCCAAAAATAAGGATGGGTCCACCAACTGTATGCACTACTCATTACAGATATATCTAGATATAGACAGATATAGATAGATATAGATAGATACAAACGTATAGACTCTATCTACGTATAGAGATGTCTACTGGCCATGTCTCCTGCCCATGACTCCTGGAGTCTACGTGCATGGATATATGTCCATGTCCATGGACCGGGGAGTGGTACTAATTACGTCAAGGTTCCCCATAAAATGTTCATTGCGCAAACTTAAATATGGAGAAGTCTCAGTCAACGTCAAGACGTATAGATATATACGACTATATATGGAGATGCAGATTTAGAGACAGATGTGTATATGGCTGTATAGTCGATGTAGAGTGGATGTATAGTGGATGGGTCGATAGGGGATGTTTATGGGAAAGCTAGATACTTGCTTGGATTGTACTAAGTGCTGGGAAGTAGCAGTGCCGTATGATTCAAACAACGTAGTGAAACGATGTGTCTGTCTACTTGGCAGTCTGTAGATACTCTTTGCTGTCTATACGTACTGTGTACCACCTATACTAAGCAGTATGCTTGTCTACGGTCTATCCTTGTCTATACCTGTCTACTGTCTATACCTGTCTACTGTCTATACCTGTCTACTGTCTATACCTGTCTACTGTCTATACTTGTGCCTATACGGTCAACTGTCTATACTGCTTTCATAATTACTGTTTATAGCTACTGTCCACGTATAGTGCCATAAACAGTAATAAACTATATTACGATAGTTATACGCAGAAGGTACATATATACAGTGATGGTACTAAGTATAAGCAAGACTACACTGAGACAACAGTAGCTTGTAGTCTGTAGTCACTAGTACTGTAATTTGTAGTTGTGCTTATCCAACTTTCGTTTATCGTAGATAAGACTGTATTAACTCTTGAAACATGAATGTTAGGCTATTGGTACGTTTGGTTGTATCTTCAATGTTGCAAACCGTGCAGATGTTGAAGTTACTGCAAAAAATTGAATATTTCTACAAAATTGCTGAATGAGAATATTACATCCTAGTCATTTCTTGCTAAGACAGAACTCAACTCGGGTAGTACGAGAGAGCCAATACAAATGGGTATAGATGCAAATGGGTGGGTATAGATGCTAATGGATATTTAGTAATGGTAGCTATTTGTATGTGATGTACGGATGTTTTGTTTTGAGGTCAGAATTGAAAAACAGCGGCTAACCACTTACTAACTCTTCTCTTACCAATCAAATAAACCGATAAAATGTCCTTGGATGATAAGAATCCAGCGTATTTCAACTTCTTTGATACTTCCAAACCAAGGGAGGAACGGGACTTCAAAGAAATCTATCCAGATTTAGATGAAGAACAGCCGCTCAAAGTGTTTGTACTCGAGGAATCAGAAACATCAAATGATGAACAAATTGGGCATAAAAGGATAATAAGTGATTTGAAACAACCAGTGTTTACTAAGAAGACGAGACTCTCCTTGAATGAAATGGGCATCAAGTTTCCTAAGATCTTACATGAATATGGATTCAAAGAACCAGGAAAATACTCAAATTCAAATGATTTGAGTTATAAAAAACCATTTAAACTCAATAATAATGAAACAATACAATCAATTATCGAAAAAAAGGAAAAATTGGTGGAATACGATATGGATGAACAAGATTTAATCTATTTACAAAATCGAAATAATAACGAAAATAATATCATCAAACTTAAACCAGAAATATTCGAAATTATGATAACAATATTAGAAAATGAATGGTTGAAATTAGAATTACAATTATCAAATTTAAATTTAAATTCAAACTTAAGCTCAAATAATTTACTTACTCTTGATGATGATAATAATAACGATAAATATGGTAATGATGATGGTATAATTCAAGGTTACTATGCTTCGGATCAAAAATGTGCAGTTTGTAATGATAGTGATTGTGATTCAAATAATGCTATAGTTTTCTGTGATGGTTGTGACATAGCGGTTCATCAAGAATGTTATGGTATTGCTTTCATTCCTGAAGGTGAATGGTTATGCAGAAAATGTATGATTAATACTAATCATAAATCAATTGAATGCTGTTTTTGCCCAAGTAAAACTGGGGCTTTCAAGCAATTGGACAATAGTTTATGGGGTCATGTTATTTGTGCTTTATGGATAAATGAATTATATTTTGCAAATCCAATTTATATGGAACCAATTGAAGGAATTGATTTTATTCCCAAAAATCGTTGGAAATTGATTTGTTATATATGCAAACAAAAAATTGGTGCTTGTATTCAATGTTCAAATAAAAATTGTTTCCAAGCTTATCATGTTAGTTGTGCTAAAAGAAGTGGGTTCTATATGAATATGACAAAAGGTATTCAAGGTGCTCTAACTAATAAAACTTCTTTAAAGTCTTATTGTGATAAACATTCACCTCCATTTCATGATTCAAAATTAGTCATTGAAGGTATTAATAAAACAAGACATTTCTTTAGAGATTTAAAAATTTTAAATGATGAAAATGATAAATTAACTAAAAATCAAAAATTTTTAAATAAGTTGAATAATTTTAAATGGAAAACTGAAAATAATACTCCAATTCCTCCTAAAAAATTTAGTGATATCTTATTTCAAAAATTAATTTCATTAAGAGTGGAAGATTCAACAAATAATAATTTTCTAATTTCAAACTTTTTCAAGTCTTCTTTACCTCAAAATAAGAAATTATTAGACTTAGGCTATAAACCTAATAGAAGTAAAGAGTCAATTTGGAATGAAATTAGAAATATTTGTAATGAAATTTGTAAATATTGGTGTTTGAAAAGAGAGTTTAGAAATGGAAGCTCTTTAATTAGAAAAAATAATAATTTAATTTCAATAAGTTCAATCTTGTATGGTGATAATAATGATTTAAATCAAATTAATGAAAAATTAAATTTTAGTGAAATCATTTTGAATGATTTAAATAAATTAATTGAATTAACAAATATGAAATTAAATCATCAATATTTAGAAAATGATATTAATAACTTAGATTTGAAAAATTTTGATACTTGTTATTTCCCATTGAAAAATTTAATTAATATAACTTTAACTTCAATTTTGAAAAAAATTGATAATCACAAATTTTTACAAAATTATAAATTTAAACTGAATAATTCAACCATAACAATTTCAGAAATTTTGAATAAGAATGAATCATACGAATATGAATCAATTGATGATTTGATGAAAGATATTGAAAGTTATCAAAATCAACTTTTGAAAGAAAATAAATCGACAACAAATATTGTAAAATTGGCTAATAAATTTTCAAAAGAAATTAATTTACAATTACCAAGTTTGAAATTAATCGAAGACAAGTTGCAAAATGAAGTGAGGCTCAAAATCCCTTATGTTAAATTAGACGGGTTGAAATTTAGTTTCACTGAAAAGAATGAAAAATCGTTACTCGATTCAATGGATTTAAGTGAAGTCGATACTGAAGATGAAACAAACGATGGGAATTTCAATAAAATAGATAACGAAAAATTATTCAAACAATTTTTGTATGGTTAATACCGTCATTCAAATTTTATTACGAATATATATATAAAAAAAAATAAAGAAATGATTGTTACTTGATTACTGCAACAAAAAAACTGAAGAGTGTTTTTTTATGCAACCAAATTGCAGCAATAAATGCAGCCAACGGTCATAAGAATAAATGCTTTAGGATTTAGAATTAAGTTTGTTCAATTGAATAGCTCCGATAATAAGAATCATTACTCGAGAAGTACGGAGATATTAATGCGTATACGGCAATATTAATTCTCAACATTCATATTCATAACCATTAATAACAGCAAGATGCTTAACAAAAGCAAGTTGGCATCGTTCACAATAAATCAAAGAAATTTTTTTGGAAAACCGTTTAGAAAGAAAATTAATTCAATGTAACCCCGGTGAAAATAATGTACGGCGTGTTTGTTAGACTCTATGCATACACCCGTTTACTATCGCAAAGAAGAAATAGCCATTCGTTCCGTTAACATTGTCCGTTCTCCGTCACAGGGTTTATTAGTGAAATTTTTAAAGATGAAACTCGAAAAGGAATTGAAGTTACAAATTTGGTAACCAAATTGTCAACTAATGAATCCGATATTCCTGAATTACCTGGTAATCTATTTACACGTTGAGCATTAAAAGTTTATATTAACTTATCTTATAACATGTCTCTGGAAATTCATTGGTTATGTGAAACAAATCTCAATCATGCGATATACTAAAATTTAACCTTATAACCTTGAATTAACCGGAGAGTTGTCTTATTAATGCTCATCGCAGGTTGTCTATGTATTTCGGGATAGTACTGCAGCTTTGGTGTTTGGATTCGGCACCCTCAAGGGGGCACGGCAGATGTCGAAAGTCTGTTCTAGTACTTTTTGACTTAGGTTCATTTTGCCGTTTTTGTTTGTGATTTTGTCCTTTCTGTTCCATTTATGTCCAATTTCCTTCCTGTTTCAGATTCGGTACCTGATTAGTGCCTGGACTAGTGCCTGGATTAGTGCCTGATTTAGTACTGTTCATCTCGTTTAGACAACTAAACGGCTTTGAAGGTGGTATCACAAGAGTATTTAACATCCCCAACTACTATTAACAGCAATCTACTTATTACAATCAAGACAATAACTAAATCAAGAGTACCCCTGAAACCTAATCAAAATAGGTATTGTTTTCAACTATTGTGCGGTGAGGATTTTTGTCTTTGTCTTTTGTCTATTTGTTTAGTTCCTTCACCAGTTTTTCACTAGTTTTGATTTGACGAGAGTACGAAAAACAAACAAACAAAGAATCCATAGCAGTGATACCTACTAGCAACGACAAAGACAAGTTCATATTAACGGTGAACATCTAACCAACGGTACAAGTTTCCTTGAAACATACTGGAAGACTCAATTCACGAAAAATTGAGTATTTTTGAAGCCACCAATTGCTTACCCAAGTCATTCATTCCCTTCTTTATTCAATAATTGACTTCACCACGTTATCAGAAAGTTCATCTAGACGATTAAGATACTCTAGCCCATTTGCTGCACCCTTTTAGTTGTTCATATTCTTGCATTTTGTAACTGGATTTATTTTTACCAATTCTAGAATTTTGATTAACATCTCCGTACATTTGATAATTGTCAAAAACTAATTTTTTACTAAAATTGAATACTATTTGTTTTCCTTTGTATTCTGTTTTCCTTTTTTCTTTTTGCTTTTTGAAATTTGTTTGGTTTCACTTTTTGCTTTACATCATAAAGTCATAGCTTGAATTCATTTGCTCTTCGGTATTGGTCAATTACAGTCATTCGTTACACTAATTTTATCTACTTGTGATTCTATTTACTTGTGTTTTATTGCTTTTGCTTTGTAAATAATCCTGGTTTTCCTTTCTTTCCACTTGTTTCTTTTGGCTTTAAAGTTGTTCTATTGATCTCGATTGTTCCAAAAATATCAACTCATAATTGAAACGGTTTTATTCGGCTTTTCGGATCCTTTTTCGTATCTCGTCAATCAAGTGAAAATCATTTTAGTAAATCTATATTTCACCTTTATAAAATCCCTTACTTGAATCCCGATTGTTGTTTCTCCATAATATTCGAATTCTCGAAACTTCGTTTGTTGAGTCCCCTTTTTTCCTTTTAAACTCTCGGTTGTCAGTTTATTAATGGAATTCCCTCTCCATTAACAGAATTAAAACTGACCTCAACAATATCTGCATCTTTCAAAAAATAGTCAAGGCAAACATTTTTCTGCATGATCACCAAAAGAGTGAAGTCTGTCTTCTTTTAGTTTGTTAGTTTATTTACTGGATCTTGCTTAAACAATTATATTTTAAATATTTGTCACATTCCCAAATTATAATACCCACGTTATCAATTGATTTCATTATTTGATCTTTTGTTTCTTTATCTTATTATTCTTTATTATTTTTGTTCCCTTATATTCAAAGACTTTCTATCACTGTTTAAATCTTGATTCCTTGGTTCTGTCTACTAACCTTTTTCCTTTTCTGTCACTTTTTTTTTTTCACTTGATCTATTTAGATTATCTGCAAATAGGTCCTTAACAAAGAATATTGTTTTTACAAAGAAGCTTTTGAGGTTCCTACCATTTTTTTTTTCTTTTTCCAGGGCCTTAATTCCATTACTTCCAATCCTAGTCGTTCATTTTATTTATACCCTTCATAACCTCGAGGATTTTTTTTACCATAATTGTTGATATCTCGAAACCTGGTGCTCTTGTTTTTTTTTTGTTATTTATTTTTTTTTTTTTGTTTCCTACGCCCCCCCTGTTACTATATTGGTCTTACCTTTGATACTATCGTCTTGGTGAATCTTAATTACCTTAATTTGACATTTCTTCTTTTCCTTTATTTCAGGTATTTGTCTCTTTTTGTCGAAACTTTAAAAATTTGTTCTTTTTGTTGTTTGTCTGCCAATTTTTCAAATTTGATCTATTTATTATCTTTCATTTCGCTCTTTAACCAAGTTTCTGATCATCATATTATAATTAAATGAAAATGAATATGGCAACTCATACCCCCCATCAGACTCCGATCAAAAATTCTCGGTCATCAAATAAAAAATTACCTATGATTGTTGATATTGCAATTGATAATAATGGTAAGCAGTTGTATCAAGTCCACGAATCTTCAAAGCTAGTGAGAAAGGAGATGCCCAAATCAACTAATTTTAATAATAATAATTATGATTCTTTAACAAATACTCAAAATATTGCTGCCAGTGCTGCCAGTGCTTCTGCTTCTGCTTCTAATCCTCTTTCCAATTCAGTTGCTGCTCCCACTGGTGTAAATAACACTTTATTAGATAATGACGAAGAAAGAACTCCAATCAGAAGAATCTTGGGTACTATAAGTCCTTCCACTCTTAATCAAAAAAAATCAAACCTTTCATCAGATTCAGATCAAGAAGATTTTGTAGATCAACAAGATTCTAATCGTTCCAAAAACTTATATGAAAATGAGTATAATCAATATACTTTTATGGGTGTGAATGTTAATTCTAATTTAATTGCTGGTCCAAGTAATAGTTTTGATACTTCTGCTACTAATAGTTCAAATAATAATTTATCTCAACAAGATACTGATATTTGGTCAGAAGATGTTGAAAATGCATTTGAAGAAGTTTTAAGTATTATACCAAAAAATGGTTTAAATAAAATTAAAATAAGTGGTCGCTCATGTGGTAGAAATGAATTAATATCTGATTATATCTTAACCAAAACAGGCAAATTTAGGAGTCGTAAACAAGTTTCAAGTCATATACAAGTCATAAAAAATTTAGGTCAAAAATTAGATATTATAAAATTAATTAATGATGGTCCAATTTTCAACTCTAAAGAAGAACAGGAAATGAGTACTAAAAAATTTGAAGAAATTTTTTCAAAAATTAATTTAAATAAAAGTCTAGGGTTGAATGATTCGATTAATAATATATCTAATAATTCAACTGGTTTGAAAAGAAGATTAAATCCATCATCTAATATCAAAAGATTCAAATTTAATAAGGTTAATATTAAATTAGAAAATTTTTTTATATCGATTCAAGATTCAAACAATGCTAATCCAATAATTTTAACTCTACAAAAAAATGAAGAACCTAATTTCTTAAAGTTAAAAGAAAACGCTATTATTTCAAATAGATTTCCTGGTTTAAATGATTTTCAAAATACTTCAATTCCAATAATTCATAATATGGTCAATCTAAATTTGCCAAACCAATTACCATTAAATTATTCAATTGATAATGGTTTGAAGACAAATCTTTACATTAATCTAAATGAGTATATAAACTTAAATGAATCTATATCAATTTTTACTGGAATTTATTCTTTTGGTAATGAAGTTTTGAAAATTAATGATGATGATTTTAAACTAAATGAAAATAAACCATTTTTAATAAAATTTTGGAAATTTTTCTTCAATCAGTTATTATCAAAACCAAATTCTATGAATACTGCTTTGAAAAGTGTCACTATCAAACAAATTATTTACGAAAATACAAAAGATTTTAATAATAATACTAACAATAAGACATATGCGGTTTCTAAACTGAAAATTAAAGCTGTTTTATTGTGGGAATTTGCTAAAGTCGAAGATATCAAACATGCCATAACTACGACTACTAAGTTAGTATTACCCGATAAAATTTCTAATGAACCAACAAATTTTCAACCATATAATCAAACCAATAGCTTTGAACAGCAGAATAGTTTATTAGAAAGTTCATTATTATCTGAAAATGCTATTCTTCCACAATCAGTTACCTATCAACCCACCTCGAATAATTTAGTGCCTAATGGTAACTTTTCTGCATCTACAGCAAATTCAATGGTGACACCGTCTAATAATTTGAATTCAGCTTCTACATTAGCAACATCAAACACGATTGCTACTCCAATTCTAGAGAATGCTATTATATCTTCATCCAATGCAGTACCTCAAGTAAATGTTCAAAGAAAATTTCAATCGTTACAACAACAACAACATCATCAACCAGGAGAATTTGAATTTGAACATGATCAAAACTATTCTCAGCCAGTCACAACTACAAGTGCTCCGTTGGTGGTTCCATCTGCCCCAACAAATGCTGGTCAACAACCAGCAGCCCCACCTTATCAACCGGTTCCAATTATGCCGCCAACTCAACAACAATTTCCATATCAAACTCAACAATTCCCTCAGGTACCATTGCCTCCAAATCATCAACCAATGAATATGGATTTAATGATGATCCAACCAAATGATCAGTCCCAGGATTATCAGTTCGGCGGGCTATTATACCCTGAACCACCTTCATTTATTGGCGATCAATTCTAATGAATCAATAACGAGTCAAGCTTTATTTGTAAAAAAAAAACAAAAAAAACAAATAAATAAAGCTAAACAGTTATAGTCTTTTCCTTTTTGTTGTACATTCTAGTTTCTTTTCTTTTGTATGGGTTATTCTTTTGTTACTTATTATTCTCATAAAATTTCTACTTTTACTTTATTTTACTTCCAATTACGTGTGTTAAGAGTTATTGTGTTTTCTTTTTATCTTTTCATTTTCCTTTCTTTCCTTTTGTTAAATTATCCTAAAAAGAGCCTGTTTAAAATGTATTTATTCATAACTAAAAATAAAAACTACCAAAAAATAAAATCATTCGTCTGCTAAACAAACTGTAGTAGCTTTGTTACCTATTAAACCATCTACGCAAGGAGAATAATCCCTATTTGACAAAGGCGTATAACCTTCCACACGAGCTCCTAAAAGATCTTCCTCCAAAGTTCGTATAATTTAGAAATTCAAGAGCTTTTGCAGAAGGATCATCCCTACCTTTTTGTTACTACTTTGTGGGTTGTTGTTTTTTGGTTTTTCTTGTCTTTTTTAGGTATTTCCAGATACCTTTCTACTGAACTCAAGGTGCTGCTACTGTTTAATCATATTTGCATTCAAAATAAGTCCGATGGTTACTATCTTGCATTAAATCTGCTAGGCAAAAAGTATCACTAAGCACTCGCATCAGCAAGCACTTGCATTGGTCTTCTCCATGGCTTCGTCAAACCCAACGACAAGGTTCCAGCCAGCACAATACCCGACCCTTTACCACTCCTGACAAACCCTCCTTATTGCAGTTTTGTTGGCTTTTGCTCTGTTGCCAACCCACTGTAGCTGTTTTTGCATTCTGTTGAAATGTTGCACAATTTTGATATTGGTGCACACACTCCCCTCCTAAAGGTTGCCGCAAAAAAAAACAACAGAACAAGCTTAACAAAGCTTTACATGCTTAGGATTACTTTAAAGAGGCCGGGATCGAAGCAGCAGAGGTTGCAAAACAATCTTGTGATAAGTTTTGCGGGCTTATTGTTTCAGGTTATGATTTCAGGGGTAATGGGGCAAAAAGGGAACCCAAAAAAAGAACAAAATCACGACTGAAAAAGGAACCTAATACGAATAAGAGGGATGGTTGCACAAATATGAAGATTGTAACAACAACTAGGGCAATTTAAGACAGCCAGCTGCAAAATACAACATTAAGAATTACACGGTATACTCATGACATTATACAATTTCTAGAGATAGTCAAATTCTAGAGATAGTTAAATTCTAGAGAAAGTTAAATTCCAGAGATGGATAAATTTTAGAGATGTTAAATTCTAGAGATGTTAAATTCTAGAGATGTTAAATTCTAGAGATGGATAAACTCCACAGATGGATAAAATCTAGAGATGGATAAATTCCAGAGATGGATAAAATACTTTTAATAGTTTTCGTAACCAACCAGTTCTAGTTTTTCGACTTTGTTTAAGACTTCTGATTCCATATTGATCATGTATTGATTCATTTCATTTAACCATTTATGATCAATTGCACCCAAGATTCTAACAGCCAACAAAGCAGCATTGGTACTGTTATTGATGGCAACAGTGGCAACCGGGATACCTCTAGGCATTTGAACAATGGAGTGTAAAGAGTCTACACCATCTAAGCTTGAGCCTTTAACTGGAACTCCAATGACTGGTAAAGGAGTCATTGCGGCAACCATACCAGGTAAATGGGCAGCACCCCCAGCACCGGCAATGATACACTTCAAACCTCTTTCAGAAGCTTCAATAGCATATTTGGACATACGGTGAGGAGTACGATGGGCACTTACAATTGTGACTTCAAAAGGAACTCCAAATTTTTTCAAGATATTAGCACCAACTGACATAACTGGTAAATCTGAATCCGAGCCCATAATTATACCAACCAAAGGTTTTTCTTTAATTTCCAGGGGTAAGGAGACACCGGAAGTTTCCCCCATTATGTAATTTAATTTTGCTTCAGCAACATCCATTGAAGAAGAGATTATATTAATGTGACCCATTTTTCTACTTGGTTTAGAACTTTTACCATATAAGTAAACTGAAGCGTTAGGAGTTTCTAAAGCTTTACGACACATTTCCAATTCCTTATTTGTTTCTTTAACATCACCCAAGACATTTAACATGATTGCATTTGTTGAAGGAGTACTTAAGGAGGTGAAATTTTTTGGTAAAGGTAAACCAACCACTGCTCTGACATGAGCTTCAAATTGAGAAGTAACACAAGCATCAATGGTATAATGACCAGAGTTGTGAGGTCTTGGAGCAATTTCATTAATCAATAATTCATTATTTGGTAATAAAAACATTTCAACTCCAAAAATACCACAACCAGGGAATGATTTAACTGCATTTTTAGCCATTATCGAAGCTTTTTCACTTAAACTTGGGTTAATTTGAGCTGGGGCGAAAACCAAATGACAAATATTATTTTGATGAATAGTTTCCACAGTTGGATAAGAGAAAACTTCCCCTTCAATTGAACGAACAACCATAACTGCCAATTCTTTAGTGAAGGGACACCATTTTTCGGCGTATAAAGGTCTATTACTTAAAAATTTCAAAGCTTCATCGATTGACTCTTGGGATTTAACTACAAAATTACCTCTACCATCATAAGCCAAAGTTCTTGATTTCAACATGAATGGGAAACCGATTTTATCACCAATTTGTAATAAGTTTTCTTTTGTATTTTCTTCTACTGAATAACTTTCAACAACTGGTACTTCATGACTTATCAAGTGTTTTTTTTGTAAAAATTTATCTTGAATTAATTTGATTGTTTCTGGTAATGGGTAAATTGGAATATTTAATTGTGATGATACAGTTTTCAATGCTTCAACGTCAACGTGTTCGATTTCAACAGTTAAAACATCACATTTCTTAGCTAATTTAGTAATTGAATCCAAATCAGTAAAACTACCATCGATATGAGAATCTAATGCATTAATTTGTTTAGCTGGAGAATTAGGGGCATCGAGAATAATGGTTTTAATATTTAATCTATGAGCAGCTTCCACCAACATACGGCCTAATTGACCACCACCAAGAATACCAATTGTTTTACCATCCATTATGAATATTAATCGTTATCGATAAAGAATACAGTGATGAAAAGAGATGGAAATTTCATTATCTTTATATTGACAGAACAGAGTCAAAGCAATTTGTCAACCCGTGTGCAGGAACCGTTTAACTGCAAACATTTCCCCAATTCTACCATTACTTACATTAGTATATCATGATATCTAAATATGCAATTAATAAAAGAAGAAAGTAATAAGGCAAAAAAAAAACAGTAAAATAAGAGAAGAATTAAAATAATTAACTAATGTACAATTATATAAAAAAAAAATTATTGAATTACTTAAAATTTCATAGTTTTGGCTTTTTTACCCTTTTTATGCTTCAATTTCTTATAGATCTGGGATCTGGAGTCTCTCCATCCATGGGTAGACACTTTTTTATTATCTAAATCCATTCCACCATCTTCTTTTGGTTTCCCTTGTTCCTTATCGTGTTCTTCTAATTTTTTTTGTAATCTATTAGTTCTTTCTTCGGCGTATTTAGAAAATTCATTCTTACGTTTGATGGACTTGGCCTGTAACTTGGATTTGGATCTTAACGAGTGTGCCATATTGAATATGAATAAGGATAATGAATATGAATAAGGATAATGAATATGACAGGGATAATAAATATGACAAGGATAATATAAGTGAAGATAGTGTAATTATGTCCGATGAGATGAGAAGTAAATTTTTCAGGGGAGAGGAAAGGGGATCACATGACCGAGTCATGTGATTACATCATGTGATCACACTTAGGGCGCATGCCCCGGCGTGGGAGTACCCGACCCAATCGATGGGTCACTTGGTCGCCGCACTACCTCTGCTCGCATCGGGATCTTATCACGTGACGTGCGTACATTTTATCCCTCCCTTTTTTTTTGTTTGTTAGTGTGACAATTCCCCCAATTTGAGGTAGGAAAAAAACAGAAAAATTTTCTTTAGTTAAAACTGTTCCTTCTCTTCTTTTCATTACTAGGCAATAGTTAATACATTAAGATAAAATGTATGTTAGAGATGACACCATAATGAAGTTATGTTGATTGATGTGATGTGATTAGATGGGATGTGAAGGGATGTGAAGGGATGTGAAGGGATGTGAAGTGAAGGATGTGAAGTGGATGTGAAGAATGGGGAGTGAAGAATGTGAAGAATGTGAAGAAAGTGAAGTGAGGATACGGAGTGAAATCAAGATGACTCATATGGCGATATAAGAAAGATACTAACATTAATATAGGGCTAACCTTAGAACTCAAAAGAGACTTGCTGCCAGTGTTGTTGGTGTTGGTAAAAGAAAGATTTGGTTAGATCCAAATGAAACCACCGAATTAGCTTCTGCTAACTCTCGTCAAGCCATTAGAAAATTATACAGAAATGGTACCATTGTTAAAAAACCAACTGTTATTCACTCTAGATCTCACGCTAGAAGATTAGCTGAATCTAAAAGAGCTGGTAGACACACTGGTTACGGTAAAAGAAAAGGTACCAAAGATGCCCGTATGCCTTCTCAAGTTGTTTGGATGAGAAGATTACGTGTTTTAAGAAGATTATTAGCTAAATATAGAGATGCTGGTAAAATTGACAGACACTTATACCACTCTTTATATAAATCTGCTAAAGGTAATACTTTTAAACACAAGAGAGCCTTGGTTGAACATGTTATTCAAGCTAAAGCTGAAGCTCAACGTGAAAAAGCTTTGAAAGAAGAAGCTGAAGCTAGAAGATTAAGAAACAGAGCTGCTCGTGAAAGAAGACAACAAAGAGTTGACGAAAAGAAACAAGCTTTTTTAAATGAAGGTTCTGCTTAATTGTAATTACTTTATATAAAATAATAATATAAATTTTCTTCTGTATAAAAAAACAAATATGTATATTTAATATGCTATAGTCATAAACGATGACCAGGAACTAAAGAAAAGATAAGAGTGAAAGCTAAAGTTAATAAAAGAATTAAAAATAAAACCCAGCAACTTCTTTTTAATAATAATTTATAAATAAAGGGTTCTCGTATTTTAATAAACAGATTATTGTAGACAAAGCTTTCACTTAATTTAAACCAACATAAAATTGGATCAATTAAATAAATTGATGATATTAAACAATAAAATGAAATTAAAAATGGAATAACAATAACTGCACGATAACCTTTATAATAATTTAAAAAAATTAAAGAATAAGCAATCCAAAAACCAATAAATAATGAAATAAAACCTAATATTATTCTAATATTGATTGATTTATTAATATTACGAATTGCCATAAAATTTAAAAATTTTGGTAAATGATCATTTTCAATTTTATTGAAAACAAATGACTTAACTTGGTTAAAGATATCTGGATCATCTCTACCGTCAACTTCAATTGATTTTATTATAAAATCATTTAAATTTTGGGGTAAATTTAAATTTTTTTCAGAATCTTCAACAAAGTATTTTAAAAGTAAATTATGAGAACTTTCTTTCAAGTTATTACGAGTAATGAATGAATGATTTTCTGATGATGTAGTTGTATTTTCTTTAATTAATTTTTCTAATAAAGAAGGATTGATTGAATTACGTTGTTGTTGTTGTTGTTGACCCACTTTCTTGGGTGGTTCTAAAGGTTCGTCATTTGAAAGATTTGGGGAATTTAATGAAACATATTTTGGGCTTGAGATAAAACTTGCTTTATTTGCTTCACCAACGTCTAATTGGTTATCAAGTAAAGAAGATTGCGATGAATTGGCTTCATCGTCTAATAATTTTGAATTGGAACTGATTCTCTTTGGCTGATTATAGGGTTGATTTGGTTCATCAAATTTATAAGTATTTGAAATTGGAGTTGAATGATTTGAGGTATCTTGATACTGATCCAAGATTGATTTTAATTTTGGATCTAAGTTATTAATATTGATATCACCTCTTAAAAATTGGGATAATCTATTTGAATCATTATCTTCTAGCACATGATCATTGATGATTAAATCTAATAAGATTGATGAACTTAAAGATTTATGTTTTGATTTTTCCAGTAATGGTACTGAATTTCTTAAATTTGATTCCAGATTAGTTGTATTATGACTAAATAACGGTTGTTGATTGGTATCCGAATTTCTCTTTTCATTTGATTGAGTCGAATGTCTTAATATACTATCTCTTAATCCTTTAACGTAAAATTTACATAAATTCAAATGATTAATCAAGTCAAACCAGAAATCAAGATAATCAACTTTATTTTCAATTTCTTTCATGAAAAGGTAAAAAGTATATAAATCAACCGGTGATTTTGTTTTATTTGATAAAATTTCTCCCAAGGTTGGTAACCGATTTAAATTAACCAGTTGATTAGGCTTATTCAAGCTATTCAAGTTAGCAAGATAATGTGAATTGGGATAATCACTTTGATACTTTTCAGTCATCTTCACCTCACTTATCTTTAGGACAACTTAATTTTAAACGAATGACAAGGGTAAGAAGTTGTTCCTTTTATTTAACTAAAGGAGGTCGAAGCAAACAGATACAGTATAGATGGGTCTTGGATGAAAAGTAAGTAGAACACTATTGATATTATACCAGGTGAACTTGTTGAAAGATGTTAATTATTCGATTATCACCCGTCAACATTGATGCTTGTTACAAAGGTATTCACGACACGAGCGATGTTTTGAATTAGACGAAGTTTTTTCCCTTTTTGATTAGGTAAGCGGCTTATGTCAGCGGAGCGGTTGTGGTGTACGGGTGTGGTCCCGATACCGGAGCAAGCCGATCTTGCTGCAAAATACTTGTTCTCTTAGTGATCTTGTTCTCTTGGTGATCTTGTTCTCTTGGTGATCTTGTTCTCTTGGTGATCTTGTTCTCTTGGTGATCTTGTTCTCTTTCTCTTGGTGATCTTGCTCTTGTCGTCGGGTCATCTGCTCTGGTCATCTTGTCATTTTGTTATCTTGTCATTTACAGGTACTGAAAGCCGTTTTGCAAAGTTTTGGTGGAAATTGAAAAAAATAGCATGAGTAGTGATAGTTGTTTGAATAGTTTTCTATGATAGATGAGATACTCTATCACTTGGGATATATGCTGGTAGAGCAAGTATGGCTCTATTGCAAAATTCGTTTTAGCCAGTTAATGTAGCGTTAGAGTATAATATTGTTACATCTATTCATTACTATCGTGCCGAAAAGAACTAAACTAACTATTGGATATATGAGCTGTTCATGAGTTGGATACGAACGATAACATATGTCTTCTACTGTAATCCCTAGTGTCAGTCACTGTTTACTTTATTAAGTCTCCCTACTTTGATAAGAGATCTGTGTGCTGTAAAGCCAATATACTCTAACCAAGTTAGTTATAGATCACCAAAGCAAGAAGTTAGATCATTTACTTCTAAGAGTAGGGAATTAACATCATTTACTTCTAAGAGTATTTACTTGAAATTAGTACATCACTTACTTCTGAAAGTAGGAAGTAAACATCATTTACTTCTAAGAG